TGCTGGGAAGGATGTGATATTCCCCTTCCCCTCACCGTCACCCTCTCGACATGTCCTAACGATGCACGCTGATGCTTTTAGCCTTTAGATGACACGTGGAACCCGCGTGGCTTAGATTCTTTCACTCCTCTGATCCCTGGTATCAGTCTCGGTAGCATTTTAGCTAATGAGTTTATCTTTGTTGTATGTAAGAGTTACAAGATCTGACTCCTCATAGGGCGGGCTAAAACAAGGCTCGGGTGGCAATTCTCCGATCACGTTTCTGGCCTTTCTCCGCATACGGCAATCAATGCCCGAGACGCTAAATGAGCCCTAAATTGAGCCTTAATTTTCTTGTACAGCACTGTCGCTCTGCCCAGGCCTTCATTACAGCATCAGAGTTGGGGTTTGTCTTGGCTTCCAAGAGAGAGGCGCTCATCTTCCAAGACTTTGTTACCGAGGTTTTGGACAGATCTTGATCCCGGACGAGCGGAGCAAATCAAATCTGATTGAATTGTTGGGGCTGTTTCGTAATGCGCCCAGACGTTGATGATGCTTGGCTGTCAAGATGTAAGATTCGCAGCATTGCAGATTTGACAGATGTCACCTTAGCGGATCATTACTGTACACCAACAAATTAAAATTGTTAATATTATTTGTAATTGGAATGCAGAATCTGCCATCAAAGTTGATAGTTTTCTCCTAATTGCCGATCGAGGCTCTGATGATTCACTCGTCACACTCATGGAAATAGCATAGAATTTCCTCGAAGCATTTCAACCGCCAGCTACCAGACAACGAACGCGTTCATCTTCTTTGTGTCAATGCTAATTGGCCAAAGTATCGGTCTTTGCCATCCATGTCTTCGGTTACCGGCGTTTTTAGACCCCATCGCCGCCGGACGGCTCATTCACCGTTTCCGGGACAAGGTCTGGGGTTGCCAAGCATAACAGTTGTTGTCGACATGGAAATCTTGATCCATGCGACTTCCCCTCGGATGTGATGATCCAGGATTCGGAGTTACGGTGAGCCAATTGACGGGGGCTTACCTCAGTCTAGAGAATATCTTGGTACATAAGACATGCATTTCTCAACAAGCCAGAGGTTACATGCATTGCTTGGCAATAACCCCTAATACCAACACAGCCCCCGGGCATCATCATTGGAAGTTGCCTGAGGTATCTTACCATCTTGACTGTCTATGCTCATGCGAGAAAGGGCGATGAACTAGCGAGATGGTCACTTATACTCCATAGCACGTCCTTCGAAATCGAAGGTCCACTATCGCGGAATCCGCTTATCTGCCCCAGATTATAACGTTTAGGAGCAAAATGCTTTTTATCAAGATTAAGTTATCGTACGAGACCCAAAAATGGGTACCAGATCTTGGGTGATGGCTTGGCGAAATGCTTATGTTGTACAACGTGGCGCCAGGACTGGAAATGAAGTTGGGTTTCACGAGCGAGGCTGAATATGTGCGACGTTCCAATTTCAATACGAATTTCTGGATGTAAATTTCAAGAACCTATTTTTTGAGTCTTTCTGCTTATGTCTTAGTTCTTTATACAGAGCCGGGGGCTCTCTGCGAGGCTGTTTTTTTGAGTGCGCTTCGTGAGATCTGGTCTGTATTGCGACTGCACCAGCATTCGCCAACATTCTATCACATGTCGACGAATGAGTCAGAGCGATCTACTAAAACTTGATGAATGATCCGTGATAAGATACCGGGCCGTTACACAGATAAGCCATCGGTTCCGGGCCGGAACCGATATTTCCTTTCGAGGCTCGATCAGCAAAACGAGCTACACATGACAGTCACTAGCGCGACGCGTTACCTTTGGAGGCAAGAGGGGAACCGCGTTCTATAACCTCCAAAGGCAAGGCTTTGGTGACGCTTCCCCTCTCTTAGGCAATACATTGGGGCTTTTGGTGAGATTATCAGGAACAGAAGTCAAAAAACACCAACCGGGCCGGTCGTGAAGTTTATCTTGCATCGTCGATGTCATTAGAAGGCGCAACGTCATCGGCCACCTACCACCGCTCTTCGCCAACTTTCTTTTGTTCATATATAAACTTGGGAGTCTTTGGTCATATTTTGTGTTCATACCGAGTCACACCGCCATCAAATTTGAGCCTCGTAGACGATCGACGCCGCAACAATGACCACTGCATCGCCTCATCCATTTGACCCTCTGTCGCCCGAGGAGATTTCGAGGGTCAGTTATCATCAATGAATAATTATCAATCTCAGCAACGATAAGCTGAGATATCTAGGCTTCACGCATCGCGCGCCCCCACTTTGGCAATCATGACCCCAACTTCCGCGTCATCACTCTTCTCGAGCCCGTCAAGAAGGAAATGATCACGTATCTCGAAAAGGAACATCTCAATCAACCCATCGACCATGTGCCAACCCGCCATGCTAGGGTGGAGGCTTCTATCAAAGCCGAGACCGAAGGGAATCACCTTTTTGAGCTTATCGTCGATCTTGACGCTGACAAAGTTGTCAAGAAGCAGCATGTTGAAGGGAAGCATTCTTACATCGATACTGATTACATGAAAGCTGTCGAGGCTGCTTGTCTTGCCAATGAAGAGGTCCAGGCTATGATAAAGACGCTTGATCTGCCTGAAGGAGCGACTGTTGTCGTTGAACCGTGGGCTTATGCGACAGACGGGATGAATGATATGACCCATCGAGTCAGCATGGTAAGCTTCCCTTCGCTTCGAGGGGGCTTGATATACTAAGCCCTATCAGTGTTGGTTCTATGCACGGCTATTAGAGAACCCCAACGCGAACTACTACGCTTATCCTTTGGATGTATGCGCCGAGGTATCCGAGTCTCTTGGGGTCATGAAGGTTTACCGTCTACCAACAACACCGGACGAAAGAGCAAACAACGAGAAAAGACCATTTGATCGCCGAAGAATTCACTCTCCTACTACTAGCGAATACCATCCCGATTTGCGACCAAACCCGAGGACTACTACCAAGCCACTACATGTAACTCAGCCCGAAGGTCCTTCATTCCACATCGAAGGCAATCGTCTGACCTGGGAGAAATGGGATCTCCGAGTTGGCTTCAACTACCGAGAGGGGCTCACTCTTCACGACGTTCGATATGACGGGCGAAGCCTGTTCTATCGCCTTTCGTTAGCTGAGATGTTCGTACCGTACGGTGATCCACGAGCTCCATACCCACGAAAGGCTGCCTTCGATCTTGGTAATGATGGCGCTGGTATCAATGCTAATAACCTCCAGCTTGGCTGCGATTGTCTTGGTACGATTAAATACTTCGACGCTTATCACAATACATCATCGGGCGAGCCTCTGAAGCTACCTAATGTCGTCTGCTGCCACGAACAGGATGATGGAATCTTGTGGAAGCATACCAACTTCCGCACGAACGTTCCGGTCGTAACTCGTTCTCGAATTCTGGTCCTACAGACTATAATCACTGTTACCAACTACGAGTACATCTTCGCCTGGCACTTCAGTCAAGATGCTTCCATCTTCTACGAGGTTCGGGCAACGGGCATTCTCTCCACAGCGCCAACCTCCATAGATCAGAAGGGAACATATCCTTATGGAAATATCGTGGCGCCCGGAGTTCTCGCACCATATCACCAGCATCTTTTCAGTCTTCGCATTGACCCTGCAATTGATGGCCATGCCAACTCACTCATGGTCGAAGAGTCCAAGCCACTTCCCATTAATGATCCTGCCATTCATAATCCTTTCGGCGTAGGCTATGTGACTGAGTGTCAGACCATCGAAGAGGAAGGTGGTTTTGATCTTGACTTCACCAAAGCACGTACCTTTAAATTCGTCAACGAGAACAAAATCAACCCCATCACCGGTACCCCAGTCGGCTTCAAGCTCATGCCCTTCTACAGCCAGATGCTTCTCGCGCACCCTGAATCCTTCCATGCCAAGCGCTCGGAGTTTGCGGAGCACGCGGTGTGGGTAACCAGGTATGAAGACAACGATCATTTCCCTGCGGGTAAATACACGATGCAATCAGCCGGAGGCGACGGCTTGGCATCTGTAATAGCGAGGCGCCGAAACACCGGAGTTGCCCATTCCGTGAGGAACGAGGATATTGTGATTTGGCATACTTTCGGCTCCACTCATAACCCGCGTATTGAAGATTGGCCTGTCATGCCGAGTGAGAAGATGATGGTTGGCTTGAAGCCCGTGAACTTCTTCTCTGGAAATCCGGGGTTGGATGTCGCTCCTTCGACGCAGGAGAAGAATAAGAGTGTGCTTTATACCGGAGAGGTGGGTAAAGACGCTGTATGCTGTACTGCAAAGCTGTGAAGGCCAAGAACGGTTACTTTATGGCTCGCAGTAGGATCTTGGTGTAGAGACGCCGCGTGATTAAAGTCGTTGATCTTTCGGTGCTCCATAGAGGCAAACGTAGGATACTTTATGGTGGTTGATATTAAACTTACTAGATTCTTCATCTAGCATATTGCAAGCTTATAATTAAACCTCAACAAGAAACACCAAGAATTTTGCCCAGGCTTTCAAGCTGAAGGAGTGTTGGAAAATGTCGGGATATGTTACCTTCCGGATAATAGCCCGCATGATCGAAAAATGCCCATGCTCTTTGTCGGTAAATTTTCCTCTGTAGTCCAGAATAAAGGGAGATACCGTGGAGCCCATAGGCGAGTGCAATCCTACCATTCTCCCGGAGCGCTTGGCCGATCTTTGACCATTCATCCCAGTGCCTGTCAGATATCGGAAGAAAACCATCTGCTTCTTGGAAAAGATCAAATATTAACAGCGACTGAACCCGATCCTCTTGCTTTAGGCGCATGGGCGTCTCTGCCATTAACCGTATCGGACATCCCCTGTCGTCTCTGGGAACATTAAGCAGCCGAGTCATCAGATTAAATCCAAATAATTCAAGTTTATTCGGTATCGGTTTCTCGGCAAATGCCTCTTTCAAAAATGTATTAGATGAAAAACATATATTATTAGGGAACCGTAATCCGTCATGTGGACCAAATTTGCCTGTCTACGCGGGTGTTTCGGCCGGTATGTCGGGAAGTCGAGAATCGACATAATGAGCGAAAACAGCGCCATACAGATCTCTCATATAATAGAGAACGCATCGAAATGCTTCGGCCGCGCCGTGGCTGAAGTTGCGAACAGTTGGGGCAGCTAGCTCGTCAATGTGCTCGAGCTCCGTCGAGTCTTCGACATACTGTATTTTGGAAACCAGCTCATATCTGAAAAATGCTCGAAACAGGCGATTTCTTTCAAGGTCTGTGAGCGTATCTACCCTGAGTATATCGATCCCAGTGGGTTGGCCTCTAAACTGCAGCTGGCCGACATTGGAGCAAGGGCATGGAATACACATATAAGCGCGAGGCGGATAGATCGATGTGGCCTTTGTGATATAGTCCTCGATATATCCCGCAAGTTGATTGTAAATTCTGTCAAGTCGATCGATGGTACCCGAATCGCGGTGTTCAAATGGGTTCGGAAGTTGTCCTTTACTCCATTTCTTGATGTGTAGCCGTGGGTTCTTCGAGGGGAAATTTGCAACGACCAGAGCGTCTTGGAGTAGAGATCCAGGAAGCTCGGCTTCAAGGTGAGCCTGCTGAATGTACTCTTTCGATTTGCAATAGTGTTGGAACATTGCAGGTGATGCAGAGAGAAGCGGTCTAATGTTTGATCTGGTCCTGAGGCAAAGCAGGATGATCACATTGATCTCGGATGGAAGAGAAGAGAAACAATCCATGCTTGCCAAGGCTTGAGGATGCAGCGAAGACTTTTTGTTATTATTGCCTGGAGGTTAGATGAATAGATGGGCGGGCAGAGGGATGGCCGCTTTTATAGGTTTGCGAAGGTGTGCGCTCAATAAAGTTACGCTTTCTGAAATTGCCCTAAAGTAAACCTTGATGCCCCGTCGAACGAAGTCTATGAGCAAGACAAACACAAATCTTAATTGAAATAACGCCGATTTTGCTCGCTTGTTCTCGACTGACCTTATGCTGCCATGCCAGCCTCATTTGCGAACCACCGCGAGGCAGAAAGTGGCGTTATAGGCTACAGCTAATAAGTCACAAAATAAGATAAGAAATGACTTCCCCGCTTCCTCTGAAATCTTACCAAGATGAGAAAGAACTCTGCCTATAGAACAAGTCAAATTGTCGCCTGATCTTTATCAGCCATCCCAAGATACGCCGCAACCAAAATGTCAAGTTCGGATGACTCAGATAGTGGCGTCACAGCCTCCTCCGACGAGTCGGATATCGAAAGCATTATCAGCGAATCCGAGGGAGACGACGAGGCAGGCTTTGACGAAATAGATGATCATTTCTCTGATGGTCATGATAGCAATGGAGTTTCTGAGTCTGTATTCCTTGAGGGAACCGAAAGTGCTCTCAACTGTGTGTCTAAATCTGTTTAAATTCACATAATATGGGGAAATTAATGGACTATAGTGCTGTTCTTCGCTGGCGTCAATATCGCTGGTGCCATTGCCCAGACTTCTGTCACTAATGGGACTACTGACCAACCCAACGTCCAAACTGCCGGTATGTCATGCCTATTCCTGTGCCTTTTTGCTGAATGTCGTCTAATGCTGGTTCCAGACCCGGAGAATTACTTGGACAACTTGGACCTTGGTACTGATGATACTGGCTCGGAGACAAACACAGCCCCGTCACCTGCAAACCAAGTATTCAATGCTGTACGGGCTCTGGAAGCAAGCGTTTACCGTGATATGTCTCGCGATCATTTAAGCATTCCCCATCCAGGACAAAATTATGGAGCGACCTTTGACACAACTTCTCAGGTTGTTGATGTCCCCCACAATCCCGGGTTATTGGGGTGGCTAGGTCAGCGGCTTCTACGTACATTCTTCCAGCCGAATATATATACCTCTTTACCTTCTCCCTCACACATCCGGGTGCTTTCCATCCAGCCTGGAGTGAATCAGGACACTCTGGTGGCCTCGTTCGAACTCCTGGATCTGAACGCAGCAAACATTCGATTTGAGGCGATTTCTTATCAGTGGAGTGAGGGTGGTGGCCAGAAAGCGTCTATGCGTCTTCGAGGTGAGAAAATATTTATCAACGCGTATCTTCGACGTATTCTGCTGCATCTTCGGCTGGAGCAACACATTCGGGTTGTGTGGGCCGATGCACTGTGTATTAACCAATCTGACCACGCAGAGCGTCTTCAGCAAGTCAGCATAATGCAAAGGATATACTCTCAAGCATTCAGAGTCATCGGATTTGTTGGCAAGGACTATATCCGTGCGAGTATGTGCTTCAATGCTATCAAAGCTTTGACCTCAGCATGGTTCGAGGCTCGGAAAACCCTTGGTCGAAACAATATGTCCTCGTCGACACCCGATAACATTTATGGCTGTGTTATGAACGAGGCTTCTATGTGCAAAATCGTTGAGGTGTTTCAGAGTGGCTACTGGAAGCGATTATGGGTGGTTCAAGAGCTAGTCTCCTCCCGACGTGCGGTCATTCGATGGGGAAAGGCCGAGATATCCTGGACTTTGTTAGGGCTCGCAACGACCCTGATCAGGAACAACAAAAGTTTGATGACGATGTTTAATCGTATCAACAAGTCAAAGAAGTCTCCAGGCCCTTTCCAAGGAGGCTTAGACGCTCGCACTGGTCTGATGAACGCTTATTTCATGTACCGAATGTCTTCAACTCAGTTTCGAGGCGACTCAATGTCGTGTTTGGATGTCCTTCGACTAACGCGGAATTTCGACGTTTCAGAGCGTTTGGATCGAATATACGCCATCTTGGGCCTCCCTAGTCAACATACGGGGCCAGGGCGCACGTCTATCCCTCCGGATTATCGCCTACTTCCAGACGGGTTGTACAGTCGCGTCTTCTACTGGGTCTATCAAACGCATGATAATCCGCTCGAAATCCTTTCTGCAGTCCGGCATACAACTCTATTTTACCCCGACTTTCCAACATGGATTCCACGTTGGCATGTGAGACCAATTAGGAGCATTGGTATCTCTCATAGGGCTAGTATGAAGTTTGATGCGTCAGCTGGTTGGAAACCAAATCCTCCTGCAAAGCTTATTTGGAGTCAAAGCGAGCGGTGTTTGATTCTCCAGGGATTTGTCCTCGCATCTATAACATCTGCTCACCGAGTGCTTCCTACAGCAAACACGAAGGACCGCCTATCCCGTCATAAGAAATTCAAAAAACACAAGACCGAGCTGAACCACTGGCTGAACGTGCATGTGCGTACCCATAATAGGATAGAAGCTCGGTTGTCTCTCGTCTTGACAGCTGGACAGGATTGGTATGGTAACATCTTGAAGGAGCAGAATAGGATAAATGAGCATATTGCATCGTTTATAAAGTGGAGTCGGGATTACTTCAACAACGCAAAGCCTTGTGATGAAGAGGCTATCAGATACGGACAGACTGTGAACAACGTCTGTCGTGACCGACAGATATTCAGAGCAACGAACTGTTTGCTAGGAATTGGACCTAATCTTCTTAGGAAAGGCGATTTAGTATGTGTTGTTGCTGGAGGCCCGGTTCCTTATATTCTACGACCCTTGGGTGATGACACGTTTTACTTTGTCGGAGAGTGCTATGTGGCTGGATACATGTTTGGAGAGGCCGTGTCGGAATGGAGATCCCAAGCACAGGAATCCTTGAGCCTGCGACGATTTACTCTAAAGTAGAGTCAGGGTCTTACACCCCATGATTTCTGAACAGTAATACGAGATAAATGATCGAGACTTTGACTCAGCTAGAGCCCATAGCCTGGGTCCTGTACTATTCCTTACACAATAACCTACTGGAACATGGAAACCGGAGCACCGCAAGTGTTGTGATAATGATTAACGCATTCTAAAGCTCCTCGTACCTCTGTCTCTCTCCTACACTAAGTATCCTTACTTAAGGAGTCTTCATTAATCTCTATTAACCATTTAGGAGAAGAAGGAAGTGTTCTTTTGGTGTTTGCTTTCATTAATTTGCTGTTAGGTACCCTACACTTAGATCTTAGAATGTTTGAAAATGGAGAACCAGAGGTTGAAAATTTCCAGTAGCGGAGCGGAAGAACGAGACCCCCATCCTGGGACATGCCAGCTGGCGAATGAAAACGACAAACAGCCAGAGACCTCAGTAAAACAAAATGACAACGGCGAATAAAATAGCAAGAAGAAGCAAATTACCCAATGAGAGGCAACCTTTATGAAGGAAAAAGAGTTTTCATCACCGTGCACGTCAGCTAGTCAGCCTCGTCTCAATCTCGCCGAGCCCAGTAAAAAATCTCTGCACTCGCTAAACAAACCGCTTAGTCACTGTATCCACAGCAGCTCTCTATAAAAGTCTGCTCTGCCGCCGGCCATTTGGACTTTTCTTCTTTTCTTCTTCATGTCGACAATACTTCAGAGAATCATTTCTATAGTATTCGACCTTCTCTTGGTTCCCTAAAAGAGCCACAGATCCCACCCTGGTTGATGAATGAATATCCTCGATGCCCTAGAGTGAATACCCTTTTCTGGTCCTCTCGATCTGTCCGCAAGGATGGCGGTGGCTGCTCTTTTGAGCGGCTGCTGTATAGAGAGATGTTACTCTTGATGATCTCGGCCCTTGGAACGGTCTGCCTTCGGGCGCGTTCTTGGGGCGGGCATTGATGGACGTCTGACAGGCTTCTTTTTTCGTTGCTTTCTGAGGCTTGCCTTGGTAGTGAGGAAGAAATGTGAACATTGTGAACTGCACTGATACTCTCATGTTTATTGCGAGGGGCCATGCACAAAAGCTCCCCAAATCATACCCAATTTGAGACCGGGAGGTAGCAGCTCTTATATATACCTGAAGCTGCCTGCACTACCCCATGATAACTGGAATGACCAAATGGCTGTCGTACTTCCCTCCTGTATGAACATAATGCCGCCCGACATTCTGATCCTCTGGTTCTCTCAGGCGACACAAGTCAGTCTCAGGCAGGCACATATCATGTCCGGAAACGTTCAGTGCTATGCCCTCTCCAGCAGCAAACACCATCCCAATAGGCCAGATTGGGATCTCTAGGCGGACAATTGCCCCCGGACTGATGGGCTGTCGAACACGGTGGCTGTACAAAACATCTGTCTCACGCGACACATCGTCGGAAACAACAGGCCCGCCATCTCCATTAAGAGAGACGTGATGTGAAGCTCGAAGGAAGCCCTGCGGACCTAAAATTTTTGCTGTGTTTACATCAGGCACCTCTTCAATATGAACAGGGCAAGGGCAGTTGAGATGTGAGAGCTGTCGACCTTTGTTGTCGGTCTTGCGGACCTGCACAACGACGTCGAAATCATCATGGTCAGGACATGACATGTGTAGCACTGCCTTTGGGTAACCAGCCAACTCAGTTGCCACGTCAAAGGTAGTTCTAAAGGTCTAGGTTTGGTAAGTCTCTGCGTATTTTTTCGAAATGACAAAACTCACGAGTCCATCACGCAAACTCCTTCCTTCATAGGACTTGATGGATTCCTGATCTGGTCTCAGATCCACCAGGTTTCCTGTTGTTCCATCAAGATACAGAGTTCGAAGCTTTTGCCTTGTAAGCGGATAACTCTGCTCAGGCCTCTCGATAACAGTCGTGGCGGAACTCCCGTCTGCCTCGAAGCCAAGCAGTGAAAGCCGAACCCGAGGCGTTGAGAATTCCCAGTTGGTGTCTTTGACAATTTCAGGCTTGCAATAGAAGTCGAAAAACTGCTGAAGATCATTTGAAACGGATGGTCGATACATGTCGTACCCTTATCAAATAACAGATCAGCGACGTTCAACCACGAGTATAGACTGATACTATACGTAGTGGCATGGGAAATACTTAACGAAAGGACCATTCCTTACACTCTTGATACGGGTGAACACGAAGCCACTTCTTTTCTGTCTTGGCTTGTCGGAAAGTCTGAAACGAGCCATACGTGTGCAACATGCTCGAGTACGAAGCAACAACGTACATAGGAATATTGTCGATATTCTCAACAGGAATTCTCTTGGCCTCCCAGTATTCATCGAACAGCGGATGTTTCTCAAGCATGGCAACAACATTCTCAACGCCTTCAGGTCCCGCAAGCCCGTTTGAGATCATTCGGTGAAAGCCAGGAATGTGGGGACGTCCGCCTCTGGCAACATAGTGACGATACAGATCCGTATAACCTTCCCAGGGTGCAATCGCTTTCAGTGCAGGATGGTGCATTCTGGAAGCAAAATTGATCTGCGATATAGCCAACCATGAATTTCCTGCCATGACGACAGAGCCGTTGCACCAAGGCTGTTTAGACAGCCAGTCGATGACGTCGTAAATGTCTTCTGCTTCTTGAATGCCCCAGCGTGCGATCACTCCTTCGCTATGCCCAGCACCACGAGCATCGATGTTCAAAACAGCATAGCCACGCTCAGCCCACTCAGCAGGATCAGGAGCCTCGAACTTTTCATAGCCTGATGTGCTATCAAGCGCGATTCCCGCTCGAAAAGGAGCCATGAAGTCATAATTCTGAGGTCCGGTACCAGTTTTACCATATGGACTCCATGGAAGGATACACGGGACAGGCTCTGTATCTGATGACTCGGGGCGGAAGATATCTGCGTATAGTCGAGCGCTGTCGCGAACCGTGATGGCCTGGTCTCGCTCATATATTGTTCGTACGCCGAATGGCCTGCGACCGAGATAGCGGACATGACCTGCTTCTAGAACTCGACGTCCCGGGTTGAAGCCATCGTAATTGTAACGGGGATGCTCAGGAGCTGGGGTAATTTTGGATATGATTACATCAGGGAATAGTTCCTGGATTTTCTGGGGTTTGACTGGTAGGTGTGTAGTTGGCATCATGTCGATATCTTTAATGATGAGTTGATTTGATCTAGTGCTTTCCTCTAAAGTATACACATGGAATAGAATAATGCAGTGGACCTAGGATCATTTAATAAGATATTCTGGTTTGGGCATGTCCTGATTCGACTTCTCCGCTCTTGAACAGCCGGACCTGCCGGGCTGGTATCAAGGTTCTCGGCAGTTACAGATGCGTATCCAGGCCAGCTGTAAGCTGTTCTACCCCACGCCAGGACACTCAAGGTTAGTTGGTAGACTTGGCCAATTTTAGTTAGCGGCGGGGGAGATCCGCTATCGGGACACGGGCGGAATGAGATCGGAAGTTCCGTACTTCATAATAATGATTATTTCTCTCTTCGACTTCTAATAACTCCCTAGGTCTGTCCTTAGACTGATCAAGATAATTAATCCCTGCTTCAGATAAATATTCGATAATCAATCACCTCTTTAGCTACTCATATCGGCGCCATGGTTGCTTCGAGAGTCGATCCTGCTGGTTAGTGACCTTCAAACCATCAACTACCTTCGGTTCCGACCAAAGATTGGTAACAAACATCATAAAATAGATGCCCTTCAAGTTGCTGCAATTACGTTTGACTGGGGCGACAGCCTCGACGCAAAAGTTTGTATAGTCATTCCATGGGCAAGAGCAAACTCATCTAACTGATTCGCAGGACTGGGATCGCTTAGCCAGCATCGTCGCCCCGGAACTGGTTGTACGAGTTCCCGAAAGAACACTTCAACTTGAAACCTGCTAATATAATATCCTCAAGGTCGACTATACCGTCGTAACGGGTGAAAAGTGGGATGCCATGCCAGCCAAAGACTTTGTCGCCATGGTCTCAGACCCAGGATTTGTCGGCGACCCTCTTGTTGTCAGCCAGCATTTCATTGGAGCTTCCAAATACGAAGCTCTCTCCGATGGTCGCATAATCGGTACTCACCAGCTTCGAGCTGCTCACCAGCGATACACAGGACCCGATAAGAAGACTGTTGAGGCCAAGGGTCACTGCCATGCCGTTATGCAACATACTTATGCAAAGATTGATGGGAAATGGAAGTTGGCGGGCTTGAAGCCGACCATGTACTGGAATGAGCATGACTTTTCCAAGATTTTCAAAGGAAGCCAGTAAAGTGTGTTTATAATACACGATGCTAAATAGAGTCCAAGCACCTTTTTAATCAATATCGTTCATGCCCTTGATATCCAGATAAATCCCGACCGTTGATATTGACAAACGAGGCTAATCGGTCAAGATCAAAACAAAATCTGGTACTCATCTCCCTCCTTTCATGCCTGAGTAAATACGGTCTGCGTCGTTACTGTATCAACATAAGAGACTTGAAGTTTGTCAATTTAAAGGCGAACATTCGACCAGCTCATGGCTGTCAAAGCGCGTTGCTTATCGTCACGAAGACTACGCCCGCTCGCGCTAGAAGGCATAACGCGATAGGCAAGTTTGCGCCATGACCTTTTCTGTTCGAAACATCAACATCATGAAACTGAGGTTAATGCGCCAAAATAAGGTTCAAGACGGACATACGACGTCAATGCGCAGGACCTTAACATGCCGTGTTCCCATGGCTTATAACTACCACGACGGGTTTCCAGAAAGAATTCGGGGCTTAATTCCTCCATGACATTCATTTTGACCTATACACTCTTTTAATCATGTCTGATAGATCTTCGTGCGAGTACAGCGAAAGGACGGGTAAAGCCACGGAGAATACTAAAGTGTCTATGAAGAGTTTACTGTTGTTACTTGTGAGTCCGCCTTCATCATTCCAGTAACTCTGAGCTGACAAAATGGTTCCAGTCGATCAACCTTGTCTACTTCGCACAAGTTGCCAATGTCGTTGGATCTGGTGCCTTGACCAGAGACATCTCCGCCGCTGTTGGTGGCTCCAATGACTCAGTCTGGTACAGTGAAGTCATTGCAATCTTGACAGCTCTTCTCGGCATTCCAGCTTCTCAAGCCGCCGATCTCTGGGGTCGCAAGAGAATACTCATTTTATTAACGAGTTGCGGCTGTATCGGCTCTCTCATTATCGCTAAAGCTTCATCTTCTGGCACGGTCATCGCTGGGTTCGCCATCTCTGGCATTTCGTTCGGTGCGCAACCGCTTCTTCACGCTATTTCCTCCGAGGTCATCGCGCGCAAGTATCGTCCTTGGGCACAGGGAAGTATCAATGTCGCTGCTTCTCTGGGAGCAATTGTCGGCCTTTTGATCGGTGGTGTGTTGACTAGACACGAGCATCATGATGGCTTCCGGGCCTACTGGTACATGGTCGCAGGCATATATGCAGTTGCGACAATCGCATGTCAACTCTTTTACAATCCGCCTCCGAGAGCCTTGTAATTGTCCTCAGCGTATCAGAGAAAATGCGTAATTTGGACTGGGCCGGGTACGGCTTCTTGACTCCTGCGCTTGTTCTCTTCTGCATGTCTCTCGCTTGGAGCGGGAACCCATATTCATGGACTGATGCCCATGTGCTGGCCACATTCCTCATTGGGGTACTTTCTGGAGTGGCACTAATTGTCTATGAGACATTGATCAAAAAGAACGGCATGTTTCACCATCGTCTCTTTCGCGATCGAAACTTTGCACTCGCGTTGGGTTGCATCTTTGCCGAGGGCATGGCGTTTCACTGTGGCAACAACTATTTCGCCTTTGAGGTCAGTGTCCTCTTCTCAACCGATAGTCTTGTCATCGGAGCCCAGTACAGCATGGCCTTCATAGCACTGGGTATTTCTGCCATCGTGAGCGGTATATGGTGTTCCATGAGTAAGGCTTTGCGCTTCCCGATTATCCTGGCCTTTGGTTTCAAGATCCTCTTCATGGTCCTCATGGCTACTGTGTCCAAGTCCACGCCGCAAGCCCTTCTCTGGATATACCCCATAACCCTAGGTCTCGGATTGGGTGTCTGCATGCCAGCGCTAATTACAGTAGCTCATTTTGCAACACCTCGAGAGCTTATCGCGATTACATCCGGTCTCATGATCTCTATCAGAAGTTTGGGGGGATCTATTGGGTTAGCTGTGTTCAACGCCATCTTTTCCCACGGACTCTCATCTAACATGGCACCCAAGATAGCTCATGCCGTCTTGCCACTTGGCTTTCCTGAAAGGGAGTTGCCTCAACTCATACCCGCCCTTGCCCATAATGATATAGTGGCTCTCAAACAGATCCGTGGTATATCTCCAGAAATAATCCACGCCGGTGTCGACGGTCTTCTGGATGCTTACCGTGTAAGCTTTCGCGGTGTCTGGGTGACTACTGCGAGTCTATGTCTCGTCGCTAGCATTGGTGAGTAGATACCAATTCCAAGTGAATATCGAGGAGAATTTGCTAATCTTTCGTCTTAGCCGGTTTCTTTCTACGTGATCCCACCGAGAAGTTTACTTCCCAGATCGACGCGCCCATTACACCAGATACAGAGGTTGTAGAGATTGAGAAGAGAACGAAGAGTCCAGGCGATTCTGCTTGAAGGGCAATACATCCTATAACAGGGACATTTCGTAATTTAAATTTTAATACGATATTGCAAGACATTAATTTATTTATCACTAACTGCGATTCTCCATCATTGTGAAGCCCATTTAAGGAAACCTCACAAATGGTGCCACATACGTTGTCATGTATACCCCCTTCTTCTGGGAGAAGTTGAACGAGACAAATGTATGCTCAGTTGGTGTCGTGACCGTATCGTCGACAACATCGCTCCCACTAGAGTTGTCAGTATCATGGTCCTCTTGATCAACAGTTACTTACTATGCATCCGACACAATCTTCTCATACGTGCCCTCTATTCCCCAAGCCCATCCTCTCTTCCGAAACACCTTCTCCATGGCTTCTGTAGCATCTTTGTCATTCTTGAAGTATTGATTCAGAGGGACATAAATCTTGACCTCAGGGATGTCCTGGCCAGGCTTGAGTTCCCAGCTAAAGCATGCTCCACTAACGTCAGGCTTATCTTCCAGTATCTTCTTTGAGAATTTCTCATCGAATTCCTTATTCTCTGGCTCATTAAGAAGTATATGCCACATATCGCGAAGGATCGCTAGACCTTCCGTTGTTGTTTTGTCTGTGACTTGACCTCCGAGGGTGACGTGTTGTACAACTGCCTCCCAGGTATTGGACTGGGGCTCGATGTAGATCTTGACTCTGGCGCCTTCTTCGGGACTCACACAGTCGATACCAATAACAACAGTTAGCGGTGGGTCTTGATACAGCTTGCTTTGGTACCGCTCGATCATGTCAATAGCTGGCCCAAATGAAGGACCAAGGGGATCAAGCCGTCGGATGAGGTCAAATCCAGCCCTATCCGAGTTTTGTTTTGCTGTCATCCACTTGATAACAGGATAGAAGTATGCCTTCATAGTCTGTTTGTCATCCTTGAGATCAAAGGCCAGAAACACCTTGGGTATGCGAATGGTGTCCTTCGGCATCTTCTCCGCCAAAATCACAGCATCTTCCTCGGATGGATAGAACTCGGTGGCAAACTGATTGAACCAGCGGAGATCAGCACCCGTCTTCTCGGCAATTCTTGGAATGGTGTCTTCAGTGACACCATCTGAGCCTGGAAACACGGGCTCGTAGCAGAAACGCACGTATGACTTGCCGCTGTCACAGTTGTTTAGGCTGGTTTCGAATGGTGAGCCATTTGGGGTCAGGAGTGATCTCGCGCGGTCCTTCTCAGGCGCACGCCCCATGCTCGGGATGATATAGTTGTCAAGAAACTCAAGATGAGCAGCTTGTTGTTCAGGAGTGTAATCTCCAACGGATTTGAGAAGAGATGTGAGAACCGGTTTAGTGTGTTTCGTCCAGAAGACTATGCCATCTTCTTTGGCTTTGAGATCTGAGGGCTTATCACTGGCAAGTGATATCGATCAGTACCTATATGAAGCATGCTCGGGCTTGCGATTCACCTTTTTCCAGTGCTTTGAAGAGCTTCTTCGTGGTCCGTTGGTGCTACAGGCATTTCAGGAGTAAGAGGATCCAATGTCGATGGCATATTGTGAAGAGCTGTGATGCCGAAAGCCAGATTGGGCTATGGGGGAGAATTATCAGCGCTGCCTGCTTTGCTGGGGAACCTGAGATTTTGTGACTGCTGTGATGCGCTGCCCGAAACACCCGTAGGGGCTAATATCTGACGGCGGGGCCAGTGATTAACCCTTGACAGTGGGAGTAATAGGCACTAGCTCACTGAGCTTTAGCGCACAACCACGCACAGCTTTTATAGCTCCGACTTTCAGCGCTCGCTTCCTCGACTCAGACAAAGCGGTTCAAACAATCACAGTTCAATTAGCGTTTCGCCTCTGATTCGTAAATCTCTTTGCTGACGCTTACTTCTTTTTAACCATGGGCAATTTTGACAAGCGATTCACCACTAGCGACGGCGACACTTATGCCTACGACTACATCCCCGCCAAGGACAACAAAGAAACATTTCTCTTCATCCACGGTTGCCCGTCTTCGCGCTACGACTGGCGATATCAATTCGAGGACCTTTCAGAAGCAGGATATGGGGTCATTGCCCCAGACTGTCTCGGCTATGGCGATTCCGACAAGCGTGCTGACCTTGAAGCTTATAATTTGAAGCGTCTCAGTGGGCATTTTATAGAACTGCTAGATCATGAGAAGATTGACAAAGTCATTGGTGTCTCACATGACTGGGGATCTATGGTAATGTCTAGAGTTGTCGTTTGGCATCCTGGGAGATTTTCCAAGCTGGTGTTCATGTCGGCCGGCTATACGGCGCCTGGAGTATTCTTTGACATTGATGGACTTAATGTCTGGAGTCAGAAGGAGCTTGGGTACATGCAGTTGGGCTACTGGTATTTCTTCAACTCATATGACGCCGAGCGAGTTATTCTCGATCATGTATGTGCTTGACCCAGTAACCTGTTGAACTAATTCACTGATTTGTTGTAGCTAGAGTCATTCTTCCACCTCGCATACGCCGACGACAATGCCCTATGGATAACAGGTCTTGCAGCCATCACCGGAACGCGAGAATGGCTGACCTCTGACAGGATATGCCCCCTCCCCCCATTTCTCACAGAACAAGACAAGACCCGCTGGCTCGAGATAAACAGACGAAAGGACACCGTCAAGGGTCTACTCAACTACTACCGTTCCCTCATGCGTGGAATCCAAGCAGGGGATGAGGATCCACTGACAGATGAGCAACGCACGCTCAAAGTTCCAGTTCTTGGTATCTGCGGCGGTGGAGATATGGTTACACGGGCGGATCAAATTGGGAGGGGTATCACACCATATGCAAGCAAGGGCTACAAAGAAGTGGTTCTCGAAGGAGCGGGACACTGGGTCATGCTTGAGAGACGCGCCGAAGTTACAAATGCCCTGCTGGAATTTGTTCAGGAGGAATCATCATGAACTGCTGGGTTACACTTCTGGTTACCATTGCATCATGTGAGTAAGCGGGAATTTACAAAAGTACCAAAATATCTTGGAAACCTGGCTTGCATGATCCTACATCAAGATCAGAAGTTTGAGGGATTAAGTTAGATTACAATATGCGTATGGGTCGCTGCATTCATCCTTTTCTGATGTTCTCTGCCAAGATTTTTATTCTGCTGCCTTGTGAAATGCGGGGTGAAGGATCAACGTCCGTGTGTTATCTATGCGGGGTATCACTATTGTAGGCGGGGAACAGCTCCTGGGGAAGTGAAATTAGGATCATGAAATATGCCATTGGAGGGGCTAACGCTTGACTAGGGAAGAGTAGTTCATCCTCTGAACCTCCGAGATGTTCTGGTTTTTTGGTCTATCGTATCTGGTCGTAACCTGCAATCGGACTTAACATTCCTGTCACTCATTGCTGTATCGAGACTTGATGGAGACTAATTTCTTACTGCAGTTTTCTCTACATACATGCCGAGATCTATCTATGCCATTTCAAGCATGGTTCCTCTTCTTCAACGTAATGAGGAATCGTCCACATGGCTCGTCGATGGTGACCTTTCGAACATTCTCCGGTCTCTTGTCCAATCTCTCAAAGTCATAATCCATAAGCAGATGCGTCAGCGTAAGCTTGAGCAAGTTGCTTGTGAAGAACCTTCCAGGGCAGGCTCCCCTCCCAAGCCCAAAGTTCAAGAAATCCGGTGAGATGTCCGTCATCTTAGGATGCTCCGGATCCTCCATTGATCGTCGGGGATTAAACCCGCCAGGGTATGTCCGCTCATCTCTCTGATAGGCCTTGATAGGTGCAGCAAGGATGGCACCCTGCGGCACATGGATGCCGTTGGAGAAAGTGAAGCCACCCTGCTTACCCACGGCTCGCTCAATGCCCGTCTCACCGATTGGGTTGTAGCGGATGCTCTCTCGGATGAGCGAGTCCATTAGCGTCAGCCTTTGGAAGAACTCATGTGAGAATGCATCGCCTTTGGCCATTTCCTGGCTTATCTCGGCACGCAAGTCGCTGATCATGGCTTCGTAGTCGCCTGCGGGGAGTGAGATGAGGTCATATACCAGATTGGTCATTGTGACTAGGTTAGTGTACGATTGGACAAAGTTTAGAACCATCATTCTGGCGACGATGACCATTGGTTCGTATTCTGATGGACCGTTGGGGTCCTTTTTGGCGGCCAGGATGATGGCACTCAGCATGTCATTCTGGGAAATATCAGCCGCTGTCAAAAATAAATGGTAGATCTTGAAACTTACGGGGAGATCTGGTTCAATTTCCTTTTCTTCGGCTGCATCAATAATGGCCATGCGCTCCTTCAACACGGGCGTCGCGTGCTTGGCAGCAGTCTCAATGCATCGCATCAGCGGGCGGCACATGTAAGGCAGCAGAAGCCTGTAGAACATCAGCATCCTATCACTGCAATCAACAAGAGATCAAGGTCTTGGGGCTGCTTACGGACGAAGAAATGGTGGGATGAAGCGGGCGTACAACGCTGACGCAAAGAATGTGGCGGCGTATTCAGCGGTAGCATCTCTGTACTCTTTATTGTCACACAAAGGCTGACCTGAGATAATACGGTTGGCAGATCTGCTGAGAATAGCACTGGCTGTATCCCACATATTGATCTGCACAACACCATGGGAGTCAAGCTTTGAGGCGATATTGTCATCCAGAGCAGCCTTCATCTCCTCATTGACCATGGGCATTTTATCCGCAACCTTTTGGTAGAGCTCTTTGTGGACAACATTCCTGTAGACGGTGTGAATGACTATATGAGGTCCAAGGGTAGTGTAGTCAGGTACAAGGGCTTGAAGGGTGTATCTCTTGAGGGAAATGTCATTCTCAGGTTGTTTGACGTATTCATTGAGGAGCTGCTTGGGCACCATGAGCATGAAGCCCGTGCTGCAGTGGGGGATTGGAACGAGCTGAATACCGCCATGGCCAGCTTCAATTATCTGGTCTTATAAGCTTTGGACCCAAAAAGGTAGAATGCATAGCGTACCTTGCGATGAGTCTCCTTGAAATACTCTCGCGACTTGAGGGCAACTTCATATGATGCCTTCATGAATGTACCGACACCTTTCTTATCACCAGCCCAGTTGAACTTTTGGTAGTCCTTGGAGAGTGCCGCTTGGAAAGCAGGCTGCATCAGGTGTAACAGCCATGCTGCAGTGGTACCAACGATTGTGTACAAAACAATGCGAGGCAGAAACGTCTGGGCGGCGGCAGCGAGATCAACAGCCATTGTGACAAAGCCTGAGAATGGAAAGAATGCTGAATTATCCCAAAGTGGAGGTCAAAGCTGCTTGTAAAGGTCTCGCTAAAGCGAAGAATGAGGTCAAGGGGAAAAGAACTTTGACTAGAGTAAAGACCACAATATCTTGTTAGTTTCTGCCCCACCTCGAGGATGCGACCGTCACCTTTTAGGATCCAACCCCAAGAATCTGAGTAGCCAATGGTTTCTATGAGAATCCTGCCGCCTAATGACGATCGATTTCGTTCTGCATGCAAAAGTCTTATTCAGGGTCGGATCGACTTCTTGGAAAACCTCGTCATGATTCAGAGTCTGCGGCAGGACTTCGCTTACATGACGAGGGTGGGCAACCTTTCTCGGAGGTATCCTTGTCACAAAGGGTCACTAATTGGTTGACATTCTTTTTGTGAGCTCACTGGGTAATGAAGTGTGTGTGATAACGTGGGAGGCTTGGGATACATCAGTTACATGCTCCTGTCGGGCCTGATGGGACCTACTGCTGGCTTTTGGTCAATGACGAAACACCTTGGCGAGAGGAGTTAGGTCGGAGTGGCCGTGGATCACTAAGAATTGACTGTCTGATACCCGAAGCCGACAGATGTCAGTGACAGGAGGAGGAAGTATCGGCGATTGTCCGCGTGAAAGCATGGCAGCCCATCCTAAGTTGTATTTCTCTTCTCTTCTCGTCCTTATGACGTTTATTTACCTGGTACCTTTCCTTTGACAACCTTTCCATCTGCTGATCACATTCTCGGCTTTTTTCAACATCAAATATGTCCAGGACGAATACCTTTTACAGCCTCGGTGTAATGCCCGCATTGATGGGGCTGGGGCATCTGGCTCCAGCCATAGGTGCTATACAGACTGCAACCGGGTCCTATCACTTTCCTGTGAGGCTTCTCGGACTTATTGGCACCATTTCAGCTGTTGTTGACTGCAAGTCATACTCTTTACCCTAATTAACTCCATCTCAAGGGTATCTTACTAATCATCCTCCTCTTCAGCCATGGACACATACAAAGACCTCTCGCCATCAAACCGGCCTGCCGAGTGGATATGGAACCTTTGGGTATATGGCCTCTGGTCCATTGTCCTCGTCTGTACTGCAACGTTGGACTTTCACACCATATATGACATATATCGTGTCCTACCTCTTGGTCTGGCTTGGGGAATCCCTTGCGTCCCGTTGTACTCGTTATCCAAAGGATGGATTCTAAGCAAGCCCAAAACTCTAGTAAGCTCAACGCTCATTCTATACACATTACATATCCTTACATTCTTAGCTCTTTGAAGCAAAGTCTTTGGTAGTCGCATTCTGTATGGCAAGTGTTTGTGCCGAAGCCAGTATGGCTTATTGCTGCCGACAGAAGGAGTACCAATGTGCAAGCAGAGATTTACGAGCAAGAAGCTTCTATCTCGCCGTCCTATACCAATTCTTCCGCGAGACATCATGCGACATCAGAGATATTCCGGAAGATACCAAAGAAGGCTTACAAACACTGCCTGTCAAGCTCGGCAAGCAGAACACGGTATTACTCTTGGCTACGGTTGGCGTTGTAGCCGAATCAATTCTGACTCATGGTATCAACATAACAACCGCAGGGACTATCGTCAAGGCTCCACTGATTGCTCGTGCGTTCTTACGAGTTGGGTTGACGATGGCAGCATATTGGAAAGTGTTAAGGTATCCAAGGCAGAATTCGTGGGCTTGGGGATCTATGTCGCTACTGGGGTTGACTCCGGTGCTTTTTGCACAAGCTGCTCTTCGTGACTGAAAGACGTCGAGAGGGAGATTCTGAAAGTCTTGAAAATTTGTCGGGGCATATGAAAATCGTGGTGCGAACAAGCTCGGAGTCTTGGAGATGCCCTTAGACCTAGATAGCATTTGAATAGAGTGAAATCTGACTACATCCCAATGCCTCACAATCTTCACCAAAGGAGATACCATGCTACATCGAGATCCTTCCATCGAACAAACAAAGTCACAAGCTTGACTAAGAAATATTGAATACAAACTATTCAATCTATCAATAGCCCCTTCCAGCTGAAATAAAAGATGTCGGTCAAAGTTTAGACTCTCTACTAGCACGGCCGAGCTGCTCAAGGTAATCCATCAGGTCTGTCCACATCTTTTGCGGTAACGAGTTGGAAAACCAAGTATTTCCTTCATAGTCCTTACCAACCACTACAAACACGCTCGATATGGCGGAGACAGTATTGTGTCCGGGATCAGAAGCTTGATAATACAGAGGATGTCCCCTCTTTCCCCTTCTAGACTCAGGGTGTACCTCCTGTTCTATCGCGGGGCTGAAGTCCAACTTCTCAGCAAGGTCTCCCTTGCTCCAATTCGACATGAACTGGGCAGCCATGTTGGTGCTCCCAAAGACGACAGGCATATTGCTCGTCTTCATAGACTCCACTGAGAGCGCTGTTGAGGCTTTCAGCTGTTCCTCTGTGGTCTGTGCTTGTATGGCCTGTCGCACTTGGAGAGCAAGTTTCCCAAGTGGTAGGTCCAAGATTTCGTTGGCACGGCAGAACACAAAGGCGTTTGTAGGAGAGTTCTGAACGTATGCTTTTTCTGGCAAGAAAACTGATCGGGCTCGACTTCGAGGGTCCACAGCCATGATCGTTGCCAGCTCTCGATTCGTACCCCGGCCTTGGTACTTGGCCAGCATGAGGCAAGAAAGAGCAGCGAAGACATCCCCCTCGCTGATGAATGGCTTATTGTCAGTTGCTTCCTCTTCCAGATGGCCTCTCGCTTGCAGCATCATTCTGCTAACTGTCTCTTTTGGGATACACAGAGTCCGCGACTGAATGTTGCCGGATCTCCACGATTCATACAAGCTTCGTAAGCCCCAGAGTTTGAAACGCCAGCCATCAAGAATCTTGTCCGCAAGAACATGTTGTTCCTTGGGCGGCGACTTGAGCATGTCGTCGAAAACATCTTTCCGGTATCCTGGCATTGGGATGACGGCTTCTGGCTTCCCAGCAAGGACCTGACTCCAACCCTCAAATATGGCAGACAACCCCATCAGGTCAGTTGTCACATGCGAAAACGTCAAGTTGACAAGAGTACCATCGGTGAAGGTTTGCACATGGAGACAGAATTGGGGTATGTCAGAATGAACAAAGTCGTCCATGTTGCGCGGCGTCTCTGGGCGGAGTCCAAGAGCACAGAATTCCTTCGGCCCCGTATAAGTAGAGATACTTCCAGTTGGCTTCGGTAGTCGTGAAGCCAGTGGATGTTCTGACATTGGGGTGTCAAACTCTTCTTGGGTGAAATAAACTGCCGGCCGTTCATCTGTAAATTTTCGAGGGACATGTATTTCGAGTCCACCGTCTGACTGTATGCAGGTCAATATCAATCAATTTAGGGGACCATGAAACCATACCCTTTGCCGAAATCTTCCACCTAATCTCCGCCATCCGTCCATTCCGAAGAGCTTTGACAGAGCATTGTTCAATTTATGGGGGTTCAATATGTCTTCAAACTGCAAAGTCCATACCAGCACGATTCCCCGGGCCGCCGCAGTATCGTCGAACAAGTGCACCGGAATGATGTCATCTGACTCGACAGCGTCTGGGAGAGGGCGTTGCTCTTCCTTCTTGAAGAAGGGTAGGTAATTGAGCAAGGCCGCCATTGCCCTTGAGATTACAGACTTTGCAAATTGCTGCAACGACTGCCATGATGCGGGGGAAATCTGTTGGTCTGTACGAGTTGCCGCCATGTTAACAAGCGAGGTGCCAAGCTTAATGGATGGCAAGGTAGCATGCAGAGGATTACATTCCCTGTTTCCTCTGTGGTGCGGGGTTCTCAGTGCCCCCCTCGTTCTGCCCTGGCGCCTGGCAAGGCAGCAGTTTAACTAAGGATGAGCTAATCTTTTCAAAGGATAGAGTTCCTAAGGCTAGGTGATGTGAATGGCCGACCAGTTGAAGGGGACGGTGGAATTGGTTAAGCGCAGTTCACGCAGCTCAATGCGTAGCATGAGTTTACATGGGGCCAGGCAGACACCTGCCTTGCTTTGCGATATCGAGAGACATGAGGCGATTTACTGCCCTGTGAATAGTGTCAGAAATAATTGCAGTGAATAGAGGTCTCGCCATGTTTGCCCGTATTCTCTTATTCACGGCCCTGCTTATTATGCCTCTGGCTTACTTCTTATCTCATCAGGCCTCAACACAACATGCGCCCTACGTCCAAGGAAGAAACAAAACCGTGCTTTTCCTCACAAACAGCGAGCATGGTTTATCCAATGTGCATCTTGCAACGGCATCAGCCATCTTAGAGAATTATCCAGATATAGAAGTTCACTTTGCTTCATTTCCGACTATTGAGCAAAAGTTGGAACGAATCACATCATTCGCCAAGATTAAATCCCCTCACGCGAAAACCATTGTTTTTCACAATCTCACAGGTCTGACATTTGTGCAGGCAATCGCCAGAGAAGGTCGAAGTTTCATATCCCCTCCCGGATGGAGAGGTATCGGTACTTTGGCCAAGCACATACAGCTCTGGATATCACCATGGACGTTTGAAGATCATGTGCACTTGTACAAAGAAATTGGTGGCATTATCGATGAGGTTGACCCGGCTATCATTGTGCTCGACAGTTGGTTCCGGCCAGCTATAGATGCCACGCGAAAGAGGAATAGGCAGCATGCCTTCGTCACACCGAATACTCTTATAGACCATTTCTTGGGCATTCAGCCGCTCTGGGCTAGATTCTGGAAATACCCTGCGTAAGTCATTTCATCCAAGAAATCCACTGACACTAATAGCAATAGCCCATCATCAGGTTTTCCCTTCCCAGTCCTTTTACTCAAGCTGCCTGAGAACGTATACATGAATGTTCGTTATACCTACAGCGCAATGTTTACTCCAGATTCGTCAGCAAAGAAAGCTCAACTTCAATCAATTGGACTGGGAGAACCAATGAATTTATTTGGAATACACCGACCGGGCGTTCCATGGATCACTCAAAACACACAGGGCGCCATGATCCCAGTAGAGGTTCTTCCGCCCAACGTCACATGTACTGGGCCAATCATTCTGTCAGGGCCACCAGCTGATCGACAGGATCCAGAAACTGCAACCTGGCTCAAGAAAGCTCCCACAGTGCTCATTAATCTCGGCAGTAATCTTGCTGTGGGTCTTCAGAAGCACAAGAATTGCACGTGTAGCTAATGCTTGGCAGTATGACGAAGGTCGTGCTGAAGTCATGGCGATCGCCATAGCAGCCTTATTATCATCTACTGACTACCAGGTCTTGTGGAAATTCAACAAGCTGGGAGACTTCTCTGATGATTTCTTGGTGCACTTGAAGCCCTACCTCGATAACGAGCGACTAAGAATGCCAAGTTGGCTCGTAGCAGACCCGTCCTCACTTCTCGATACTGGAAACATCGTTACTTCAGTGCACCATGGCGGTTCAAACTGCTATCATGAAGCACTTGCGTAAGTAAATGCTCAAGGCCACTCGGCAGATAACCACTGACCATTATTAATTAAGTGCCGGTGTGACACAAGTTATCCTTCCCTTGTGGGCCGACCTTTATAACTATGCTGCTCTAGCTGAGACAAGAGGCATTGGGGTCTGGGGATGTAAGGATTCAACGCCCGACTGGACGAGCAAGTGCTTATTGGATTCTTTCATGAAAGGAATAGATGGTTGTGGCGAGAGTTTCTTACAGCGACGGGCAAAATGGCTGGGTGATAGGATTAAAGCAGGGAAGAAGGGGCGTGATGTAGCAGCTGATGAGATTGCCAAACTGGCATACATGAAGTGAGGGTCTCGGTAGAACTTCTGCAAGGCAAAAGAAATCCCATGGTACTCGGTTCTGGTCCCAGATTTTCAGCTAAGCTGAATCTACTCGATAAAAGGTTTTTCATGGGCGTGTTGTTCCAGGGTCGCTGTGCTGTGATCATAGAACTGAGTATCTCATGACTGACCCCAGTTCAATCTTATTATATAAAATGCATGCGCCCCAAGCAAGACGCTAAGGGAGTAAAGCGGCCCGCTAGACTCACTAATTCCCCTGTAAGGAATACGCCCGTTATACGCTTACCGCTAGTAATACGCCCCAAATACGCAATACGCAACCCAATAACGCCGGGCGTATTCTTTCGACAGGACTATAAGCAAAACAGAAAATACAGCAGTAATAAAAGAGGGAAAAAGCGTTAAATATGTGTCTCTTTCCCAAATTCTAGAAAATCAATTACTTTCAACCCCAACAGAATTGTTTTGCATAATGAAAGCGTTTCTTTTTCCTTCGGCGTTCCTCGCAATCGTGGCCTCTGCGCTGCCAGATCCGAAGGGTCATGAGTTTCGCGCCGCAGGACCCTACGACAGTAAATCTTCCATATCAAACTGGACCAGCCAGCCAAAATGCTAACGTTGTGTCTCATTACAGGTAGATCACCGTGCCCAGGCCTCAACGCTCTCGCTAACCACGGCTACCTTCCACGCGATGGCGCAAACCTCGATTACGACATGATCAATCATGCAGCCCAGGGCGCTTATAATTTCGAAGACGGATTTTACATCGATGCCGTCAACATGGTATTTCAGCTGAATATCTCGACCACAAACCAACCCAGCAAAACCTTCCATCTCCGAGACCTAGCTCGGCATGATCAGATCGAGGTCGATGGCTCTCTCACTCGAAACGACATCTTCTTCGGCGATGACTTGCACTTCGATGCTACTGTCTTTGATCCCGTCGCACGCGATCTTGGACTTGATAAGATCAGTCGTAAAGATAAATATGTCACTGTCGAGACAGCAGCCAAAGCAACGAAACATCGACTCGACCTTGCCAAATGCGTCAATCCGGAGTTTAATGCTTCCGTGCATCAGCACCAGACCGAATATGGCACTACTGCGCTCTATCTTTTGACTGTATGGGATGAACAACAGAAGGCAGCACCAAAGCATTGGGTTAAAGCATTACTTGGTAAGGCCGCTCTCTATCACTTGAGGCTTGATTTCATAAGCTAACGAATTTTAGGCGAGGACAGGATCGCTTACAGAGAAGGATATGACAAAGGCAAATCGGTCAAGACGAATAAGCAAGTTGGTGCTATGACTCAAGCTGTTCGAGCAGTGGTTGGGTGGAAGCCGTAGTTAAGCATCTAGTCACAGACTTAAGACTGTGACGAGGAAGTTGGATCGCCCTTTGGATACAATGATAATCTTTTTTATACGTTCTCAAGAGAGACTTTCTTCCGCGTTGTAAAAAGATCCAACACACCTACTCGTCATTGAGGAGTAGCATCCATAAAAGGACCGTTCTGCTACCTTGCCTTTAACTCGGCAACATGCATCGATGGAAGACACAGTTTGGACCTCAGTCAGGTACTATCACTAACTATAAAATCTCCTCAGTGCGTACAGTGGTCGGTGGGTTCTTACTGTAGGGCCTACAGGGCAAGCATGTATAAGTCAGGTTGAGGTCTCGTTTCATTTATTCATGCCTTCAGCATCCCAGAAGAATATGCCTCATGATACTGGCAGTGTGCTGGTTCTATGCATCGCATGGTAGTAAGGTGTTTTCGGCCGCCAGCATAAGCAATGGGGATAATGTCGAGCCATCGGACCAGCCAAAGCCATAGCGCCTATGGCAACGATCCAGCTCGCAGCCGTGAAGCCATCCCCCATCCTATCGAACTGAACTGTATAGTAAATACCCAAAACACCACTTCCGATAACGACGAGCACCATGATAGAACACATAATATAGCATGGCCTGAACCTGGGGGGTCTTTCTGTGGGCACATCGGCGATTTCAAGAGGGCTGGGAGGCCGTTGAACTGGTGCTCTGACCGATGGAGGAAAAATGAACATACGACGCGAAAGTCGGTCTCTGTTGAGAGACCTTCCTGTTTGAAGGCTATCGTTATTGGAGCCATCGGCCTGTGGCTGTGTGTTTCGTATATCTTCTAGTTACTGTAAGTAATGAGATTGAAAGAGTGTGTTGCTTCCTACCAAATTCCGACATCCATAACTGCAATACATTGGCAATCTTCTGATATCCGGCATCATGAACGGAGTTGAAGCGTACCATGTCTTCATGACTGGTATTGATGGGAATAGGTTCATCCCCTGGTAACGTCGCTGACTCTTTTGAAATGGTGAGTCCAATCTTGCCAGCCAGCGTCTCCTCAAAGAAAGACTGCGTAACGATCGGCCTGTCCCTGTCCCGCTGGTCTTTTATCAAAGCTTTGAATCTCTCTTGGGTGACCTCAGGTAACATTGAATATGAGTCAAGGTCAGATAGGTGATAATCCTTTGGGATGGCTGAAATCCCAAGTAATGAAGTCAAAATACTCGCCCAACCAAACGTCTGTAAACCTTTATGGGGAGTACCTATAAACATGATTGCTTTCAGACTCATATATACACCTTAGAGGTGGCTGTTGGCATTATCGTATGACATTAGAACAGCCCTCTTGCAGATTATACCACCCAGACTATGCGCGACCAAGATCAAAGGTCGTGATGATGCATTACCCGCGATTCGCTCCATCGTCAAGTGAATCAGAAGATTATTTGCGGCGCGATCAGCGGGACTTTGGCCAGTTCTCGGTGAGTTTGACAACACATCCCCATTATATCCATACGTGAGAATGCGGACTTTGCCAAGCAGTGCAGGTAGAAGCGTCTTTGGCCAAGGCTCAGACTCCCCTTCCGCTGTCCATGTCCCCACGCGATCTCCCATTAAGCCATGGACAAAACATATGTCGGCGACAGCGCTCGGGTCATCGTGGAGAGTTATAATGCCCTCCGAGGGGGCTTGCGTAGTGGACGATGACGTCGCAGGAATATTCCCGATACCTAGAGGAGGAGTTGAGGTGTCGGTAATGTGTGGTAGCTGCGCAGCCTGATGTGGTGGCGATGGAGTTCGCGTCGCGCGTGTAGAAGGGCCCCATCGTTCGGGATTGAATGTGTACAAAACCTTGAGAAACAAGTTGCAGACGCACTTTTGTCTTGAAAATATCTATTTGATGGAAAGATGGAAAGGTCGATGAGGGGAAACGTCATCTTTCAGCCTCAGGAAATGTCTGAGCTGAAGCCTCAAGTTCGGTTATAGCCAATCGTGTACCAGGCTTACCCGCCGAGGCAGAATCTCCTTTCGTAGGTATACGATAAGTTAGAACAGACGCTGGAATATTCATAAGATGGTCGTGGTTCAATTCATCGTAGATTATCCAAACTCATTGTAAGACGATCCCATGCCACTCCGCATTTTTGCGAAATGGCAGCCATGAAAGAACTGGTCTCTGTCTCCGTGCCTAGAATGAACAACACGCATCGAAGCGCAAAACAATATGCACGGCGATAAGAGATCATCGCTCTGCATTTTCCTTCATATCGCCAGACTCAATGACGTAGAGTGACGTCTTCAGTACGTGCTCATGACGCCCGTACCTCTGACGATATTACCACTCGACTTCGACTTGCCTTCACATGTACCAGATCAGACCTCACTACAACACCATCATCATGCCAAAAACAGCCGTCGTCAGCGGCGGAGCCCATGGTATTGGCCGTACCCTTGCACGTTATTTTCTCGAAAAGCAGTACCGTGTATTTATCCTCGACATAGACGAGCAGGAACTCACTCACACAACACGCACGCATCTCAAGTCCTACTATGACTCCAAAGCCGTTGATTCGGCCATCTGCGATTTGCGCAACACAGATGAGATCTACGATAAGATTCAGCAAGCAGCAAAGTTTCTAGATGGCCATATTGATGTTGTCATCAACAATGGCGGTATTGCGTCACCGCACTGGAAAGACGGCAAGACGATGGTTGATCGAGAGACGTTGAAGGAGTGGCAAGCGTACATCGAGACGAACCTCACAGCGCCGTTCGTGGTGTCGCAGGCTTGTATCCCGTTTATGAAGAATGAGAAGGATACCAGGCCTGTGACGGATGATAGCCACAGCACTGCTGGGCCTTGCATCATCAACATAGGATCATTTCGCGCAAAGCAGAGTGATCCAAACCAAGAGGGTTATGCGTCTGCAAAGGCTGGTCTGTTGGGTCTCACGCATAGTATGGCTGTGAGTCTGCAACCCTTTGGGATCAGGGTGAATCTGGTGGCGCCAGGTCGAATCAAGGCTGATCATGAGTCAAAAGAAGGTGATGAGAACGGCGTTGAGTGGGCGCACTTGAACGAGGATAAGGATGTGGAGGATCATCTTACGAATAGAGCTGGAAGACCGTTGGATATTGCTGAGGCTGTTGAGTATATGGTCAACGCTGGCTTTGTGACAGGTCAGGACCTGATCGTCGACGGAGGCGCAGTTATGATCAAGTAGTTCAAGTACATCCAATATTCACCAAGTCACAGGCACGAGAAACCAAAGTGTTCGTAATCATTCATATTCATATTATACTCATACAGAGCATTAGCGTTAAAGTATTTCTTTGAGTGGAGTTGCGACTGTTTCATCAGTCAGGGTATAAAGTAGGCTTCTTCCAAAGCCGCATTAGTCGGTTTGAACCGTTCAGGAAATCTTTCATCCTGCAAGTTCATGTTCAGGTTTGTGAGTGGAGATTGTTGTGTCATAGATCAAAAAAGAACCGCTTTGATCATCCCGGTAAAAACGAACGCCTCATGTACTGTTTGTTCCTCGCTTTAGTCGACACCGCTGTCGGAGTCGTCAACAACAGCCGGCTTCGGCTTGGTCTCTGTAGCTGGAGCTGTAGCTAGTCTCAGGGGGCCCAGGGCGGGGCCGAGTCGTGCTCCTGGGGCGGGCCACTTGTTGGGGCCGAGAATTTGAGGCTTGTTTCTGTGATGGTGTTAGTACAACATGGTAGAGATGGTTGGGGACTGGGGACGTACGCTTGCTCCTCGACGGCAGCATCCTTCTTCTTTTGCTCTTCCTTTTGTTGTTTGCGGAGAGCACGACGAGCATCCTTTTCCTTGCGCTCAGCAGCGCGCTTCTCCTTCTCCTCGATACGCTTCTTGGCCTCGGCGAGCTTTCGCTCCTTCTCCTGGACATCAGCGCGTCTCTTCTCTTCAGCCTTGCGCTTCTCCTCCAGACGCTTCTTCTCTTCAAGCTTTCGCTCTTCCTCGATGCGTCGCTCCTCTTCGAGACGCTTCTCCTCCTCGATCCTCTTCTTCTCCTCGAGTCTCTCGCGCTCCTTCTCCTTCTCGCGCTCCTCAGCGGCCTTTCGTCGACTCTCGGCCTTGAGCTTCTTCTCTGCCAGGCGGCGCTTCTCTTCGACCAACTTCTTCTTCTCCTCAAGCTTACGCTTCTCCTCAGCGCGTTTCTTCTCTTCGGCACGTCGCCTATCCTCGGCTCTCTTCTTCTCTTCAAGCTTCTTCTGCTCTTCAAGTCGCTCTCTCTCACGCTCCTTCTCCATCTCCTCAATCCTCTTCTTCTCTTCGGCCTTTCGCTTCTCCTCTAAGCGGATGCGTTCGCGCTCATTCTCCTTCTCGCGTTCACGCTCTCTCTGTCGTTCCTCTTCTCTCTCGCGCTCCTTCTCATGCATCCTCAACTTCTCCTTCTCAGGATCTGAACCTGGACTTGGGCTCTTGATCTTCATTGAGGCTCGGGCTGATTCGTAGTCCTTGTACCGGTCCCTTCGATTGTCGTTGTCAAGTTGGCTGAGATGTCGGCTATGGCGTCGCTCTCTTGCGCGTTCAGGGTCAACACTTCTGGTGTATGACCTCTCCTTCTCGCCGCGGTCAGAGTCACTGTTCTTGGGGGTAGCTGCCTTGCGCTCGTTGTGTAGTCGTCGGCGCTCTGCTCTCCGAGCCTCCCGATCCTCATCACGATGTTTGCTTTCTTCAGGAGCGCGAGGAGTGTGACTATATGAGGCTCGTGAGTGCTCACGACTACTCTTGTGTCGTCTCTCACCGTCCACGCGACTAGATCTCCTCTCGCGTTCGGCATACTCAGGGTCGCGATGTCTGATAGAGGCAGAGGTAGAGTGTCTCTTGTCAAGAGTAGGTCGTTCTCTCATAGATCTGCGCTTCTCCCTCTCCCTCTCCCGTTCCTTGTCCTCTTCATCACTTCGTCCAAGGAACCTCCGTGAGAGGCGGCGAGACTCCTTCTCATCGCTTCTCTCTTCTCTCTCCTCACCTTCGCGTCGCTTGTGTCGTCTGTGTCGCGTGCTTGGGCTACCTGCTCGGCTTCTGTCACGAGTATGGCGGTCCTTCTCAGTGCGACCACGGTCTTCATGTTCTCTGTGTCGACGACGACGTTCTGATCTTCTCGCCTCCCGCTCCTCGGGTGTCTCGGTTTCAGACCGATGACGCCTCACCCTTCGGTCAGGACGTAGAGTCGGTTCATCCGCCGCCTCCGGGCTGACCTTATCCCTGTTGAGCCATTGTCGCCACGACGACTGACGCTTCTCCTGGACAGGCCTCTCAACAACAGGCCTGCCCAAAGTCGGTCTACCCAGCGTGGGTCTGTTGACCACCAAGCCGGGATCGTCTACCTTGTAGGCAGGAGGGGGCTCAATGAAATCGACAGTGTTCTGAGAAGTGTCACTGTCAGACTCGTCATCAGTGAAGACCTCCCAGTCAGAGACGTCACGGACGACGGGCACGGGAGCGGGAGCTTTGGTGGCAGAAATCCCTGGACCTTTGACACGACTCTGATGGGCCATAGCAGTCTGTGAGACGATGTGTTAGAGAATCATTGATGAATGATACGATCATGAGTGGGGGTTTATTATTACCTAGCCAACCCAACCCAAGAGACGTAAATAGTGCAGTGCAGAGTTGAAAGATTTCAAGGGGGCTGGCGGGCGCGATGCCTGCTAGAAGGGATAGTTAAGGAAGATTTGGTCACTGACGCGACACGATAAGGCCCGGAAATTACTCTTCAGCCACGTGGGGCGTCTTGTTCAAGGGTCTATGTAAATAAAGCGTCACCACTAATTTCTCGGCGTTCCAACGGCCTGTGCGCTATGTTTGGTCTGTTTTGTGTGTTTTTGTTTGTTTTTGTTGACCAAGAGACATGAGACGTCTCGAGATCAGATTCTTTCAGTTTTCCCAACTCAACCTGGACGATGCTGAGTTAAGAACAATGTTGTTTTGAGAAGAGCGGTGAGCATTGACAAGTCATGGGATGTGCCTGGATGGGTCATGAGGTTTGACTGGAGGGGGATGTGGCTGGTGATATCAGAGAGAGAGGGTGTGTGGCTGGGGAGATTGCGCAATTTAAACTGTCTAACGTGAACAATCCTCGTGTAATTCTCGTGTCTTTGCCTGATATCTGAGAGAGAAAAGAGGCGAAAACTGAGAAACTGAAACACAGACTCTTATACCACTCGAGAAAAGACTCGCCAAACTTGTTGAGTGACTCATACTGGAGTCATGCGCTGGTCAAGTTTTGGATCATGTACGTGTCAAGCCACATCGCCATCTGCCATAGGCTGCTAGATCTGTGCTAAACCTGGCGGTGGAGTCAACGGTAACGGACGGGTTAGATCCCGTTTAGCTCCGAGCCGAGGTGAGTCTAAATAATCCCTCACCAAATCATTGACGACAGCTGTTTCAGATTGCTGCTTTGTTGTTCATGCCTCTAAGTAAATAACACAATATTATGACTCTGAACGAGACACATCCGCAAGAGGGGGGACTCAGTTGGAAGGGGGGGAAGTTTGAGGACGCCAAAGTTGGAGGATAGGTAGGTAGCAGAGTAACATGCATAAGACAAATTCTGCAGCATCAACTCAATGAAACAAGGCAAATGAATGGTTCGACATATGCATGATTGAGACTCGTGACAACTTGCAGCGTCTCTGTTGATCAGTGGTCGCATGAACCGTCTGTCTTTATTGGTGAACGCCAACTTTAACTTCCAGAAGTGAGCACCCGTTAATGCCGTGCATATGCAAGCTTGCACAGACTTATCCACAGCGGGTGCTTAGACGAATCTTTGGGAGACAGACATGGACATGCGCGCGAGGATTGATCGAGTTCCAGTGGCTTGTTGCAATCATTCCAAAAGGAAAACAATTCTTCCAGACCTGGGAATCGAACATGAGAGCATTGGGTAAGCGAGATCTGGAACATGTTTTTCTGCTTGACAATTTGGTTGGTGTCACATTTGAACAGGAGCTAGTTCAAAAACCAAGCAAACATCAGATTGATCGTGAACCTCTGAATCACAACATTCTGTGATGATCTCTCTGTAAACTGCACTTTTCGAGTAGGAACCTAATATTCCTTGGCACAAGCGACGGGTCTTTATGCTATTAAATCGACGCTGCAAATGTGTAACTACAAAACCTATCTCTCTGCAGGGTAGCTTCGCCAGTAAATAAACGCGTCGCGTCGCGCTAGCGTCCGCCTCTGAACTAGGGCCTGAGCCGACTTGCAGAGTCCATCACGCTGTTCAGATGCTCAATTCATATCGGCTTTGGAATTTTATGATAATGAAATCGGGTTCTGTGCCCGTTCAATTGCTATATACTCTTCATTGCTCGACATCGAGGTGAGTAAATAAATGATAATAATTACAAGAAAAGTTTAATCGCGTCACGTCGCGTCGCGATTTGGTTACAGCCAATGCTCTTTACTGAATATAGCGACGAACACGGCTGTTGGAGCCAATGCACTGGGAGTAGTAGTCGTTCATCTTCTTGCAAGAAGTGCCAGAGGGGCATGTGGTAGCACCAGTCCAGTTCTTACCTCCGCATTGACCGTACATCTGAGCGGTGGAGGAACCAGCGGAAGAGGAGGAGTCGGTGGCAGCCGCAGAGGTCTCTTCCTCGTCACAGTCTCCGGTGGCAACTGGCTTCACCTCAGCCTTGGGCTCCTCATCACAATCGTCGCTAGACGAGGATATCTGCTTGGAAGGAGTCGCAGGCGCAGTGGGCTTCTGCTCTGTCTCTGAAGAGGTATCAGCTGCAGCCTCAATCTCATCGTCGCAGTCGCCAGTAGTGACGGGCTTCTCCTCAGTCTTGGAAGGGGTAGCGTCCGTTTCCTCCTCGCAGTCGTCAGAAGCGATGGGCTTGACCTCTGCATTCGCAACAGGCTCGTTCTCGGTCTCCTCGGGGCAATCGGGAAGGGCCTCTTGCTCGTTGACAGCCTCAGGAGTTGTCTCAGGAGCAGTCTCGGGGGTGCTCTCTGGAGTAGTCTCAGGTGTAGCGGGAGTAGTCTCGGTAGCCTCATTGCCAGACTCGGGGCTCTGAGATGGGGCGGATTCAGAGCCAGAGCCAGAGCCAGATCCGGAGTTGGAGCCGGAACCAACGTTGGCGGGTCCGACGCTACCGAGGACAAGAGCAGTGACTTCGCTGGCAGAGACGGGGGTGACGATGTTGTCCTTGTTCTTAGCGACGGCGTTGAGTCCGCTCTCACCCTTCAGAGAGGGAAGATCACCGCTGCTGGTAGCAGAGTTGGGCACGCAAGCACGGCCAAGAGCGGACTGACAAGCAGAGGCACCGCTCTCATCAGCGACGAACAGAGTGCTGACGGAAGCAGCCTCCTTAGTGATAGGAGTATCGACACCATCAAAGACGTTGCCCTCAATGATGGCGTTGGCTCCCTGGTAGGCATCAAAGGCATGACCCTTCATGTTCTGGAAATAGTTGTTGGTAGCGTGGAAGTAACCGTTGGTACCAGGCTCACCAAGCTTGGGAGCTCGACCAGCGACGTCGTGGAAGTGGTTGCGATCGAGAGTGACCTGGTCACCCTCACCGTAGAACATCATGGTCCAGTAGTGGTTGCCGTTGCAAGAAGCAGAAGTGTCGGTGACACCGTCGAATTCGGAGTTGGAGATGGTGAGGCGGGAGCCGTCGTAGTGGGAGACGATGAACATGCGGCCAACCTTGGAGAACTTGCAGTGATCGATCCAAACACCATCGTTAAGACCCTTGAGCTCGAGAGCGTCGCCACCCCACACAACACCGGGGTTGATGTCGGTGAACTCAATGCCCTGGACAATGACGTTCTTGGATCCCTTCTTGATTGAGAGACCCTTGCCCTTGAGAACAGCCTTTCCGTTACCGATGATACTCTTGTTGCTACCAACGGGAAGGGGCTCAGGACCAGCAGCGTCGTAGGTGATGGAGCTAACAGCGACATTGTCATCACCGCCGCAAGAAAGATCACCGAGGTAAAGCTGACCGCCGTTGCTGGCACTGCAGCTCTTGCGATCACAACCAGCACCAGTCTTGACATCTCCAGTAAAGTCAAACTCCTTGTCGAGGTAGATAACACGAGGAGTGTCATCAGCAAGGAGCGTAGCGAGCTCCTCAGCAGAAGAAGGCGTAACAGCCTCTCCCTCACCACCAGTCACACCAGCGGCAAAACCGTAAGCCTTGCCCGAAACACTCTGAGCAGAAGCCGTGGCTGCAGCAGCCAAGATGGCAGCGATACTTTGCAGACGCATATTGAATAGAGAAATGAATGACAAGCCGTGAAAAAGTATAAACGAATGACTTAGGCCGGCCTAAGATGTAACGAATGAATGAGAGCTGAATGAAGGAAAGTAAAGAGCAGTACCAAAGAAGTGAGAGAAAGTCATGTTAGTTGACGATGTTGGGACCCTTTTAGATGTCTCGTCGTTGAAAACGTGCTAGGCTGAGATGGTATGTTGAGCCGATTGTCCGACGCGAAGTGTCTCATGCCCATGTTGAGTGACCCAAACGGCTGGCGCCAAGATGATCTTGAAACGGAGACGGAAAAATTATGCTTATTGCCCAAGCTTATTTGGGAAGACGTTTAGTTTCGAGGTTCGTGTTTTATTCGTGGAAAAGGCTATATAAACACTGATGGAACAATTGACAGTTGCCTTCATTTCATCACTAGAGCGTGGCCACCAAACTGAACAAAATGTGTTGGAGAGACGGTTGGACTGAATGCTGCTCTATCGATGACTTCGGATCTGGAGCGAGAATACGCGCTTCTTGGCCGTTTTTGAGTCCCATTGGCTCACTTACGTTGTTCAACTCCGCGAAACCCTAGCGTGATTGTGGACCTGTTTGTGCCAAGGATTCTAGTTGTATCAGGTGTATGGCACAGCAATTTCTGGCCTGAATTGCGGATCATGTTTCTGCAAGTCGAGATGAATTTGCCGCTTACTAGGGAGTTAGGCGAGCCAATATCGTCTGCCTTGTTTCAATGATGAACAATTTCAAGGCTGACAGGCATTTATTAATGTGACAATAAATAGCTTGCAGGCTACATGTTCGATGTGACGTGCTGATACGATCGGCAATCCTATTCATCACTTCGGCAAGATTTTCATCTTGAGCCATAAGGCTACGATAATTGCAAGGATATAACGAACCAAATGATACTTCTTTGATCTAATGAAAATGATTATTCGAAACGACTTGATCATACATTATTATGCATGCCTGAACGCGATGGGAAAGTTGTGTTTCAGCGATGACCCATAGAGTCTGTCATGAAGTCATGTAAAACAAACATATAGAAACTCGATAAGGCCGGCGGTCTCACAGGTGTTCAACCTGGAACTGAATCTGAGCAGGCAAGTGATTCCATTACAGAGTTCAACTCCGTTATTGCTTCCTTGTCTTTTGGGATTGTGGTTATCTGTGAGTGCACCAAGATGCGTACTTGCGATGATAAGCTCATTGCGCCAAAGCAAGCTGGAAAATGAGGTTAAGATGCCTTTCAATGTCTGCGACGAGAATGAAGTGAGGCTGATGTCTAAGTTGTGAGCTAGGAGTGTTGTTTGCAGTTGAGACTTGTGGCTTATTAGAGCTTATTAAAGCAGCAGAGAACTTGGGACAGGTATTGGGCCCCAGAGAACTTAGAGGCTGATTGATGTGGGCCATTGGGGGTAGATAAGATAAGATAAGATAAGATAAATTGCAGTTCGCCCGACAGGATTTCCACGTATCAAGAAGAAGCAGATTATAGAACGTGAACACATGTTACAAGGGAATCTGAGCTTATTCTCAGCTATCAACGATAATAGAACTAGCTACAGTACATGATTAAATTACTCGTGGAACTTCAAGAGTTGATAAGGAATTTGATCAACGTCCATAGACTAGAAGCTCACGCGACTCATTCGATCTCAGCCCTGAAAATCGAGGCCTAAGACTAACGACATGAATAATCTACAATGCGCAACTTCCGATAGGTTGCCCTAAGAAAGGAGACAGTCTCCCGTTCCCGCGGCATAAGACTTGAACAATTTTGGGTAAGGTCTGATGCTCGATAGGAGTGAGTGGCGGACTATCGCCAGGAAGACTGTTACCCGGAGGTCTGTGCGTTCTCCTTTAGGTTTTCATACAGCGAGCAGAATGCCAGCGACTTTGATAACAACAGCGTATAAAGATCGAACCCGTATCCGCAATTATATCCGTGAGACAAAAGCTCGCTTGGCGTGCACTTGCCTGAATTCTACCTACCTGAAATGGCTGCTGCACCAACGATTGAGCCTCGCGGGCTCGGTTTGGCTCAGCTCATCACCTCTATCACGTTCGGCATCCTCACTACCGTTGTTGTCTTTCTGAGAACGTTTATCCGCTTGAAGAATGGTGTTTTTGGAGCTGATGATCTGTTGATGGCCATTGGATATGTTCGTTTCAACCCCTGGATCGTCTTATGATAGCTGTGCAGTTAACACGTACACAAGGTTCTATTTGCCATCCTCGTTGGTGTAAGCGCTCGGTCTACATACTACGGAGTAGGCCAGCGAGATGCCGTTCTACCGGAAGGTATTTACCCTCATGGTAGGTTTGTGAGTCCTCCTTGCTTCCTCTATCTCCTTGTATCCGGCTAACCAACTGGCGCTCAGTACGTCTGGCTCACCCAGATCTTCTACTGTATATCCCTCGTCTTCATAAAAGCCTCTATTTGCGACGCTCTACTTAGAATAGCAGTTGTACCATGGCATCGTGTGGTTGCGTGGATAACACTTGCTATGGCTGTCATTTGCGCCATGATTATCTTTATCAGCTTTTTTGTGCTTTGCAGGCCACTGTCAGCAACTTGGAATGGCAACGGTAAATGCTCACCTCCTTCGGCCTTGGGTAGCCTGGCTTGTTTTATCTCGGCTTCCTCAATGTTGACCGACATCGTCTGTGCGGCACTACCTGCATTGATGCTATACAAAGCGCAGATGAAATTAGCCACAAAGGTCTCTATCAGTCTGGTGCTTGGGCTTGGTGCTCTGTAGGTTAAACCTCTGAGCCGTATGTTCGTTTGACTAATCGTTCTAGTGCATCGGTTGCTACAATTATCCGAATGCCATTTGTTATGTTTTACTTCCACCCTAATCCGGACTATCTTTGTAAGTCATTCCTCTTGCTTCTGAAACAACTCGACCTATATGTATCTAACTTGAGTCAAGATCGGCATTGCCATGTTTCTCTATGGAGCATCGTCGAAGGAGGAATTGGTGTTATAGCTGGTTCTCTCCCTGCTTTAAGAAAGTTTGTCAAACGCTGGGTTACCTTTGACAGCTCGGCTCGCCAATATTCTCCACCTAAGCAATACGGGGGATCGCATGGGTTAGGTATTACGAGTCATATCGGAACCGCAAGCCGCGTAAAAGGGTACAACATATCACGAGATGTGGAGAATGACGCGAAGGACCACTGGGAAGGCCTCGATGACGGCTCATCGAGGAGAGGGATCATCGTTACCGTGGATGTGGAGATGCATACATTGGAGAACAATTCAGAGTCGATAGGATCTCGTGTTTCAGATGAGACATATACAAGACCAGCTTAGTATGGAAAGAGGTCGAGTTTGGAATGCTATGTATTGGCAATAAGTTATATATTTTTATTCTAATGATATCAATTACTTTGGTTAACTTGCAAATACACTATTGTAAATGCTAAGATGTGCTGGGCAAGTTGTAACGTATCAATGACTAAGGATCACGGGTGTCATGTGCGGTATCATGTTGTGACTCATCAGCCCTATTCTCGGCTTCAGACCGTATTCAAGTCTTCGATCTCTTACCAAAGCGCCTCTGAACATCGAGTTTGGGGCAACAAACAATTCTCACCCTAACATAGGAAATATGGCTTCAACGAATAGCGCTGATGGTGGCCCATCTGAGGACATACCTGATCAGGCAAGTCGAGAAGAAATTCGGATTCCGCAATGCTGACCTTGAACTCAGCTCTGGCCTCACCTCTTTCGAGCAAGACAAGGCAGCTGCCCCATTGTAGTGATGACTTGCGGAATTGCTGGTAAGCCAGACAAACCGAACTATCCAATTACTTCGATACAAGGGTACGGCTGCTGATCAAGATGTACAGGCGCCGGAAAGTCAACTCTCGCCAAAGCTATCGTGACTAAGTTTCCACACTTCAAGCGACTCTCAAACGACCAAATGATCTACGAGTCGCATGGTCTCTACAGGATCGACTACCCCAAGGAACAGTATGAAACATACCAAGAAGAAGCAAGCCAGAAGCTTATCGCAGAACTTGAGCGTATCCTGCAAGAAAAGTCCAACGATGTAGTGCTGGACATATCTTTCTACGACAAAGAGTACCGCGATGAGTACAAAGATATTGTGGAACGTAACGGAGGTCGCTGGGTACTGGTATACCTCGATGCTGGCCGAGATCTTCTCTGGAACCGGATTCAACGAAGAAGAGCTGAGAGGGACTCACTAGACGCTAAACACCCAAAAAGAAATGGTGACTCAGCCTTTGATATCGATGATGAGACTTTTGCTATGTATTTAGACGGGTTTGAGCCACCAAGAGGTGAAGGGGAAATTGTTATCAAGGTTGAATGACGTTGAAGGATGAAGAAGAGAAGGAACTCCACTCTGTTATAATCTGTAGCAAAGCTTGTATCTCCAGATTATTCATAGCTTCACATTCTGCTTCATTGATTGTGTTTTTCGCCACTTGTCCAAGTCTGAAATTGCGGAAAAGAAAGTTCATGCAAGATTTCCAGATTGATTCGAAGCAGCATTTGGGTTAGTAGGCATAGAACCAAGAGTGTTCATGCTATGCCCTTGAGATAGTTCATTTCCCCTGTGAACTTCAAACTGCTGGAAAGGCAACACGACATTCTTCACCTACTTTACTGCTGATTTCGGATATAGTTTCTGACGATGGAATGATCTGCTCTCTGACAGTCTGACCTGGGAATAGCGTCGTTACCGGATAGAGCCCGAGTATCAAGTACCATTCGGGCTTTTCCCGGACATGCTCTGGAAGACTTCCGTGTCAGCTAGTCGGCTACCCCGCAACCCATGACTTAGAATCGGATCTCGGCAAGATACCCAGAATCACTATTTATGCGAAGCTCAAGAACTAGCCCGACGGTTGAAAGTCGACAATAATCGAATGCGCGCTACTGAACATGATGGCTGCTCAACATCCCGACTTCGACCAACTTCCGCTGGACAAGACTGGCCCTCGGGGTAACGCATGGGGACTATGGGGAAAAGACGACCAGCTGGGTACTCTGAACTATTTGACAGATGAGGTAGTTGGACAAGCAGCTAGAGAGAACTTCAAGAGTGGGACTAGGCTGTCATTGAAGTAAGTAAGGCCGCGGTAAAACTACAGTACACTGGCGCTAACTTACGATGAAGCTGGTCAATGAAGGGAGCCTCATACCCCAAATTCGCTCGCAAGAACCTGGACCTGAAATTGATTAATAAGGCGCCTCTGAAGCATGCCCACGATGATGAAGTTGGCTTCCCCCAACGGCATCTACCCCCCAAAGCTGACCGTGACGTGACAGTGGAGCTTTAACTCGCAGTGCAGTTCACAATGGGATGGCTTTCGACATTATGCCTACCAAAAGGAAGAAGTGGGTTCATCGTAGCTTTCCCTTGGCCAAGGCTAACAGCACAGTTGTATTACATGGGTCGCAAAGCCGAAGAATTTGCCGCATCGGACCACCCGAATAGTATCCACCGTATGTCCAACTCATTGACTGATGCAACGAGCTATACACTGATAAGGAATAGATGTCTCAGCAAAAGGCATCGCGGGCCGGGCTGTCTTCATTGACTGGTACTCATGGGCACTCGCTCAGGGCTTGGAAATTGATGCAATGTCATCATACGAGATCCCCTTTGACCAGATCGTCAAAACTCTGGAGTCTCAAAACATGAGTCTTGAATCTTTGCGAGCCGGGGACATCATTGTTATCCGGTTTGGATATCTGTCTCAGTACGAGAATATGGATGCTGCTAAGCGCGAGTATCTTGATAAGCTTTACCAGACGCAAAAGCCCGACAATATTGGCCTCAAGCCATCTGAAGAACTCCTAAGGTTCCTCTGGGATACCAAGATTGCTGCGATCTGTGGAGACGCACGGTCATTGGAAGTCTGGCCATGTAAAGATCTGGAATGGCACTTGCATGAGTGGCTTCTGGCGGGCTGGGGTATGCCCATCGGAGAACTATTCTACCTGGAAGAACTTGCCAAAACATGCAAGACACTAGGGAGATACACTTTCTTCATGTCAAGTTCGCCGATGAATGTGGGTTTGCTCCTTAATAGTCATGTCTGAAGCCGCTAACTCTGGATAGGTACCTGGCGCTGTTGCCAGCCCGCCAAATGCCCTTGCGTTCTTTTGAAATGGAGGTTTCTGATATCGCGATAACATAGCTACTATACCTGAATGCATATGGATGACCTGATGAATTTCTTCTGGACTGATAGGTGCTTGCGTCATGTCATTTCAGTATTGTGTCTTGGAACCTATTTCTTTGCTCCCGTAATCACTCGTCTGCCTATCTCCATGAGAAGCTTGAACACGATAAACATCAATGCCCCTTGCGAATGAAAATCGGACTCGTCCCGGGGTTTTCGAAAGACGTAAGCCTTTGCTTAGGAACCAGGTCTTTCCCCGAGGTCGGAGAATGTCCGATGGATATCATGTTCCGCCGACACATCGAAACCATTCCAACCAAGGCAAGGTTCCCCCGCTTGACGTGACTCAGGCAAGGGAGAACCTTGCGATTTAGCCAACACTAAGTCCCCTCTAGCTTAATGAGGTGAGATGCGGGGTCCCCATGGGGTTCAGGCTGGGGCTCAGTAGCACCGGAGCGCACCCGATGGACAGAGTTGCTTTGATCGCCGTGAACCAGGTCAACATATATACCATGCTTAACCCCGTGGCAGAGTGAGTAAGTAGGCAAAGAATTCACCCACAATCCATGAGACTTATCCCTACGAGCCATGGACCAAAGCAACAACAAAGCCCTTGAGGCGATCAAGGTAGACGACAAGTTTGTCGAGCACGCTCCCGATGCCTATCCAGGCCTATCGCCAGAGGATGCTGAGTTCATGAGGGGGTATGAAGGAAAGACTGGTAAGAAAGTCGTCAAAAAGGTATGCCCATAACAGGCGGCACAGTAGCTTCAACTGACGCGCGTAGATTGACTTTCGACTCCTTCCCATCATGGCCGTTCTGTATCTACTTGCGCATATCGACCGAGGAAATATTGGAAACGCGAAAATCGAGGGGATGGATAAGGACCTTGGCCTTGTTGGAAACCAGTACAACATCGCCAGCACCATCTTTTTCGTGCCCTACATCATCTTTGGTGAGTTCTCAACTTCCCACAAGAGATACGGGAGTGATCCACTGACAAACCTTAGAGGTGCCTTCCAATATTGTCTTGAAGAAGGTGAGAGCGAGCATCTGGCTGTCGTTCTTGATTATATGCTGGGGAATCGTCATGACGTGCATGGGAGTAGTGCAGAACTTCCAAGGCCTCGTCGCGTGCCGAGTGATTCTCGGAGTATTCGAGGTAAGTGGCACTTCCTTCTTCCTCGACACCCTGCTGACCCGTAGACCAGGCAGGATTCTTCCCAGGCGCAGTCTTCATCGTCTCGAGCTGGTACCCCCGTCACGAACTTCAGCAACGTCTCGCCATTTTCTACACAGCTTCGGCATTTTCTGGTGCACTCAGCGGCCTCCTGGCTTTCGGAATCGCTCGTCTCGATGGTGCAAGAGGTATTGCCGGATGGCGCTGGATCTTCCTCATTGAAGGAGCTGTGACTGTCGCAGCTGGTCTCGTGATGCCACTCCTCATCATTGACACTCCCGAAAGAGCCAAGTGGCTTTCAGATGACGAGAAGCGATTTGTGGACCTCCGTTTGCGACTCTCCGGTGTGAGATCAAACACGGAAGAAGGCGACAAGTTCTCGTGGAAGCTGCTCTTCAAGACAATGGTCGATTGGAAGGTGTTGCTTGGAATTATCCTCGCTTGGGCCAATTCTGTCCCCAATGCTGCCTTCAAGTTCACCATGCCCCAGATCATCAAGCAGCTTGGATTCTCAACCGCACAATCACAGCTTTTGACGATGCCTCCGTATGTATGCGGCGGTATTGCTGCATGGTTATCTGGAAGATTCTCGGATCGTTTGTCGTGGCGTATGCCCTTTATCGTCGGACCGATGTCGGTACTCCTTGTCGCCCTAGCTGTGCTGTTCAATTACTCCAAGAACGTGGCGGATAATGTTCCAGCCATGTATGTTGGTGTAATGCTGGCTCAGATCGGTATCTATCCGCTTCTCCCAGGTATCAGCGCATGGACAGGTAACAACCTTGCACCATCGTGGAAGAGATCTATCGGTCTGGCTTGGCTTTTAGCTGCTGGAAATCTTGGCAGTAAGTTTACCTATTGGAGTCTCATTATCAGCATCCCCTCTAACACAATAATAGGCCTCATTGGAACAAACATCTTTCTCGATAGAGAAGGCCCTCAATATCCGACTGGGTACGGGGTTTCGCTCGGGATCATCTGCCTGGCTGCCTCCTGCGCTTTGCTTATGGAGTTTTGTCTCTGGAAGTCGAACAAAGCCAGAGCTCAGCTTTCCGAGGCGGAGATACGTCAGAAGTATTCTCAAGAAGAACTGGATGCCATGGGAGAGAAAAGTCCGTTGTACAAGTACACTCTTTAGTTGGGGAGAGCATTTCATACCTTGCACGCCGAGGAAAAGCAAAGCATTGCCGGACGAAATGGGGCAACCCACCAGCCTCTTCAGGCGCCGCTATTGATGGCACCAGTGGCGTAGACGCGCTAAGCCCGCTAAAGAATAAAACGCAGAGCGCTAGCTTAGGGACCAGCAAAAGTTGCAGGGGTTGAATTGATGTCAATGACCTTAAATACTACCTTAAAAGTCTGTATCCTGGTTGGCATAAATGTCGTGGATACTTCAAAGCATTAAATCTCATCTTCCTCTTTCGTTTATATTTCGGGGATCGAGAGTTGCCAGAATTCTTCAAAACTCGTATTTGTCTGTTGACTTGCGTGAAGGATGGACTAATGCCATTACCCGGAATCCTGTCAGCCCTAAGATGCCGAGATAGCCTGTATCTTGCAGCCCGAGCTTTATATGAAGACCATGTGTGACTTGTTTGTATTTCCCTAAAAGACTGTCCTTTGCTGTCCACATCGTCTTGTCCATGACATTGCGGGTCTCCAATTCAATCATGGCTAGCCATCTCGTCGTCCTTCTCCTCGGTATCCACGGAGTCCTCGCCTCTGAAGGCCCTGTTGTAGATCTTGGGTATGCGGTTTACCAGGGATCTTTGCAAGAGGTAAGAAGGAATACGATTGATGACGTGACGTCGCTGACATGACTGACGTGAAGGGATCTTCAGTTCTGTACAATTTCTCCAACATCAGATTCGGTGAACCGCCGATAGGTGATCTTCGATTGTACGTACCGCTCTGCCCAAAATGATTCCACGGTTGCCGAATGTTCTCTATCGATGTACTGACTTGGCAGCGCGAAACCTGTTGCTCCTAAAGGACGTAACGTGACAGTAGACAAAGGAGAAGTTGGCCGAATTTGTCCCCAAGCGATGGCCGCTTGGGAAGTATACACTTCGTTCACAGGACCAGACTTTCTAAGTGGCAAGGTCTCAACTCTGACCGAAAAACAAAAACACGCACTCAAGGAGCCCTCAGATCTGAAGATACCGATAGATCCCAGGGAGACAGAAGATTGTCTCTTTCTCGATGTTATCACGCCCTTTGAGACTTTCGAAAACTCAGCGAAGAGATTGGCACCGGTAATATTCTGGCTTTCAGGAGGTGGATATACTACTGGTGAGAAGGGCTGGTTCGACCCCGCGGGTCTCATCAAAGCGAGTTATCCGTCGAGTCCGGAAGGCTTGGTCTTTGTTTCTGCAAACTATCGAGTATGTTATTGTCAGCTGGGTTCAAGGAGATTACAAGACTGAAGACCCACAGCTTGGTGCTCTTGGATGGCTTGCTGGATCGAAGCTGGACCCCGGTAATGATGCGAACTGACCCAGAACTGGTGATGTTTAGCTGATGAGCAGCTCAGAGATGATGGTATCTAATGCGGCACTTTACGACCAGCGACTGGCACTTGAATGGATCCAAGAGAACATTCATCAGTTCGGTGGCGATCCAACTCGTGTGACCATCATGGGCGAGTCAGCTGGAGGTTTGTCTTTTCTGGTCCATGGAGGCGAGCTTTAACACTGACTGAGACTTGACAGGTGCCAGTATTTATCATCATCTGACTGCCTTTGGAGGCAAAGATGAGAAAACACTCTTCCAGAGGGCGATCCTTCAGAGCACTGGCTGGTAGGGACGCAAAGGCTCATGCTGTATTTGGCTGACGCGCCTTAGGGTTCATATCGCGGATGACAAACTCGAAAATGATGTTATCGACAGGTTCCTCGCTCTTGCAAAGGTTTCGGATCTGGAAGCGGCTAGGAAACTGTCAACTGAAGAGGTTCAAAAGGCTAACCGGCTTCTGATCTCAAACTCTGCTTGGGGAACAAGTACTGCAGGTCCATTTGTGGATGGGCTGTACGCCCCAGAGAACCCGGATAAGCTGTTTGAAGAAGGGAGGCATATCAAGAATGTGGATCTGTTGATTGGCTTCAACGAAGATGAAGGCCTGATCTTCACATCTCCAGAGTCAAGTGACGATGCTGGGTACCGCAAGTTTCTGGAGTCAACATACTCGAACGCCAGCCCTGAAACACTTGAACATATTGAGAAAACGCTCTACCCACCAGTGTTTGACGGAAGCCACGGGTACACCAACCAAACGGATCGTGCCTCCATCACAAAGGCTGAGTCAGAGTTCACTTGTAAGTACGGGTTCCTGCAGGCCGCGTACGGCAGCAGAGCCAAGAGCTACCGTTTCAACGTCTACCCCGGCCTTCACGGCAGCGAGATGCACTATACCTTCTACAACGGTCCGGATCGGAATCCAGAGGTCGATGAAGCTATTGCTGTTGGATTCCAAGAGCTTCTGACGAGCTTCGCGGCGACAGGAAACGCGACTTCGCTGGCCGCTCCTCAGGGGGTACCAGTGTACGGGGATGAGAGGCTTATGCTTTATATCGGTAACGGGGGCTTCGGTATTGCGACGGATGAGACTGTCCCAGAGCGCTGCAAGTTCTGGCAGAGTGGGATTTATCTGTGAGTGTGCGTTGTCATTCAATTGTTGAAGGGATGCTTAGGGGGTGCAACCTGCTATTGGCTTGGGTATTGCGGCTCGCGGCGGTCGGAACTGGATTTTGTTGTTGTTTGTGGTTGAGAGCTTGCCATGGCGAGTGTGGAGGAGATGCTATGGCAACAAGGATTTGGCGGCGTCGGGAAAACTAAGGGTAGAAGTGTTCTTCCTCTGGTGCTGTTTCGTGTTCGGGGCTTTCATCTCAAGCCGGCTTGACACTGTTCTCTGCTGTTCTCACTTGGTCTAGAGAAGGAAAGGAAGCTTAAGACCTTGATCCTAAATGACAAACGGACTTAGGTAACTTAGCATAAGTTTAGGATATCTTTGCAAAGTTTAGGATATCTTGTAAATTCCTTTGAGATATTGTATCAAGATCTGGTGTCTTCTTGCTCCTAGAGGCTAGGTAGTCTACGTTGCCTTATGTTCCATGGAGAGAGGCCTTGAATCACTGGGGAGTGGGGCTTCCAAAGGATGGTTCCCCCGATCGGCTACCAGGTCTGGCCGCAGCAAGCTTTCCTCCTCGTCACTGCATCAGCGCCAACGTAAACTTCATCTTGACAAATCCTCGTAACCCCATGAGGCATCACCCACGATACCTCCCTCACCGACTCAGTCCCTTCTCCAACTGAGCGTTGAGAACTCGTGGTTCGCAACGCGTCCGTTATTCTGGACCTCCCAACATCTTGATCTCCTGGGAATTCGCTTTCTGCACTTCGATCGGCCCATTCATGCACCGCAGCCTCGCGGAGATGCTGCTGAAGATCTCGACGCGGTCAATGTTATTTTTCATGTCATGCGCCTTGCCACGGTTCCGGACACCGAAAGCAAGATCAAGTCTGCCATTCATCTTCTTTGTACCCCAGGAAGCCCTCTTCAACTCAAGCCCAAGCCGTAAGTTTACTCTCACCCCCCTTGCCCGCCAACGAAGAACTGACTTAGTTTCTCTAACAGGTACGTCGCGAAGTTCTTCTACGCAGGACGCCCCGTTCATCAAACATTCTGCTATGCCCTTCATGTAGCCAAGCCATCTCCCCAGACGCAGCCACCGGTTATCGGGTGTGCCTATTACCGAACATTCCTCCGTGAGCGGCGGAGACGGTACACTCCTCCGTCTCACCCCAGGAAAAAGGTCAACTCTCCAGTCAAGAGACTATGCGACTCCCACTTGCGAAGAATCATCCCGGAGAACTGGGCGGAGGACCCCTACATCGTCTGTCTGCTGTTGTCACTGGCACAAGCGCAGGCGATCAAACAGAAGAGAGCAATGCCAGAGACTTTCCCTGTACGTTCATTCACTCTGCAGCTGATACTTTACTGACTCTAAAAAGGTGCGACTCCTCGTGGCTTTTGACGGGGACAAGAATTTCGCCCATGTCTTCCAGGCTGACGTTGATGCGCGTATCCTCCAAGCACTCAACGAACCTAGATTCGATCTGAATGGAATCACATGGCCCAATGTTACACACACGAAAGTAGCCTTCGACCCTTACCTGACCTTTCCGCACCGCATTGTGGCGGAGATGCTTGGGTCCTACATGGAGCATATGTAGGAAAAGGCTGTGGACGGAGTGTTGGCATCTCAAGCTAGAAGCGGAAGCATGAGGATGACGCGGAGGTTTACATCAAAAGATTCAAGGTCCAGATGTAGATTGTACCTCTTACGCTGGATACGAGTGCTCTTCGCGCCAGTTGAAAAGGATACTTTAGTGAGTAATCGACCGACATTAACCTTCAAACCTTGATCTACTATTCCTCCCTTCCATATGTTCTCATCCAAACAACTGTGAGTCAATCTATGATTTTAGAACGAGAGACGAAATGTCTTCGACGTACTGAACACTCTTGCTGAGACTGTTCTGTCTTTGTCCTCTTCTCCATTGTTCAGCCCCTGAAAGGCTTGTCCCTCTGAACACAATCAGAACAACTGTTGATGATGTCGACTCAGTTCATGAGCGGACATTGTAAGTAAACAATCTAATTCCTCGAACCCTCTTGTCGGCTGAAAACTCTCCTTCCCGTCCCTCGACCAGAGATGAAAGTTTAAGGTTATATACATTTTAGTCTCTTCCTTTTGCAAACCTTCAAAGGCTTGAACAGGATAAGGTCTCTTGATTATTGACGAAATTTGCAAAGCAGAAGCTTGTCTTGCGAAAAGCAATATCGTACACCAATTGCCAGTCTAACCAGCCTAAAGTCTAACCCTATGGCCAAGCAAGTAGCCATACACCTGCCACTGGTAGTAAAGCAAATTTCTGACGTTTAAATAAGGTGTCAATAATAACTGCACACAGGCATCAAGTTTCCTAGCGCTTTTCGTCCTTCAATATAAAAGACCTTAGCTTTCCTTTCTCCATTCGCATTTACCGAAGCATTCACAACATTCCGCTTACCTTCCAGCATCACTCAAACTAAACAACATCGATCATACCCTCATTACCTGCATCCAACTCCAAACAAGATGGATCCCTTCGACAGACTCCCTGCTGAGGTCCGCATCAAGATCCTCGGATCTATTCCTTCACATGCGACGACCGCTCGACTGATCCGAGCTTCGCCAGCCATGCTGGCCCAATATACAACTACTGAGTCAACTAATCTGCGCGAATACCTGTTGCAACTTGTCGGTACCGATGAAAGCGATCATGGTCTTCTCCAAGACGCTCTGGCGATCATTTACCTCAGCGAGACTGACGACCTCGACCAAATCTCCGATATTTTGCGCGAATGGAAAGCCAAGACTCTCCCACTACCTTTCCGCCGGGGTGGCCGCGGCATGATCACCAAGCTTCGGCTTCTGTTTGAGCGCATGGGTGAGTTCATCGACGACTACCTCAGCAAGGCAACGGCTCAGAATACTGTCGAGGCGTATCTTCGCCCCCCGCGCCGCACATACATCGACACCGTTGACTCGCAGCTCATCACTCTGCATGACTTGAACCCCCAAGAGAGACTTCGTCTCTTTCAAGCATTTATCAAGTTCGAGGTCCTCTGCAAGTTCAGCAACGAACGAGTCCACCACGCACTGACCAAGCTCCGACCGAAGCCGATGCTCGGATTGAGCAGCTGGGAGAAGAAGGCTTTGGTGTGCGTATATGAATACATGAAAGCATCCTACAGCGCGATGTTCGTCCAGTATGCAGGTGCAAAGACGTTCAAGGACTACAAGAAGACTTGTGATTCTCTGAGACGGGTCGAACGTGAGGACTCATTCTTTGTCGAAACGATGTGTTACGATCCACAGTATCCTTTCCGTCGTTACAAGTCTCTCGAGAATGCAGCCTATTACCCCAAAGCGCTACCTTGGTGTGGGTTTGATGTGCTGTCGCACTTAATGATGGAGGCGAAGGCAGAACACCAACCTATGCGGATTGCGAGGATGTGTTCAAAATATGACCGGAGGAGCTGCGACTCAGCTCACCACATTGTTTCCAGGGTCGAGGAGATGCAATCTAGGGAAGACAGAGCTCAACTGAATCGACTCGCAGGACGACCCAATCGTACCAATACAGAAGTCGCCCAAGTCAAGAGAATGCGACGCACCATACACCAACAGAGAGCCTGGGCATTTTTCGACGATGCGAGATTGTGTCCTGGACAAGAAGCTCATTTCCCGACTGAGGAAGAGGTCACGACAGAGGTGGCGAGACTGGAAGCCGAGCGGAAAATGAACACAAGGAAGCAATGGCAGGAGTACTTTTCCAAGAAAAGATCCAACCCTCCTCGGTATAAGTCCCCCCTGAAGCTATGGGACCGAAATAATCTTACCACGGCCGAGAAAACGCTAAAAGACTGTGAGGCAAATAACGGTGGTTTGGTCCCTCCGCCATTCTTTGCATTGCCGGAGGCGAGACATCGTGGATGAACGCGAAGGGCAGTAAATATGTTTCGGGGCTCAAGAAACCTTTGGAGAGTAAATGAAGAACCTCTGTATTTAAAACAGCATGAGCATAAGTATCAAGCAGGAGAACTAAGGTCAATAAAAGATTTGATATTATATTAGCAGTTCCTAAAGCATCAACTTCCATTTTATCCAGTGCACACGCCTGAATTACTTCTTTTGTGATACACCGAATGTACTTAGATGCGGCCAATCTATTCTGGTCAGTATGTGTAAACATCTCGAGGTACAATACTCACCAAATGTCGTTCTTTGCGAATTAATTCGCGTGACGTCTACCCGCTGGCCAACCGTTAAGGATTTACTCGTCGCATCACCGTAACAGAAACCATAGCGCCCAAAGACAGGACTCCATTTCGCTCCCTTGTCCACTCTTCGATCCTTGTTGAGTTTCTTCCAGACCGTACCGCGATCATCAGTAGCAGTCTTCCCAGTGTTGTAGTCAACAGTGATACTCTGACATCTGTAACAGTTTGCTGTCAAGGGCATGCGTATTCCACCTGCAAAAGTGAGCTCGCCCCAGAAATCTTCGGCGAATGCTTTGGAAGCGCCACGGACAACGATATTGGGACGGAACTTGGTAATGTCCATGGAGTAGCCTTCATCAAGACGAGATGAAACTTCGTTATTGGACTCTTCTGTGACGACTAGGTAGTGGGCAAGATCGTTGAAGGCAAGTCGCTCAGGTGGGTGGGACAAAGGAGGGAGGATGTTCTTGATACGCTCGGTGAAGGAAGCTTTCTTCAAAGCATCTGAGCTGTGAGGAGCTAAGGAACCCAGGACGGCTCTTGACTCGTTTCCAATGTAGACGAGTCGGACTTCATCGCCAAGGCGGTCAGAGAACCATTGTGACAGCTCATCTCCCATATCATAGGCCTTGGCCTTGCTGGTATGCAGACTGGTTTCGATCGTCTTCCGACCTTCAACAGCAGGCTTCAGAGGAAATTCGACGCTATCATCTGCCTTGTCTCCAGTCCACCTCACCGTGACTTGGCCCTTATCATAGTCGACAGAAGCTGAAAAGAGAGCGAGTTTCAAATGATATCCGATCAGCATCGTCTCATGCGAAACATTGCCGTTTCCATCTCGGTTGACCTTTTGCAGAGAAAAGGTCCTGTCTCCTTCGAAGCCATATGGACCGAGACGCGCTTTTGTCAAAGACGTTCCTCGGATGCCTTTGACGGGATAAACATACAACTTCGGGAATTCGTTAGCCGGAACTTTTTGTTTGAGTGAACTTGCTTACTTGGGTGACTTCCAATCCAGCTTCTCGCGTCTTGGTACTGGAAATAAGAAGATAAAGACCTGCCAGAACAGCGAAGGCGCTCAATGCAACTGACAGGATAGTATAGTCGTCCATTTTCTTCTCTGAGTGTTGAGAGGGGAAGTTATCGATGGAGCGGAGGGGCATCCGCAGCACTCATATACAGAGCATCTGCTTCAGTAACTTTTAGTGACACTCAGTATGACGTGCCGTTTTCAAGAACTAAACCACAACAGGTAAATTGATAGCCCACTGTTGGTGAAGAGGCGCTGCGCATTGGTTCGGTAGTCAGTTGACACTAGGACGAAGAAGGGAAAGGGACCCGAGCTCGATTTCTCAGTTCCCATCTCAACTCCACCCAAAAGTCCTTGGGTACTAGGGAGACACGAGCTTTTCAACATTCGCACCGCGTAATTGGTTTAGTGGTAAAATTCTCCGTTGCCATTCGAGCAGCGTCGGGGAGCCCAGGGTTCGATTCCCTGATTACGCATTCAAAAGCTGTAATAGCCTATCCACGATCTTTTTGTGCTGTTGTGCAATTTCTTTTTGCGTTCGGGGTAGATCAGAGGGCCATAGTCCCCGACTGGCGCGGCAAACCTTGTGAAAAGTCATGGTAGCATGCAATCCAAGTAAGGCGGGCTATGAATGTAATATATAACGCATCTACTGGTTAGTAGCTTGGCATGCAGTGGTCTGGCTATCACAAGAGCCTTACTGAGATTATCACGTTGTTGTATAGTAAGATATCGATCGGAGCATCAATTGCAGCGCCTTGCATTAAATCATTGTATTTCTATCAAAGTTTAAAAAAGAAAAGATTCAGCGAAAGTAATACATAATCTCATATGATCCACCTTACAGTGAAGTCTCAAGCTCCAGATCCTTCTTGATAGCGGGCAGAACTGTACCGTCGTTCCAGTTCCAGATCAAACCGCTGTTGTGTCCAGCAAACACAGCACCGGTCCAGTAAGTGTTGCGATATCCCTCAAGCGCAATGAGGTCACGGTAAAAGCCCTGGGCAATATCATGGCCAGTGACGTGGAGGTAGTAAGGAGCATGGTCCTCGAGCATAGGGAACGTACACTTCTCGGCAGCATCAGCGGGGGCACCGCCAATACGAGCCAGAGTGGTGAGCTCCTTGCGCATCAGAGCCTTGGCGTCCTCGAGGGTGTAGTCAGTGTTGGGGAAACCAGTGCCGATGAGGAAGTCGTCCGGTGAACCAGTTTGGAAGTAGCCGTTGTTACCGGGAACGATGGGCACGTTGGCGGGGGTGAGAGCGCCGACGTTTTGAAGTCCGTTCTCGAGGCCGGGAATGTGAGCGACACCGGCGACGTAGCCGAAAGCAGCAAACTTGGTGATGAGCTTCCTCTCCTTCTCGCAGAGATCGAACATCTTGGTATTGGCGCGAGTCTGAGGCATGGCAACGACGAGCTTGCGGGCCCGGAGGGTGGTGGTCTTGCCATTCTGGTTGAAGGTGACAACAACACCCTTACCTGCAACGTTTCGTCGAACACTGACAACCTCGGAGTTGAGGTAAATGCTGTTACCAAGCACCTTGGCAGCAGCTTCGTAGATGCTTCGGGTGTCGCCTGAGGCAGCAACGAGGAACTCGCTGGAAACACTCTGGAGGAGACCAGGGCCGAACTTCTTGATACCGTAGATGGTGGGGATGGCAGTGATGTTGCCGGGGTACCAGTTCAGCTGGCTGATGAGAGGCAGGATAGCGCTGAAGTTGTACTTGGCAGCGAACTCTCCGAAAGGTAGAAGAAGCTCCTGAGGAACAGGGTTGGGCATCAAATAACCTTGGTCGATCCAGGGATACTTGGGGAGGACGTTCTGGGCATAAGCTTGCATAGCAGCGGCCATGGCCTCCTTGGTAGCAGCAGCCTGAGCCTGAGACTGAGCAGGAATGGGAATGCCCAGAGTGAAGTCATACTGCTTGTTTGTGCTAGTGGTAGCAGAGAAGGGATTGTTCTTGGCAAGAGCAACACCAAGACGACCAATGTACTTCTGCACAGTCTTGGTGTTCTCAAAGAGCGCAACGCCAATGTTGGTAGGTCGCTTCGTCACGGGGTTGACATATGTCTGAGCATGACCACCAATCTGGTTTTCCTTCTCAATAACAGCAACCCTCAAACCATCATCCTTGAGGTTGATGGCAGCGTGGATACCAGCGGATCCACCACCGATGATAGCAACATCAACGTCATACTTTGGCGCAGAGCCAGCAGGGACGACAATGGCGGTGGCACATGAGGCCAAGGCGAGGGCAGAGGTGTAGAACTTCATTGTAAAAAAGAGAGACTGGGGAAAAAGAGAACGGCGCTTGAGTGAGTGAGGAGTAAGATGATCATGGTAGGGCAGCTTGGGCTTTTATTGACCGGTGAGAATAACAGTGTCGCACAGCATAAGCCATGGCGTATCTGAATAAGCTTTCTTGCTTAGGGCGCCGAAAGTTCCGTGCAAAGATTCCTCATCTTAAGATGCTCAATTTGGTGTTAAATTTGCCCGCAAGTCTCGGGACCCATGTCGTCGGCAGTTGGACTGGCTAAGCTTGTCGTAGCTCGATTTTTGTTGCTAGTTTGGCACTAGGTCTCAGAGGAGATGACAGTCAAAGCACGCTGGCTTGCATGAGGGTAATCATGTGAGAAGAAACTGCTTACTTGGTGATTTCAGTGGTGATATATTTTTTATCCAATCCTTATGAATCATCTCAGCATATTTTGCTGTTGTGTTTACCCAAATAACCTTGACTGTATCGGCCTCGGCACTTGGTGTTGACGTATGTTGGTAATCGAACAAGGTTTAATTACGATCAAGGAATGCCACCTAAAAGCATCACCCGCCAAAGTCTATTTGTGCCCCTAACCCAACCCATCATCCCGCTTGGTTCCGAGCTTATGGTTCACATTTAACCCCGGATTCGGTGTGCTGCGTCGGCTTTTATCCACCAATGTCGCATCAAAGTGGCGCTCATGAACCGCCTAGCCGGCGCAGAGTTCAGATGGCCAACGGCTTCATCTAACAACAGCAGTTTATCTCAAACCTTCCCCTTTATGACACTTTTGATGTTGGAATGCCGAATCGGAACATCGACTAGTTGTTTAACCTTCCGTAAAGGCAAATGAGTGCAACCCGACCGATGACACGATGAATCAGCGCAGAATCGCTCCCAAGACAGAACTAGTTTCTGCACAGGTATGGCACCCCGCCTAGATAGCCAATACCCATTAAGAAGTGCAAGATACTCGGGAACGACCTTTTTCCGTCGCCAACTGCGAGAACAGTAAGAAGATCGCCGAATTTCATGAGGCCCATGACAGCCAGGATGGTAGCGATGGCAATATGGTTGTCGTGGAGTTGATGTGCTAGGATAAAACTACCGAATGATATATCTCTCGCTGCTAGCATATATATCGGCGCGAAGCTGGCGGGATCATCTGAGGATCTCTTGTCTGGAATGCCTTTGAGTTGGTATTGGTTTTGTGGGTTAAAGAGGGCGAGTACTCCACCAAGGAGGCTGGTGAGGCCCATGGTGAAAATACAGAGTTCGACGAACACGGTGAAGAAGGACATGGCTCTAGATTATTTCTGGTTTGCGGAATTGATCGAAATGCTCTGCTGAATGATAACGTATAGTGACATCTGTCACTGCAGGGGATGAGTTGTGTAGGGCTTGTTTATGAATACTTCGTTTTGGTGGATTTGTTCCGTTTTATCCGCCGAGTGGAGTGCTAAGCCTCAAGGCTGAATCCAAAGGATCACTGCGCCACCGTTGAATTGCAAAACAACCTTGAAAGCGCGAGTTAAAGCTGATATAAGGCGGACCGTAAGCCAATTGAATTGTTTTTTATCTTGAATACTATTTCCATCCGACCAAAAGGCCGTCCAGGTGGATAGGCAGTTTTCCAACAAGTTTCGGCCGACATCTCCATTGATGCAACATACCCCTGCCTAGCCTAAGAATCCACACTGCACAGCCCAGTCACCCATGCCCAGTAGACACCCTACGCTAGGTGAATTACTACGACATCAGATGATCGTGAATGCTCAAGACAATAGGGTGGGCAGCGGGGCTCCCAAGAGTGCAGTAATAAAGCTTGTTCGTCAGAGGGCCGAAGGGGGTGAAAAGAGTGTCCACCGGAATCGTACCGTGACAATTGTCAAGCCCATAGTTTGTTGCACAAAGGGTGCCCTCGTAGACGGCCGCTGACTTAGTACTGCGACTAAAGACGTGGAGAGAGGAGCCTTCTCTCCTTGATCCGTGTTTAATGTGACCTGAGTCGATTGATAAGTCAAGCGATAAGCGCAGTCAACGTACAGAGCATGGTATTCACAGAATTAGATCAGGTCACATTGCATGAGATAAGTAGAGTTGAGGCCATGCGGTCAGTTTCACCCTTGTTGTAGCTGCAGTGCACTAAGGATAATAGAAAGGCAGCTGAGATAACCCATCACAAAGTACCTTATACCTCTTTTTGCTCGCAATATCTACCCCTGAAACTGGAACAGGTGCTCCCTTGAGGTTCTCTACCGCCATGTTGGCGATGTTTTCCCACATCAAGAGCTTGGTTTCAACCGCCAAGAGCTCTTTCTTCTGTTTGTCGACCTGACTCTGCAGGTCATCACGTTTCTGAATCGCCTCCCTAGCATCCTTGATCATTTCAAGTCTTGCGACGTCCTTTGTTGCATTCGCTTTACGTATCATGGCGCTCGACAGTGCCTGGTGCGCACCTGTCATGGCCTTTGTGGCATCCATGTAGGTCTCTAGCTTTTCAGTGCGCGCTTTTTCTGCATCCTGGTACAGTTCCTCTGCTTCGTTGAGACGGTCTCGGGACTTCTGAAAGATCTGTTCGACGTCATCGAGCGCCATCTCGGTGAATTTCTTGACATGCTCGCTCTTGCGGCGTTTCGCGTCGCTTATCGACGAGCTGGACGCAAGGCTGCGCTTTAGGGAATTGCGCCTCGAACGAGAGATCGACTTTTCCGACATGACTGATGAGATGATGTGCTTTCCGAGGGAGTTGACCTTGTCGTTCTGAAGTGTAGACTGAGATGTATGCAGTGGAGTATCTGCCTTTGATGATTGATACCAGGACTGAAGTTCTGTTAGTTGAGAAACAATGAATGAGTGTATTTGGTTGAAGGACACACCGTCTGCTGGGGTTGAAAGTTAGTTGCAAAAGTTGGAAGGGGGCGGTCGATGGGATAAGGGATGATCAAGGAGAGAAGGATGTGATGCCAATGCTTTAACGCTTGTGCCATGGAGAGGAGAGATGGAAGAGTGCACGCTTTGAGGATTCAAGAAATCCGCAGGTGGATCGGATTCGTGAAAACAGCCGTGATTCACATATGTTGGATGAATGGACCACCTTCTCGCCGGAGTAAGTGTTAATGTTTTCCGTTGAAAGTCCAGTCTTAAGGTGAGATGCTAGCACGTTATTATTCATTTGTGATACTAACCACGACACGCCTAGAATGGTGATTCGACACCCCGATGCTCTTTATCTCTTTTGTCAATGGGTACCAGCAATCCTGCTTTATTTCTATGAAGAAGTAACTTAAAGAATTCACTGTCACCTTTTGGACCCGAGTTTGCCATTTGTTAATGGCTGTTGACTACCTTGAGAGTAGTCACGACTACAAGGCTGGTGATCATACCATTTTCATTGCTTAACTCTAGAATACTTTCTGCTGGTCAGCGAATGATGACTTAATAACCCCGACAATGAGGCTGCAGCATTCGCTGGTCTGCATTCAAGAGTGCTTTTTGTCGGTGTCAGTCGCGATGTGCCTCCTCGCCCGAGGAGTGACTTACCTGCGTAGCATCCAGTCCCTGTTGTGTCTTGATGAAGCTTGAAGCAGGTCGTTGTGTTTCTCATTGCAGCGGCACTGGGAGCTTGCGACATGAGGGGCGCAATACTCTATGAGCTTCGGTGTCCGTATGGTTCAAAAGGGAAGGAAGCTGAGACGGCTGCCATCGCAAGAAACAACGCTGCACATACATACAGAGGAGCCGGCGTATCGGTGTTAGCTTCAGTCGCGACAACAGCTGATACGATTCCCATCACTCGGTTGCACGCGACAGCAATAGCACTTCCGGTAGCACGATGAGCACTTGGTAAGACCTCAGGAGTGTAGGCATAAAGAGTGCCGTAGTAGATGTTGATGCAGAAGGCGATCAGGCAAGTGAAGGTAATGTCCTGCACAGAAGTCTTCACGGAAGTGTAGGCAAAAAAGAAAGCCATACTTATCAAAGCGCCGATGACCATGGTGTACTTGCGGCCAAGCTTGGTGTTGCACATGAAGCCAGCGACAACGGGACCTGGGATACCGCTGATGTTTGTCAGAGCATAGTTGCGCCAGATTTCGAACTTTGAGCGGTTGAAGACTGCGCCTCTGCTGGCAAGATAAGACCTAAGATGATGTTAGCGCCTTGGTAATGATAATTGGGGCTTGAATAAAGATGACAACTCACGGAAGGAAGACGTAGAACAGAGGGTACGCAAGACCAATCAGTGTCCAGGACAGAAAGATGCTAGCGGTTGAGATGGTCATCTTCTTGGTGCTGAACAGACCTCGAATATGGATCATTGTCTCGCTTATCGAGAATCGGTTCTTGCTGTGAGCTGAAGTGATAGTTCCGCAAGCAGCGAGATCCTGCAAAGTGAGAGAGCAAGTGCGATTGTACTTGGTTGCCAGGTATTGGAATGTCTCAATCAGTTCTTCCTCTTTTCCAACACCGAGGAGGTACTTGGGAGTTTCACGGAGTCTGACTACGGTGACTCGAAGAAGCGATAGGAAGAAAACGAGAGCGCCGCCTGTGAACATGACATATCGCCAGCCCATGTTGTTCCCTCGTGTACAAGTCTCAACATCAACGCAGTTCCAACGCTCAGGAACCATAAATCCCCAAGCGATGAAGCCTGCAATAGCCTGCCCGAACCCCCACCAACATGCCATGAGGGTTAGAAGCCACTGTTTGTTGCTCGGGAGGTACTCCAGAAAAACAGCTGTGTCCATGACGAGGTTGCCACCGGCGCCAAAACTAAGGAGCGCAACGAAAAACCCAAGGGATGGCCAGTTGGGCATTCCGCCAGCGATGATGCAGCTAACTGCACAGAGGAATAGGGTGATGTTGAAGGCGTATTTTCTCCCTATAATGTCGGCGCCGAAACCCCAGAAGAGAGCGCCAGTCAGCATGCCGACATATGCTGCGATGGTCATGGCGTTGGGATAGCCTTTTTCTCCGAATTCGCGGAAGGATTGTGTCGCAATGATGGACTGGAAAAGGAGGATCATTGAATCAACAGCATAGCTTCACAGAGGGTCAGCAGCAGTCGGCGAGAGTTTGAATCGGAAGGGCAGTGGGGGCAAGTCGTGCTTCTCAAAAACATCTTACCCGAAGCCGTTTAAGAAGAACAACTTGAGGTGATACGGCGTCCACCCAATTTCGTCAATAGCCTGGTCCTAGTCAGCTTCCCATTGCTCGTGGGATTTGGGAATTCTTCTCACATCGTTGACGAGTCGCATTTTCTGATTGAAAGCAGGGTCCAGATCTTGTAGGTCAAGGAGATCCTGCTGAGTGCCAACCTTGACATCGACAGTCCCATAGTTGGGTCCATTCTGCTCCTCTACATCCTGGCTCTTTTTCACAGAAGACATGATCTCGAACTTGGCTGAAGATGTAAAATAATTAAGAAGAGGTATGAAAAGCGCAAGACGATCATGAGAAAAGAAAGTCGCGTGGGCTTTATCTCAGAGACCCGATGATCCTGGACGAATACAGCATGGTCAGTGTTGATTTAGAGGTAACCTTCCGAAAACCTGCTAATTCGTGCCTCTAGCTGAATTGAGATCGTACCAAGACATGAGGATAACCAATGACAGACAAGAGATTAATCACGCGCCGAGAACGCCAATGTTTGTGTGGCCATTGCATTTTCGTGGTTACACGCAGGAAATGCCCGTCATGTTTTTATCGTCTGTATACTTTCGGGGAGCACGTGGGCGTTGAACTGTTTCGGCGAATTGAGTTTGCAAATTGATGGCTTTAACACTTGGTCGAAAATGAGGTATCATAATTTTGGGTTGTCTCCGATAGCCGATGGTCCGCGGTTACTCCGTAAGCTCAATGGCACCCCACGGTTCAAAGAGGGGTTGCAGTGAGATCGTCATCTTCTGCAACTGGGTTTGCGACAATTGAACTTTCACATGTAACACTGATGAACAAAACGGATTGTGATACATCACCAGATAAGAACCTCCAGCCAGGCATGTTGCTTACTTATCGACCACAGCATTACCAGGTGCTAGGTATGCAAACTCTAACAATGCACCATAACCTCTTGTTCGCCATTCGGTCACGGATAAAGAGCACCAATGTTCCGAATGTGCCAATTAATGATGTACGCTCTATGTGATGAGATAACATAATTCAGACGCTAAAAAATGAGACCAGTCTATCCGTCGCATGCTTTTATCCTTACTTCCTGTGTCGGTACTCCTCGGGGCTCTCATAAGAGGACAACTCCCTGTCCTCGATATCTGCCGGCTTGTTCTTCTTCTGCAAATGCTTGACATACCAAATCATAAAAATAAGCATCACCAGGGCCATCAAAATGGCATCAAATACATATAAGAAGACCTCATGAGAGATCAGGTATCCCTTGTTTCCCTGAAGGTACTCCACCACTCTGAAAATACTTCGGACAAGAATAAGGAAACTCGTGGCATAAAGGACGTAGAGGTATCTCGCCCAAGGAACATCGCCTCGCAGTGACTCGGGTGTCGGAGATTTGAGTAGTCGGGTATGGAAGAGGATTGAGGTAACGACGAAAAAGCCAAAGACGACGATTTGGACGAACAGACCGGCGATGATGATCTTCTCGCCCAGGTTGTAGAGTTCCAAGGTACCAGCCGATTGAATACCTCCGCCACCAGCCTGTAGACTGAATGCGATAACGTCGCCGGTGACAAAAATGCGTGTCACCCACTTGACGGGTACAAGAGACAGGTGGGCAGCTCCGACGGTTCGAATCAGGCGACCGAGAATCATGTAGATCGACGCGGCGAAGAGGGCGGGTGCGACGAGGATAGGAATGGCTTGTAGCACGAAGCCACCAACGGAGAGCTTGTCAAAGTGACTCCATATTCTTCCAGCATATCCGACAGTCTCGACTGAAGAAACGATTAGTATATCAACAAGGTGATCTGATAAAATGGTACACCTACAGAAGCCGCCAACGACGAAAGGTGTAAAGTAATAAGCGCGAACTCGAATCAATCGCCAAGTATGTAGTACCGAAAGGACTGCGAAGACAACAGTGCTGACAACTGCTGCTGGCAGAGAAGGATCGTAGCGATACAGCTTGAAGTCAAAGCCTGCGGTTTCGGTATCGGCCATGGTGCAGAGAAGGGAAAGTAAACGGCTTAGAGATTAAAGACCCAATGGATGGAGATTCATGCCAGGAAGGGCGCTCTCTAAAACTATATACATAGCAAAAGTTGGGGACACTAGGCTACGCCGAGCCGCAGTGGGCTTTCCGGAATGCATGCGTAGGGAGGCGCGTAACGGGAACGAAGCTTAACGAGGTCGGAGAATAAACGAGAGCGAATTCATTCCTGGTCACTTTGGCAGGGCTGAGCCTCACTTCAGTGGATTTGACATGATCTCCAAAGGTACAAGGATAAGAGTAAATAAACGTTATTTATTTCTTTGTTGTCTATCATATCCGTGCCCAGAGGTGTTTACCAGTGTTGTATCTCATAGTCTTGCTCCCGAGACTGGGAGGGAGATCTTTTTCGTATTACGATTGAGTTTTAACACGAATCGCTTCAAAGGAGTCAGATCCTCTAAAACTTCATTTATGCGATTCATTTTTTGCGCTTCGACCTCTGGGATGTCATGGCTGAGGAGAAGCAGATTTGATGCGTTCGGTGGTTCCCGGCGGTAACTATTCTTGGCCAAGTCAGTGGAGCAGTCTCGCCTTCATCTCCAATTAGCAAACATTTCACGACCCAGGCAGCTCGTTCACGTCCTCGTTCTCGTTTACACCTCGTTAAGACCTCGTTAAGACCTCGTTCATCTCGTTCATCTTCATTTTCGGCTCTGTACAGTAATCGTACAGTACCTTCGTTCCATCCGTCGCCAACAGACTTTTCTTTTTCCCTTCGTTTACCTACACAAACGATATCGGAAATATTAATTCTCAAGTCAGCAATCTCGTTCAGCGCCCAGCCTTGCGTCGCTGTTCTGTTATTGGTCGTCATGAACGCCGAGGTGCATGACGTCGTTACAGTGAGAGGTGGATCGAAGCCCAGAAGGCCGCACAAGAAAGCAAAGACAGGCTGTCTCGATTGCAGAAGACGGCGCGTCAAGGTGCGTGCCTGCGTGGCTTGAATGTGGCGGTGCTTATCCCGATTCTGGAACTGATTGATGCTGTAGTGCACCGAGGAGCGACCAGAATGTCGTGCTTGTCGTCGGCGCGGAGTTGAATGCGAATACCCTTCATTTCAAGGAGTAGTATTCCGATCGCCGTCTACACAACATGGCGACGAAACATCTCCCGAGTCAACTTCGTCGCAGCCGCCGAAGCAGATTGATACCCAGACCATTGCACCTGTTCCGGGTCTGGTCTCAAATGCATACCAGTCAGTTCTTGGGGTACAGCAACACAACAGACCAAAGGTCACTTATGGAATGGAGGACATGGCCCTGCTTCACCATTGGACAGTCTCTACTAGTCTTGATGTCTACAAGAACTCAGCTTTATCGGCCATCTGCCAGGTCATATACCCCAAGATCGCATTTCAGCATCCTTTCGTGATGCAAGCTCTCCTAGGCCTGACTGCCCTCCACATCGCATACCTTGAGCCCCAGCAGAGACTGCAATATACGGCGGAAGCAGCGCGTTATCACAGCCAAGGTCTACAGGGCTTCAACGAAGCCATTTCGCAGTCCAATGAGGAGATTGCCGATGGTCTGTTCGTCTGGTCATCGCTCAACCTTCTGTACGTATTTGCGGCCTCGGGTCGATTGGGAGAGGGCTTTTGGGACGAGTCTAGCTGGGGAGGTCGTAAGGATCGCATCCTGGGCGCGGGATGGATCCCCATGCTTCGAGGTGTCCAGACAGTACTGGTACCTTACTTCGAGGTCTTATCGGCGGGTCAGTTGAGAGAGGCCCTGAATATTGGAAATTGGGACGATATCGATCCCGACTTGGTAGATAATATTGACGACAAGCGTTTCTGTCGCTTGAGGGAAATCTGGGAGCACAATCCAGATGCATCGACTTATGAAGACATTCTACACGTACTTAGGAGGATCAGGATGTTCATGGCACAGTTCTCAACCATGGAGGCTGAGACCCCTGGCAGTTCGGTCTTCAATAGGGCCTGGCAGGGAGCTTTCTTATTCGTGCCTTTCGCATCGGAGCGGTACTTTTCTCTGTTGCATCAGAGGCAACCGCCTGCACTCATATTATATGCCTTTTACGGCGCCTTGCTGCACTCCCTCAATGATTCTTGGTTTATGGAAGGTTGGGGACACGACATTGTGGAGGTAGTGAATGACTTACTTGGCTCTTATTGGGAACACTGGATATCATGGCCACTTGTAGTAGTTGGTCTAAGAACAGGAGATATGCAGAGTTGAGCCGTCAATGCCAACTTGAACCAAGTAATAAGTTAATGATATAAGACTAAGCCATAAATATTCTGGTCTAATTCTCCTGCCCAAGTTTATCTCGTTGTCCTTCATGATATACTCCAATACACTTTGCTTCCTCTCAATAGGGTTCCCCATCGACATATTTGTCCTACTCCTGATCCAAATTCTCATCATACCTAAACCTCGGTAAACGCATGCATACTGTAGCTTTTGCCAGCGCCCCTGCCGTTCAAGATCTCAGTGATTTCAGATGGGTGGAACCAGTTGAATAGAACCATAACAAAGAACATGAGACAGGCATCGAAAATATACAAGTAGGCCTCGTGTCGGAGCAAGTAACCGTCGAAGCCCTGCAGATACTCGACAGCCCTGAAGATCGATCGTACCATGATAAGTAAACTTCCGATGTACAGAGCAAGCATGTGTTTCTGCCAAGGGAGCCCGCTTGAGGAGCGGGCAGTCGGGTTGGCACTGATCGCACGATGGAAGGCGATGGCAATAACAATGAAGACGCCGAAGAAGAGGAGTTGAACGAAGAGACCACCGATAATCACTTTTGCTCCGGCTCTGAGAGCCTCGATGGTACCGGACGCCTGATAGCCACCACCTTCATCAATAAATTAGCATCTCTGATGGCTGAATCGATACGAACGACCTACCTCCTGCCTGCAGGATGAATGATAAGACATCTCCAGTCACAAAGATCTTGGTCATCCACTTCTTGGAGATCAAAACGCGGCCTTCGCCGTCTATCATCAAAACAATTCTACCAAGCTCCATGTAGATCGTTGCAGCAAAAAGCGCAGGGGCCACGAGAAGGAGGATGCTTTGCATGATATAAGGGCCGAGGGTCCAATTGGGACTCTCGTTACCAGATTTTGCTCGTGCGGCGTATCCAACAACTTGAACTGGAAGAAGGGGTAACATGTTAGACTTAGCAGCGCGATTGAGCAGGCAGATAAACTTACAGAAACCACCAAGAGTCAACGGGATGACAAACCAAGATCGTCCTCGAACAAGTTGCCATGAGTGAAGGAGAGTCGTGGCTAGAAAGAGGATGGTGAAAATAACAGCACCGACCACAGTTGGGTCGTAATGGTAGAGTCTGAACTCCTCCGCCCCATCGTCAGAACGTGTGAACATGTCCATTTTCGAACACTGGATTTCCAATTATAAAAGTAGGGAAGTTAATATTGAAGTTGTGAAACTGCGTAAATGAGCGACGTCAAAGGAAAGAAAATCTTCTGAGAATGAAAAAGAACTAGTAAAGTGAAGCCAATGAATGATGCTCTGAAATGAAGTTATGGTCTAGGAAAATGAATGTCTTTATACTGAGCGTGACACTAAAACTGTCAGAGAATTTAAGGGAGAGAAGAGCACTGCCATGCGGCCAAGCCGGAGGACAAATTAAGGGTATCCATTCACTGATCACCCACTAGACGATGAGCGAGTCTGCCTTACCGGATTTCCTTTATTATTAGACTTAAGAGTGCCCTAAACGAGTAAACGAAGAATTCCTCAATCAATGCATGCTCAAACGGTCGATTGGTCCTGAATCATTAGTGCGGTCGGCGGAACTTCGATGTTATGTTTTGACGCGGTCTGGTCTGTGTCCTGCTCGTTTAACCTCGTTTAACCTCGCTCCTGCTCTCATAACGATAGCCGGCCCCCTGAATGTCTCGCAAGCCACTTGAGAACTTTTGCTGCCACTCAGCATGATCGAAGTATGGGGGAATGAGATGATTTTTCGGGTCCCTTGATTCGGTCTTGATAACAACCCCTTGAAAGCCACTCCATTATATAGCCACTCGCCGTCAAGCAACGAGACCTCAGGTATTTAGCGTCAAGGAAAGTCGCCGCTTCTCGTTCAACGATGGAGAATACCGAGGCCAGATTCCTCAACAGCCCTGCATCCTCTGTGCATACTGATTGGGCTTCTCCAATTGACACGTCCAAACAGATTTCAAGGAGACCAACGAGGGTCTCGCATACAAAGTCGCGCAAAGGCTGTCAGCAATGCAAGAGAAGAAAGGTCAAAGTCAGTATTTGACTTGGCAACCGACATCACCATATTCTGACACGACAGTAGTGCGATGAGCAGCGACCTGCGTGCTTCAATTGCAGTAGATTGAAAGAAGAATGCAAGTATCTACCGCCACCACCAAAGAAGGCATATGTCAGGAGGTCAGGCTCTCCCAAACCAGCGATAAGCGGCACTGGTGGTATCAACCTAAGGGATCTTGAATTATTTCACACATACACGACATCAACGTACTCAACTTTGTCAATTTTTCCGGCACTGCAAGACTTTTGGAGGATCACAGTTCCGCGTTTGGCTATACACAACAGCTATTTGATGGGTGAAATACTTGCGCTGGCAGCATTGCACCTTGCTTATCACAGACCGGATCAGCGGCACGAATATCTTGCAACGGCCCTCACATTCCATCAGGAATCTTCTCAACAAGCAATGGGACTCTTGAAAGAGTTAAATCCCGAGAATGCTGACGGCCTGTTCATATTTTCTTCTCTGACTATTGTCATCGGTAATACCTCCACCCTCTTTCATCCCAGCGTTGTGTGCTAATATTGAGCAGCAATGGCTACGCCAAAGCGGTCGCAGCAGGATGGGATACCAGCAGGCGAAGGTGATTTTGAAGATTGGATCTATCTCATACAAGGGACAGCTAAGCTCTCAACAACCTTCGAACAAGACTGTCCTGAAAGTTGTTTGACATCATTGTTCTCCTTCAGCCGTCAAAGATGGGCGTTACACAACGTCTTTCATCCCTCCTATGACGGAAGGGACGAGGTGCTATGTCAACTAGAAGAGAGGATAAGAAACTGTATCCCAGACGGCGAGAAGTTGGATGTTTTGATCGAGAGAATTAGCAGCTTGCGATTTGCAGCATTTTGCACTGCAAGCTGGGAGAGTATTGATTTGTTCTTTTGGCTATACGCGGGTATCGATGGCTTTTTACCTCTTGTCAAAGCACGCGATCAGGAGGCTTGGGTGGTACTAGCTCACTTCTGTCTTATGGTTAGGAGAGCAGAGACACAGTGGTGGTTGAAAGGGTGGGCGGACTGTATGATGAGAAAGATTCACATGTATCTTGATGAAGAGCATAAATCCTGGGTTTTGAGACTTTCAGAGGAGATGGGATGGATCCCGCCAGCAACTCAATGATCAAAATGGCTTTCAATAGTAAGTTTTGAACCCGCCAGACATTTTATAGACGTTATAATTCTACGGTGGTCTTCCATGGTCTCAAGGCTCTGTCTCCTGGCCAAGACCTTTATTTCATAGCATAAATCTTGAACGATCCTTCAACTCCAATGTCAGCGTTGCATCATTTTCAATTGGTCAAATCTTACATACCAGCCCAATCGTTGAGATCTTGTCCGTTGAGATCAACCGCCATGTTCTCCGGGGCTGAGCAACATCCGCCTGCTGCGGCATCAGATGATGCATCAAGGTATACATTCAGGTCACTATTCGCATCAGTGATGAGAACATCTACAGGTCCATCCGGTCAGCTGATACTCCTTATAAGTATAGGACTGCCCACCATTGAAACCTGCACGTTTCAGGTACTCTTCATACTCCTCGACTTGACTTGCTCCAGCGATGCATCCGACGTAAAGTGCCATGCTGTTTCTGATATTTTCGGAAAGGGGCTTCCTTGCCAAGATATCGGATATGGCGACTCGCCCTCCGGGTTTGAGCAGACGGTGCATCTCATTGAAGGCCTTTTGTTTCTCATCATGGGGTACCAGATTGACGACGCAGTTGGAGATGATGCAGTCGGCGACGCTGTCTTCCAAGGCTATTTCGGTGATACGAGACTCAATGAATTCGACGTTTTCCATCGATCGATCTGCCTTAAGCTTCCTGGCTTTGGCGAGCATGTTCTACTCTGAGTGAGAAATCATGGTTGATTAATCATGTACAATGCTTACTCACCTTGTTCATGTCAACACCGATAGCCTTACCAGTTGGGCCGACTTTGCTGGATGATAGGAAGACATCCAGACCAGCACCGCTTCCCAGGTCGATAACAGTCTCGCCCTAAGAACGTCAATTCTGTCTTTTGCAACATGGTGGATACGGGACCTACTTCCTTCAGTGAAGCGATTGCCAAAGGCGTGCCGCAACTCAGTCCCAAGTTGGCATCTTTCGGGATGGATTCGAGGTCCTCGTTCGAATAGCCAAAGGCTTTCGCAACATTGGTGCTGTATGTTACATTGGAGCCGTTTGCTGCACTTCCGTATCGCTCGCCAACTCGTGTATAAATATCTTGATTATTCATGGCCATAGGTCTTGTATTTCTTTATGGTTAGAGGTATTGAGAAAGTGATACTGGAAGGAAACATTTCGGTATGAGAGGTAAGCCTGCCCTTTATAAGGTAGGTCAACACGCTCTCAGTTTCGTGCCGAGATGTTGGAGTTCACAGGAAGCCTGATGATTCAGCAACACTGGACCAATCAAAGATATCAGCGACGGTAACAATCGTGCCAGAAGAGGAAATTCTTCGATATGTCACAGTTCGTAACCACTTGGGGCAATAAAATGATATGTCACTACCATAACCCGCCACCTCTACAATTATTCGAAATCATTCTCTGAAGCACACTCGCCGGTTTGTATCATGAACTCGACAGACAAACCCCCGAACGTGACAAAATGGACGCTGAATCCGAACCCCACTCGGGTGCGCGACAATCAACGTCGTCATCGTGCGCGTGTCAAAGCCCGAACTGAGTCTCTTGAGGTTCAGTTGAAGGCGACTCAGGAAGAGCTGCGAGCAGCGCATGCGCGTATTCATGAGCTAGAATCTCTTCTAACAGCAAATCGGCCCTTGTTCGTCTCTGAGAAAGCCGAGGTTCCAGTCGAGCTTAGGGCATCCAATAGTGGCTGCGATGAACCGACGTGCTGTCGTCACAACCTTAAACCCATCGATCAGCATTCCAGACAACAGGATCTGAATAGAAATGCCGTCGCGCCAATTTTTGGGATACCCCCAGCCGATACCCTCGCGTCTAATATGTTTTCTACGGTTCAGCATTACGATGAGGACGATCAACTACCCCCAGTCGCTGGTGGCGAATCGACAACCCCCTGTCGTTTGGCGTATGAAATCATTGAACAGCACAATATGACTGGCGTCGAGTCATGTGAGATAGAGCATTGTCTCCGGCCAGGCTTCAGACGCGCGACAAGGAAAGGAGAAGGATGCAGGGTCGAGACTACGATTTTGTACGCGTTGATTGATCGCATCAGCCCTGTCTGAGCAATGCTTCTTGGTGGGGTTGTGAGCTTGGGTACTTGGGTCTAAGTTTGCAACTCTCTCCGCACCAATAGCTATTCCTCCGGATTCGGAGATTATCCCCGAATAGCTCAGCTGGAAGAGCGTTCGGCTGTAATTGTTAATCTGACACCGAAAGGTCACTTGTTCGATCCAGGTTTCGGGGATTCATTTTTGCACTTTTGACAATTGAGCTCTACCAATTGCGTTTGGCTCTCCGATTTGACTTTTTGCATTCTGTCGTTAGGGCGAGCAAATTCAGAGCAAAATGCATGTAGTGCAGATATTTGGAGGTGGTCAAGCGAGATGTTATGATAATATCATACCTATGTAGACAACCTGTGCTAGCCTGTTAAGCCGCTAATTGGTTCCTGGGGCGATGATTTAGTGAGCCGGCTTTGTTTGCGACGAGGGGGCAGCTGGATCCACTGCAACCAGCCTTCAGGGTAAGCTTAACTTAGGCCAACTTCGCAATTATAAATCTGGATGACGGTTTGATCACGGTGAGAGACGAGCTATTGCCTTAGTTAATGCATTTTCTTGTTAACAATAATGCTATGGAAAGTCCAAGCGGAAACTCTTGACTACATACCCATCGTATCCAAAAAGAGTCATTAAGCTCCGTTTCGCTAAGACAGAGACTAACCACGGTGCATGGCAAGTCCAGGAAGATAAGGACCGTCTCATTGACCTGGTTCCTGTACCCGAGATGAGACCAGTCAACACTTAGCGTGAGCTATCTTTCCATGTCGCGTGTAGCGTTATGTTCATCATGATGTTATCGCCGGAAGTCTCGCTTGGACCTTCCCTCCTGTTATCGCAGCATCTGGGGCTTGGGACTTATCCGATAAGAGATAAAGACATGATAAAAAAGCGGATCAACCCCGCGTCGAAGTCGGATAAACAAGTCTCGGCCAAGCACCGATTGGCCCAAGATACAAACCTTGATTGTCTTCGCTTGGACCTTCACGCTCACATTCTCAAGTAGAGGAAAATGACCTACCCCGTGGGGAAGCTGCGATAGCGGCAAGAGGGGGGCTGTTAGTCTTGAGATCGGCATATATAAGTCAGTCACTCGTCGCTGTCAAGACTGACTTTCCCCCATCCATCCCTCGATTCAAGTCATCTATCTACAATGGCCGACAACAAGACTGCAGTTTCTCCCTCTGACAGGGCTCGATCACCTCAGCCTTCGGTGCTAGCTGCTGATATGAACACGACGAGAGATGTCCCAAGGTGGAAATACATATGGCATCACAGTTTGACTCAGATGATTCTTCTGAGTATTCAGGCTTTCTGTGGTCCTGCCATGTCGGATGCCATTGCTGGTCAGTCACTGCAGTCGGGGCTTCAACGTATTGTTACTAACTTCTCTTAGGCCTCGGTGGCGGTGGTCTTGCAACACCTCAGGTCTCCAACATCTCCACGGCCCTTCGATATGCTGCGCTTGCCTTCAGTATGTTCCCACCAAATGTTATCAGGACGAAACTAAAACAAATGCCCAGCTTGCTTCATGGGAGGTCCTATCGTGAACAAGATTGGAGTCAAATGGGCTTTGGTGATTGGCTCCATGTCCTTCCCCATTCAAGGCTCCGCATACTATTGCAACAGCAAGTTCGGAAACCAATGGGTTAGTACTCCACCATGCATGACTCCCCGGATAGCTGACCGTACCTAGTATCTCATCCTCAGTGGTGCCATCGGTGGTATCGGTACGGGCTGTTGGTATGTCGCTGAAGCTGGTGCCATCATGACTCTCGCCCCTTCGGGAGCCCGTGGTAAATACCTGGCACTATGGATTGTGTCGCGAAACCTTGGTCAGCTAGTTGGCGGTGCGATCAAGTAAGTATACGCGGTATCCGGCCACGAATCCTACTGACATGTCATCCCTAGTCTGTCGAAGAACCATGAGAAAGGTGTTAGTGGTGGAGTCACTCCAGACACTTACATCGCCTTTCTCATCATCGAGTGCCTGGCGTGAGTAGAACTGCATATAATTATCTTGGACACGTCGCTAAGGTGATCATGTAGCCTGCCGTTTGCTTTCATGATCACTCCCTTTGAGCATGTCATTCGATCGGATGGTACCAAGATTGTTACTACCGAGACCCTCTCCACCAAGCTTGAGGTAAAGCGCATCGCAAAGACCATGACCTCGCGCCTCATCATTTTGTCATCAATCTGGGCGGTTTGGTCTTTCTTCTACAGGTGAGATTGCCGGAAGTGACAAGGCAATCGGCAACTAACACGGATACAGCGGCTCCTGGTCAACATATCTCGGCATCCACTTTACCGTTCGTGCCCGTGCGCTTTCATCGCTCATCTCGCCGTTCTTTTGCATGTAAGTACTCCACACGAGTGAGTTTGGCAGTACTGACATAAGCTCAGTGTTGGCTGCTTCGGCCTTGGCTTCATTCTCGATGCTAAGAAATTGACCCAACGTCGCCGCGCCCAGATCGGCCTCTATACTGTTGTCATTCTCAACGTTGGAGTCTACATCTGGTCCATCATCATGCAAGCTCGATTTGATCGCAATGACCCGGGAGCTATCGACTGGGATGACAGCCTCTTCGCTACTTCCTTCTTGCCGTACTTCTTTGTGCAGACTACAGGACCCCTGTCTCAGTCGTACATGTACTGGCTTCTGTCATCGTTCGCGACAGACGCACAAGGTAAGATATAGAGAACATGCATACCCTAAGATATATAATTCTGATTTCTTGTTCAGAGAATGTTCGCAACGGAGCTGCGTTTCGCTGCCTCGAGGCGATTGGCCAGGCTATTGCTTATGGCATGAACACTCAGACGAAGAGCGATCCTCTTGTTGGGTTGTAAGTTCTTGATTTTCCGCCAATAATTTCCAAGAGTACTAATATAATTCAGCTGTGTGACCTTTGGCTTGTTAGGTGCTTCTCTTCTGCCCATGATCATGCTCGTCAACACTACACCCGACAGGATCCCCGCAGACGAGATTGCAGAGCAACAGGCAGCCCTTGGAGAGAAATTCGCAGACATTGAAGGCCAGGCTGTGAATATCGATGGAAGCTCCACAAAGAATTAAGCACAGAGATGTTGGAATCGAGTTCTCGAGTATGCTCACCAACTCTCGAGCAGCCCGGATGTTTATGAGACAGTATCGTGAGAATCATGTATGTATTTTGAGTAATATGTACTTTAGATAAAGCCAACAAATCCTTGTCAACATTTTCAGGTAGCAATCTGCCCTTGTCGATCATGGGGTTCCATCGTGATTACATGTGAGGCTACGTCAGCCTAGTCGGCCATTTACAGACCAGTCAGACCAGCAACGATACCAGCCCAAGTCTCGCGGACAGTAGCCTGGATCTGGCTGGCGGGCAAGCTAAAGCCATAGGTGCCGCGGTCACGGAGCTCGATGGTGTAAGAGTACTTGGCCTTAGCAACACCCTGAATGTAGTCGAGACTGTCGCCAGTGGTGGCATACAGAGCGCGGCAAGAGTTACCAGCAGTGTAAGTCTGCCCAGAGTTGCTGCGGATGGCGTTGGTGATGCGGGTACCAACGGTCTTGAGGGCGGCCTCCTCAGGGGCAACGAAGCTGCAGTCGTAGCCGTAGGCTGGAGACATCATTAGTATTGATCAAGAGAACTAAGGGGTCTTCAGGAGGACTTACGCCAGAGGACATACTGTCCATAAGAGTGGAAGTCGACGTAGAAAGTGATGCCCTTGCCAGCAGCAAGAGAGTCAATCTGGCCCTTGATGGCCTTGAGCTCAGGGCTGTCACCAGCGGCTTGTCCCTTGTAGGTCTCGTCACAAGGGTTGGTGGAGGCACCGCCAGTAAGCTCCCACTTGTAAGGCCAGTTACGGTTGATGTCACGACCAACACAGGAGTTGCCAGAGACAGTCTGTCGGTTCTTGCGCCAGAGACGGTTGGTGGTCTGGGTGTAGACGAAACCTGTGGGTCTGGGTTAGCTGACTCGGAGGACCGGCGGATGGATGAATCTTACCATCAGGGTTGACAACGGGGGTGATGTAGAAGTCGAACTTGTCGACAATAGCCTTGACAGCGGAGTCGCTGCTGTACTTGGTCAAGAGCTGGTAGGCCATGTACTCGGCAGTCTACACAAATGGTTAGTCGCAATTGCAATCATATTAACATTGAGATAAACATGCCATGGTCGCAATCCACTCGCGAGCGTGGACAGTTCCGTGGAAGACAATGGCGGGCTTGGAGCCCTTACCACCGCTACCCCAAATGTGAATACCAGTGAGAGCACGACCTTGGAAAGAGTTGCCAAGAGTCACAATCTCAGACTGGCTAGGGAAGCTAGACTGCAGGTCCTTGAGAAAGGTGAGGTGATCAGCGTAGCTGTGATAGGCGGTGAACCAAGATTCACTGGGGACTGCACATATGTTAGCTCCTTGGCGTTTCATGCGTTACTTGGAATACTCACCAGCGTAGATCTCAGAGGTCTCCTCCTCAGCAAGAGCAGCACCGACATCCTCGACGAGGACAGTGGTGTCGGAAGCGATCTTGGTGACGGCATCGATGTTGTCGGGAGAAACAACAATGTCGAGCTCCTCCTTGGCACCGGGGTTGAGGATGGTAGCAGAGAGCTTGTTGATCTCGGCTACAGCATTCTTGGCGCCCTTGGGAAGAGTGACACGCAGGCTCTTGAAACCGTTGTAGTCAACCTTCTTGGAGCTGGGAACAGCCGTGGCAACAGCCAGGGGGAGAAGAGCGAGGAGAAGAGAGGACCGCATCTTGTCAGTGAAGAAGGATGATTTGAGGTGCGGGGTGATGGGTTTCACATAGCGGTGGTGAGCTCGAATTTATAGTTATTAGACAAGACAAGATATCTTGATACTATAGTCGGATCAGCAGACCCTCTATCTCGAAGAACTTCTGTGAATGATGCCATGCGGACGATAGCTTCAAAAAAGGTAGGTGATATATGTGATACAACAACCCAAGCACGGAAGCTCCCATTTGCCTTTCCCAAAGGGGCAGCTCCATTTGGGTGCACCCCTGTCGCTTGGTGCATTATCGCTGTGATGTTAGTTTGGCCGGCAGTGCAAAGGTTCCTGATCATCTCTACGCGCTGGGGAACCAGCGAATCGGGGCGCGTTATTTGTCGGGATTGTGACTGGTAAAGGAAAGTGACGACGATCTTCGGTAGTCTAGAAGCTTTTTGATATGCTTAAAGTCCTAGTATGTGCGATGTCCCGATGCGGGCACGGACGGTTATAGTCGAGACCTTTTGCTCGCCAACTTATTCGTGACGCAGTGTTTATTGGGCTTTAACTGTTCTGAGACAGTGCGTGCATTGAAACAGAGTGTCTTGGTTGATGAACCTTGATGAATGGCGATAACGAGGTGAGGCCAAGTGGTGGGTAGGAGGATTAAAAGCGAGTACAAGTGTTGCAAAAGGCAAAATTGATTGACTGTGATGATCAGAGATCTCTCAAGATGTATGTACGGATGTTTGTAGTGTTAAATCTTGAGGTTGGCTTAAGCTTATAGTATGGACCGTGTATGCCCGTGGGGAGATAAGATAAGAACGAGACGCGACCATCGTAGGAATCCAGAGTAACCCAAAACAGGAAGGCATGCTGACATTCTCCCCGCAGCTCAAGTCAGAGAGCAAAGAGCAAAAGAGCAAAGTCTCCTGATCAAACAAACTCTTTATCCTTTCCTCCGAAACAAACATAGTCTCGACCGTACCATCTCGATCTGCAGCAATAGCCCAGCGCCTGTTATAGGCCTTCGTTATCTCCTGTTCGCCAAGACGTACCCCGCCGACGCCACTAAACCATGTCCGTGTCTGAGGGGTCGCACTCTCAATCTCACTCCCAATCGCCACAGGCGCCCTCAAGCTCCGAATCCGACCTGGGCCCGCTGTCGCCGTGGTCGTGTCAACGATGCAGAGTGCGCAAGTTGAAATGTAATAGGGTCTTGCCAATCTGTGGCCGATGCGTCAAGATTGGCGAAGTTTGCGATTATCCCTCGGCGAGGAAGAAGCCGGTTATTAATCCCGCCAACAGACCGCGACTTCGGGATATGCAGAGTCGCATCCGTAAGTGGAAGTGGAGACAGCTTCACTTTGAGACTTGGGCCATTGACAGTGTTTGTAGGAGACTTGGAGGCCAGATTAGAAGCCCAGAGCAGTCCACCGGAATTTCAGCCATTCAGTACCAGCACGGAACTTGTTGACACCGGCCGATTCGAGGGCCTGCCGCCTCCGCATTTGGTGGATGAGCTGTAAGGCCTCACAAATGACCCATCAGGACGAAGGATTAATTTGAGGTATCAGAACATCGATATACTTTACCAAACTTCAATCCGACTCTTTCATGATCCATGGCGAGAGGTACATCGCATCACTCTACAGGCCCGCTCATATGCAGCCACCCATGTGCCTGCAGTATGCCATCCTAGCCGCTGGAGCAAGTGCATCGCCGACTTACAAGCCCATGGCTGAGGCATTCTATGTGCGAGCGCGCCAGTACATCCAAGCCGATGAGATGAAGGTGAGCGTTCCCGAGAGTGACATGCCCAGCATGGCATTGACCAAAAGCAGAGCGACAGTGACCAGATATCACTGGCGCATTGTCAAGCTTGGGTTCTCATAAGCCATTTCGAAGCGCAGCATCTCTGGTTCTCCAGAGCATCAATGAGTATCGCCAGAGCTATCCGGCTAGCCCAAATTCTGGGGCTGCACCGACTAGATGGGAAGAATGCAGCAGGCCTGACACTCCCGATCGCGTTGGACTTCACAGAGGAGGAAGAGCGCAGAAAGACCTTCTGGGTCATTTTCACGACTGATCGTATCACAAGCAGCACAGGCGGATGGCCGACCATGATGGATTGGAGGAGCGTGAGTACAGCCAATTCGTCAACGTTTGTCCTACCATCTGACCCAACTAGATACAAACACGACTCCCATCATCTATCGATGCATTGTTATCGAACACGCCAATAGCCACGTTAACTCTCAGACAAGCCCTAGGACAGGGTATGTATGAGCTCTCTACAAGCGCCTGCAGAGTAGTCGCTGTCCATCTCTTCAACGAGTGCTTCAACTTCTCCAGAAATGTCGAAGAGGATGCGGACAACAATGACTGGCACCAACTCCAACAACTCGACGAAGCAGTCACAAATGCGTTTGCGACATTACCTTTGGATCTCCGGTGTCCAGAGAACATGGAAAGCCCTGAAGCGGTTCTCATCAATCTTCAATTACATACGGCCTTGATATGCATTCATCAATCCGCGTTGACAAGGTCGCAGGTGGACATGGCTGCGCTGCCCACTACGAAAGCGAGAGTGATGGAATCGGCGGTTCAAATCATGATCACGGTGGCGCTGGTCACGGATTTGAACACCAGGTTCCGCAATCCGCTGGTCTCGTTTGCGTCGTTTATCGCGGCATCGTTTTTCTTGTCGGACTTTCTCACGACTGGTGACCTTCAAAGCGAGGCCAACTTTACGGCTCTCATGACCGTCATGGTCGAAGTAGGGAAGAATAACATGTTTGCTGCGTCTTTGGCTGTTCGGCTAGCGCAGACGTTGAGAGCGTCTGGTGTTGATCAAGAGACTGCTGGGAAGGTAAGTTGCTACTTTAACCGTGCTGACTTTGGGCTTTGGCTAACGAGTTGCTTAGGTTGGAGTGATGATGGCTGATCTCAACATTGATCATCCAATTCCAGGGCAAGAGGATAAAGAGAATGGGATCGTGATATTATGCCCAACTGCAACTACGCCAGAGCAGGTCGATTTTGACCAAGGAATTGTATGGCAGTAGACTGAAGCCAAATTTATCGTTCACAAACCTTACTATGGTCCGATGTCAAACTCAACTCAGCAAAAGGTATCCTAGGATTAGGCTGAACTTATACTGAGTTACCTAAATCCTTTTGTCATTTAGGATCAAGGTCCCGAGTTTTCTTTCTTCCCCGAGCCTGCCCAACGGCGCTCGTCGATAAAGAGACATACACGCAAAAATGAGAACGCGATGTCAGCATATGTGATTAAGCCACTAACTGCTCTGCGTGATGCCATAAAACAGTGAATGATTGTCAAGCCAGAAAGTCCAGTTCTATTTGGGATGATATCGCTTGTCTATATACGTTTCCAATGCCGAGTAATTAATTCAAAATATAGTCTATAGGTATGACGAAGCCAGGCTTTTAAGCGGAATTTCATGGAAGAGGATTTGGAGATACAGGACGCTCTTAGACATGCTCCCGCTCAGTGTCATGGGCTGAGATGGCATCGTCAGATAAACGACCAGACCACAAGTCGATTTCGTGGGCTCGTAGAACCTTGGTGCGGTAATAAAGCTTCCATGCGATGATGGGAACGATGAAGATTGGGATGCCAACATAAGACGCAACGAAATCGGCAGTCTTCCAGTTGCCCTTGAGGAAGACAGGGAATCCAGCAACGAGGGTAATGACAATAGAACCAATGCCGCCGAACCAGGCGGTGTAAGGCTGCCAAGGGGCTTTCCAAGGAAGCGTGTTGCGATCGACGCCTTGAACCTTCATGGCGCGGTAGAAGCGGATGTAGCAGAAGCAGAGAGTTCCCCATGCGATGAGGCCCGCGACTGTGCTGAGGTTGAGAAGCCAAGAGAAAGCTTGAGCAGCGCCACCAGAACCAAGACCTAGTGATTGTTAGTAAGGCATCTAAAGATGATTATGGCAGGAGCGACTTACTCAGATACGCCAAGGGCCCAAACAACCAGGCAGTGATGACTGCAACGTAAGGGACACCGTTCTTGGTGGTGCGGGCGAAGAACTGAGGGAGCTGTCGATCGGTAGTCATGGCGAGGATCATACGTGAGCCAACCCAGCAGTAGGAGTTGCCAGCAGACCAGGCAGAGACCAAGATACAGGCATTGACGATGGAAGGGAGGACCTTGATACCGGCGGTCTGGATGGCGATGACCCATGGGGAGCTTTTGGCGTTTCCAGAACCAGAAACAAGGTCAGCATTGCGTGGATCTACGATGAGACCAATCAAGAGCGCTCCGAGGACGTAGAAGAAGCCGATACGGTAGGTGACGCGGTTGGCGGCCTTGGGGATAGCCTTGTGAGGGTTGACGGACTCGGCGGCGGTGATGACGACGGTCTCAATACCAACGAAAGAGAAAGAAGCGTTGACGAAGGCAGAGAGGAAGCCGAGGAAATGTCCAGTTGAACCAGTGATGCCGTTATAGTCGACCCAAGCGCCAGGGTTATTCCAGTACTTGAAGCCGATGGACTTGTGATTGGGACCACCGCCGGCAGTGATGACAATCGCGACAATGACGAGACCGAGGAAGCAGAGGACCTTGATGCCACCAGTGACGACTTCAGTCTCACCAAAGAATCGGACGCTCATCAAGTTGATCCATAGGATGAGAACCAGACTGATGGTGATGACGACGGCGGGAGTGAGATCGGTCCAGTAGCTGACGAGAACAGCGGCGGCTGAGCATTCGGAGGCAATGGCGATGGTATAGCAGTACCCGTATGAGATGGCCAATGAGAAACCGACTGAAGGGTCAATGAAGCGAGTAGCCCAATGAGGGAACGAACCAGCAGTAGGGAACTATAGTTACAGGTCAGCATCACAACGACGCAAGTTGCTCCAGGGATCTTACCAGGGTCGCGAGCTCAGAGATACTCTGCATAACACACCAAAGAACAGCGCCAACGACGATGTACGCCAGAAGCAAACCAGCAGGACCAGCACTGGCATAAGCCGAACCAGTTCCAATAAACAGACCTGTACCGATACCACTGCAAAGACCAATCCAAGTGATGTGATAGTCCTTCAGCCTTCGTTGCGTAGGCCCGTGGCCTCCCGTGTTGAGAACAGGCTTCTCATCATCGGTATCATGGTTCTGCACCACGGGCGGAGCAGCCTGAATAGCATCAACGTCAAGACCCTTATGAGACGTCATGTTGATATCACCAAACGAAGTAGAGAATGTGGAGAGGAGAAATGTATCATCGCCAAGGAACACAAGATCTTCTGATTCTTTATTTAATCTCGGTACTATCCATTTTTTTTCTTACAAGGCTCCGATTGCGCAATTCGAAGTTTTCACTGCTAGCGCGCGGTGTCCCCTAGAGCGTAGTGAGAATGGGGAAGAATATGGGGCTTGGGGACAGCTGATGTGGAGCTTTTAGCGGCCAGAGGAAAAGTCTAACCTCCGCTTGTCGGCTTCTGGGCTCGTTAGGGGCGAATGCAGTGGATACGATGGCGAATAATCACCTGGAATTGTCTGGCCATTTATTTGCTGGTAGTTGTTGGTCAGGGGTCCAGAGCGGCTCATTACGTAGAGTATTGATGTTGCACCATCTCTAGAGCCTTTAATTGATGGGCAGGCCGATAAGGTTCATGCGGGTTTAAGTTTCACGGAAAAGGTGTCATTATACCTGGTTATGGTGTTTCAGTTGAATCGGGTCATGTTTAGCAGTATACCTTTGTTCTAGAAGGAATGATGCTAAGATTAGCGAACACAACAGCTATGTCATTGGCATGTTTTGTATCAGATAGCCCCAAGAGAAGACGTTCAGCTTGAACATGCATTGCGCTTATGTCTTGTGCATTTGGCGCATGTTCACTACCTAATACCGCGGCATTTCAGACAACAAGGTTCTCGCAAATCAGATCATCAATTTGGTCATCAAGGTAAACATAAGCACTCAACAAAGGAGACCTTCCCACCCAATATCGCCAGTATCTCAGTCGCTGTACTCAGAGCTCGAAGAGGTATAGCTCATCATGAACGATGCACAATCCGAACAATCCTCTGTATGGGGATCAATAGCATTAGTCCACAGACGCAGAAGGTCTCCTAGTCCAGACTTGACAGTCTCCTGGTCTGGAACACACCCTTCAGAGAGGCCGAGCAACTCCACCATCTCATGATAGGTCTCCTTCATCTCTTGGCTGTATTTTTTGACTGGCGGAACGTAGCCCATGGGCGGGGGTGGGCACATTCTGGGCCGAGGTGGACCTGGTGGACCTGGAGGTGGCCAGATCTTGAGGGTCAGTGTCATGCCGGGACGACGAACTGAGTCCCATGTTCCAAGCATGACCGCTAGACCGTCTTGAGTGCAGAGATCGTACCGACCAGCCATGATATGGTGAGCAACGCCGGGGGCCCAGTTGGTTTGTGTCATCAGATCTCTCATCATCTGCCATCAAAGATTAGTATCGGTTCGTTCAAGATACCCTCGTTTGGGTTACATACCTTGAAAGTGGCACAAGACGTGTAAGGCAACTCAAGCCTTCTCTCTTGATCAATCAGATAGATCGGCTCAAACTCAGCACCTAGCTTGAAGTAGAGAGTGACATTAAGATCAGGAGCATAGTGGAAGCCAGATCCTTTGTCAGCGGCCTTCTGCGAGTCTGACTTCTTGGCCACCATGGCCACAAGAGTCATTTCACGGGTGCTCTTGCGCTTTGCGACAATGATGGCATTATCGACATCCTGGCGAACATTCTGATCAAGGGCCGAGTATTGCTCGACAAGGTTAAGGCGACGTTTCCAGAGACGACTCGAGGTCAGCTTGGAGAGGTTGGCTTTGAGCTCCTTGTCATCTAGCTCCAGTCTGGTGATGAGCTTGTTTGCGTGGCTCATGTCAAGAACGAAAGCCATGATGTCTTCATTCTTCCAATCCTCTTTGGGACTAGAAGAGAAGAGACGTTGGAACCAGTTTCGAGAAGAGTTATCAGACTGCTTGTTCTGGATAGTGTTCTCAACGGTAATTTCTGAAGACTCTTTCGAAATATCAACTGTTTCAGTCTTGACCTTCTCATCGAAGCTGTCTCGATCGATTACTGTCACGCGTGGAGAAAGGACCGCGGTACTTGTGCTATATAGGATACACAGTCAGTAAGATGTTATTGCTAACGGGAGGGTTTATACTGACGTTGATGTTGAATAAACACTTCTGACATCGTCGAACGAGGCCTTTGGTGAAGGTGCCTTGTTCCAGGCAGCGCGCCTTCTGTTGTAAGACTTGTAGTACATCACGCGCCTTTCAGCGACGTTCTCGGCGAAACATCGCAGGGAGTTTTCATTTTCCCAAGCGCCTGGGGAACGTACCATAGTTCTGACTCGACGTTAGTATCTCACTTCAAAGGGAGACAAGGGATTTACTGACTCCATCTGAAGCCGGGCAATACTTCCAAGGAGATAACGCAGGACAAGTTCAAACTTGACTTGCTTCAACTCCTGCTGGCAAATCTTGAATCGCGGCTCCAGCCAGTTCCAAGCCTCGGTTCGCCAGACACTCATGTTGGCAAGACAGGCCAAGAGCTCCTCAATCTGCTCAGCCGACAAGGTCTTTGCATCTTTATCTCCACTGACACTCTGTGTTTTCTTCGCGATGAGCGTCAAAACTCCGACATAAATAGCCCTGCATTTGGCAGCAAGGGAGTTGATGTCTTTCACGCATGCTTCCGTGAAGATCTTGTCGTTCTGCTGAATCAGATCATGAATCTGACGGATGGTCGAAGCAGTCGAGTTGACCAGAGACACCAGCTTCGGGAGTCGCTGACGAGATTTGCGACATCCTTCAGAGTGCAAGTTGAGTTTACTCGCGAGACTTGTACCCAGCTGGGCAACAGCTTCAAGGGAGTGATCAGCCATACTGAGGGCAATGGCTCTCGCGGATCAAAGAACGAAAGAAGGCATTGCCAAAAGGGTTGGGGATTTCAGCTCCCTTTTGAACTTCACTTTCCTCCGTCCTCCTGCGGGCTGACTGCTTCACGGTGCAGTCTCACTGAGGCCCCTCCCTCCACTAGTGTGGAGGCTTAGCCACTCATAGACATCTTAGTTGCACTTCTGCCTTGATTGTCATGCAGAGTTGATTGACCAGCGTGTCATGCATAAGCCACACAATTCTTGATTGGTTATGACAGGATTGAAATATGCCTTGTGTCAGCCGCACTGCTTTCCATCTATGGCAATAGCACTGATAAACATGCAGCCACCTGGGGGTATAAAACACTGTATCGGTGAGAGTGGGGGCCAATCAGTTTGCTAATTGCATAGTAATCGTTATGTTATGCATAGAGATAGCTTTCTCTTTATTGGAGCAGGGAACTGCAAGGGAAGGGAGTATGATGGCACGTGGGAGAATATATTCAAGACTCGCTCTGAAAGTCCAAACTATTCTCCAGTCATGTGAGTAAAACTGATAGATTCATGAAGAGTGGTACTATAGTATAAATACTCTCATTGACATAACACTTCAATTCGGATCTGGTAGCCGGGCTCAGTCGCGGCATGAGAAAGATGTCAAGGATAATTTTGTTGAGCGGCAACAGAACGACTGTAGATACTAGAGTGCGTGAACTAGCAGAAGTACTAGTCCTTCTCTCACTGCGAACACAATTATGTGTGAGAGAGAACAGTCCTAAAGCATACACAGCCAGGTTGAAGAAAGCCTCCCGATGAACAGACAATGAAAGGGTGAGCGGCACTGTAAAGACTTAGACACACCTGGAAGATTTCGTAGAACAACAGTTCCATGAGAATCCACCACAACCGGGTCAAGTATAACTGAGTCAACATCTGGCGAGCAGTGTCAGAATGAGACCCTATGAACATGAGTGGGAGGCCCTGCGACTGGCGGCCAGCCAAGCAAGAAACAGCAGAACAGAGGGTTGTCAGTGCCAATAGAGCTGTTTCTGGTGAATTGGATACCAGTGGCAGTGGCAGATGCCATCCGATTAGCTTCAGTCTTCTCAATCTCGTCATAAACAGATTTCATCTCTCAAGCTGGGCCATTCAACCATCTTCCCTTCTCCCACAACCGCAACCTTGAAAACATCTGGTGAGTAACTCGACAATATCTCAACAACAACTCAATAACACCTTTCAAGATAGTCAAACAGACAACTCGCTGCCTTTCACCTTACCACATCGACAAAATCAACACCATAGTCCACCCGCCCGTCACATCAAACATGGGTCGCGAGGAAATGCAGGATCGTCTCAAAGAGCTTGAGACAGAGAAATCTGTTCTCGAGTGGGCTATTGAAGCCAGCCTTCACGAGAAGGGCGTCGACACTGACGAAGAAGACAACAAGTCCGACTCTTTGTCTACCTACACTATGGCGGACTACCCAGCCTCGGACCCTCAAGTGGATGAACCCATGGTTCATGTTTACCCGACTGAGCCCATCTCCGATACCGAGTCTGCCATCTTGCTGCACAGCACAGAGAAGTCCGTCGTTTGCTCAGAGGCCTCTACTATGGCTCGTATCAAATTCAAGACCACCATGCCGGTTCACCAGGTTGTCCAGTCGGACCCTGTATCTTACCGCTACGATGGTACTGGCATGTCTGAAGACGGCTGGGAGGATGAAGAGACTGTCCGCGGCTCTGCTGTTGGTATCGGAAAGGGAAAGGAGGCTTCGGAGGACGCCAATGCCACTGATTCCAACTCCCCTCTCAACATCACCAACCCTCACCCGACCCTTTCTATCTCGACCGAGTTCCTTCAGAAGGCTATTCTCGACAGCCGCAAGCCTGGAAGTCACTTTATCCGCTCCTTCATCCACCGCGAACCTGTCGACGGCAAATCAGGTGAATACACCGACTGGAAGTGGATTCCCTTCCTTGTCTTTGGCGCTGCAGCTGAGCTTGTCTCAACCAACATTGCCGAAGGCGACATCGAGATCATCTGCATGAAGGATACTCAATTCACCAACTTGATTCAGAACAACGAAAACATGTTCGAGGAACCTGGAAGTCTTGCTGCTAAGTCTGCTCTTCACGAAGAGCTCAAGCCTGCTTTCAATGGTCCCGAGTCTTGGGGCTTCCGCGTTTTGGTCTGGCGCCTTCAATCTTCCGAGAAGACTGTCTACATGGATCGTGAGGGTCACCCTATCCCTGGAAAGGCTGGTGCTCTGCCATGGGACGAGGTTGAGGCCAAGAACTAAAGGTGATCGCGAGAAGAGTGTAGAATGATCGAGAGTCTGGAGGTTTTGGTATGGACAAGTCTTAGCCTGTGATCACGCTGGAGGAATATTCTCTCAGTATGTATTTGACTTCTGACTTGATGGAGGATTGATGGGAGTATGAGGAGATCAAAGGTGCCGAGGTCATGGCAGAGATACATGGAACAGGAGTGAAAAACGGAAGATTGGCCGTTTATCGCCCAGATTTAGTTTTCAAGGCCTGTTGGTGTTTTGGACATGTCGATTATCGTTACTGATTAATGTCATAAAGACATCTTGGGTCACTACACTAGATAGAGAAAAATCCAGCCTTCCGACAAGCAGAGTCCCCTTTACTCATAAAGTTGTGAATGGATATGTAGGCTCCTCTCGTATGTATAGGAGCAAGCCTTGATGATATCAATCCATAGTTTAGCCTTCACCAGCGTGCAGTATAAAACAAGAGGTTCAATTTATAGGAAATCGTTATACGAATGCTTGTTTTTTTAGTTATGTACTGTCAAGTCTTAGCTATTCTCCTAAGCCTTGGAGATCGTGATGGATCCCACAGACCCTTCCTCAACCTTGTGTTCGCCTGCATCGAGCTCCTTACTATCACCGGACAAATCGCCCGCAGAGTATACAGTTAGCTTGGTACCTGAAGAAACACGAATGAAACGAATAGCATCAGGCTTCAGTCCAGCCTCGGTCAAGAATTCTTCGTTAAAGTCACCGAGTCCAAGGCTGACTCCCCGACCAGTCGCACTAGTAGCAGAGAACACGGACGCACCAATCTTGGGCTGGGGGACAGGGATTCCACCATCGAAGGTCAACTTGAGGACATACGCGAGTGACTCGGCTGGTTGGGCTGGCAGCGAAATCTCTAGAGCATCCTTGGTCTGCTTCCAATCCGAGACCTGCTTGTATTCGCCAGTCTTGTCGCCGAGAAGCTCTATAGACTTCAGGCTTTTGAGATCAACCAAGGCATTAGAGCCAAGACTGGCGATAGAGACGTGTTTATCGTCGGGCCAGCCAAGAACCGTAGCATAGAGAACGCTGGCATCTTTGTTGCGAGTGAAACGAATATCGCTGCTGTTGCCCTGTAAAGGTGCCGTGAAAGAACCACCAGTGACTTGGTTAGGGCCTTCGCCGTAAATATCCCAAGCGCGAGTGCTGAAGACAGACTCTCCGTAACGACCAAGGAAGTCTCCAATATCCTGCAAGACCTTGAGCTGCTCGTCAGGCAAAACACCGACAGCAGTGGGCGAAATGTTGAGGAGCATGTTGCCATTCTTGCTGATGCGGTCAAGCAGCGAGTGGACCATGGCCTTGGAGGAGTAGTACTTGATGCCGACTGTGTAGCTCCAGCTTGAAGCACTGATCGCGTCATCAGTCAGCCAATAGGGACGCGTGATGTTAGCTGGCCCACCACGCTCATAATCACTGACGGTGGACGTGTCACGGAATCCCACGTCAAAATGCTTATGGGTCGTGACGACCTCTTTGTTCCACTCAACAGCGCGATTGAAGTAGTATGCGAGAAACTCCAACCGTTTCTTTTCAGCAACAGCACACGGGCCATCGAAATCAGCACAGTAGCCAGGACTGTCGAGTGAGAAGTCGTTCCAGATGATGTCAGGCTGCACGTGGTCCAGCATCTCTCTATGCTTGCCAAACCATAGCTGGTCTGATTCCTCGCGTGAGAGCTGCCCTAGTAGTTTCTTCAAGCTCGTGTCGTTGGTCTTTGGTGCCCATTCATAGAAGCCGTTGTAGTTGTAGGCTTGATGCATGGCCACCACGAGCTTCATACCATTCTTGCGAACGAGATCAGCCCATAGCTTGACCAAGTCTAGCTTGGGACCTCGCTTTACCGAGTTCCACTCATTGACCTTGCTATCCCACATGGAGTAGCCATCGTGATGCTCGCCGACCGGGCCAGCGAACTTTGCACCCGAAGCCTTGACAGCTTTGATGATAGCCTCGGGATCAAACTCGCCACCCTTGGAGCTAAGAACTGGCTTGAACTGAACAAAGTTTCCTTTGAGATCATCAGCACCATTGATGAAATTTGCGTAGCCCCATTCCTCGGGGGGCCCATAAGTCTCGGTATGATGTTTGCGTTGGTCTGAGCCTGGCTCATACATGTTGCGTGGATACCACTCGCTGGCGTACTGAGGGGTTGTAAAGGCTCCCCAGTGCCAGTAAACGCCGAACTTGGCATCGCGAAACCATTCGGGTGAGGCGTTGTGTTTGTCGGTGGACTCCCATGTTGCTTCGTATGGGCCTGAAGCTTGAGCAGCAGCGTTGATGGGAAAGAGACTGCCCGCAGCAGCTGCAATTGCGGTTAACTTGGTAGATAAAGTCATTATGCCGATGTCAAGTATCATCTACAGATGGTGGCTGCGATGTACGGTATCGAGAGACTACAAGCTTCCGAGTGTTCACAAAGGGCTCTTTTATATCTATCATTTATCTATAAACATTTCATGTGCATAGGCAAAACACAGGATCAACAATCTCATTGCAACCTCGTATACTGCAACGTTGATGTTCACGGGCAGGAATTGTGCAGCTGGGCCGAAACGGGCCGTGATACAGTGTCTATAACCAACGATCGGCATGCAGGAGATTCGTGCGGATATCGTGCCCTGGCAATCTTGGGCGCTAAAGCGGCTTAACGAGTCACGTTGTAGTGACTACAGGAGGGATAAATATCCGACGTTTAATTAGAGGTAATGTGTTATTTTTACCGATAGGCCGAGACCTATCTCACCTAGTGGCGAGAAGTAGATTGCTTCAAATCGACCAGTCAATTAAATTAGCAGTAGAAGATCAAACTGGTTCAAAGTTCTCCTAAAATATACTAAACTTGCCTAAAGTCTTTTCATCACTTAGGATAAAGGTCCTAAGCTTTCTTGCCTCCCCTTGACTGCTCTGCTATTTATCCGGGATCATCGTTCGAAAATACGCGAAAGCCCTGCTGCATTTACCGCATTACAACCTTGGACATTCGAAGTGAGTATCATCCCCGGACCCCGCGATACCCCGCAAATGACCCATGCTTTACATTGGAAGATTGAGCTAGTTCTTTGACGTCACGAAAAATGCCGAACTGCTTACTCATTCTTGACTTCCATAGAAAAGGTAGTCAGTCAATTGAACAAGAGGCAAAAAAGAACAATGTGCTAAAATGCCATTGTCAAGCAAAAGATAAACCAATCGACGCAGGCCTGATTCGAACAGACGCCTCCGAGGAGAATAGATTTCTAGTCTATCGCATTAGACCACTCTGCCACTGCGCCTTAGATGATTGGATGAGAAAGATTGCAGTAAAACCGCAATATGATAACTTCATCAAGATTGTCTAGAAGGAAAACAATTCACCCGCAAAGGTTACTGTACTATCAACAAGTTCATTGTGTCTCCGTAAACAATCCAAACCTGAAACACGAGGTAAGACGCGAGATTCGAGGTAGGCGCTGTTCTTAGCTACATCGAGAATTCACTAACCAGATCCTGCACACCCAAAGTCGCCAATGCCCGATGCCTTTCCAACTGCATTACTAACACAGCTTTTCTGAAAAACCCCGGTACGAAACCTGGCAGTCCACTCACGGCCATCTTCTCCGATGCCATAGGTGAATTTCCATGTGTCAGGCAGTAGTGCGCAGCCTTTGATTTCTTCTTTGAGAGCCTCGCCATGGTCTGAACTTGCCCAGCCGTGGCCCCATACCCAATACTCATTGAAGGTGAACTTGTACGTGCTGTCGCAACCAGCCTGCTTGCCATACCTAGACGGCGAGCGCAGAGAACCAGGGTATACTTCATAGGTAGCGTCACCAACGATAGTTTGGCCACCACCTTTATAATCGGAGGGGTCATTGTCGACGCGGTAACAGTTATACATAGTCATCATGAGGTATTTGACACAGTCAGTTACGCTGTGCCCTTGATCCAGACTCACAGACAGTGTGGCCTTGTTCGGTGTATCAATGTTGTATGTCCGTGAAAGCGCGGAACCTAGTCGGCGAAGACCACGCGAACTACCGACCTCAGGGCAGAATTCATCTTCGATCAGATGCTTGACTTCTTCCTGCTCAACGTACCTATCGGTTTCATGGCCGTTGCACTTAACGGTTTCTCTCGGGTTATTCTCCTCCCGCACGCCATTCCAAAGAACGCGAATGCCGGGGTAACGCTCCCAACTGGCTGCATCCGACTGAAGGTAGGTTTTAACATTCTTCACAAGGTTCCCATCGCTGGTATCAAAGGGGACTTTCTCGTACGAGAGAAGATTGGCGATCTCGCCGGCGACTTGTGGCGCGGCTGTGGAGGCTTGTGTTAGTTTTAGGAAACTTTTTGTGATGTCGATGGCATACCATATGATGTTCCTGCTCGTTCAACTGGGTCCTTGCTATCTCTTGGCAAGCACTCGATGGGATCACCAACTGCATGTAGAGTTACATGAGGTCCACCTTTTGAAAACTCGGACCGATTCCCCGTAGAATCCACCGAGCCCACCACGATCAATGGCAAGTCAGGCCCTTCCATCAATGGGGGATACTCATCTACCTCAGGTTCTTCAAAACCTTCCTCGATGTTCCCTGATATACAAACTAGCGGAACATCCATGGCGAATAGCTTTTGGAAAAGCTCTGTGAAGTCTGGCAAATTATCATCTTCCTCCCAGTCTACTTGTTCGTTGGACAAATCGGCTGTCCATTTGCTTAATTTGCCATCTGAAACGCTATTGTATGGATCACAGTTATGTTCTCCAAGCAATTTCGCGAGAGAGGCGCCTGTCTCAGCACACTGCTCTTGATTTTCGCGGTCAAGAGGATCGATGTAGTACCGGCCTGCCACGTATCTACGGTTCAGATTGTGGAGGTTGGGCTGCACGGACTTGACACCGTCGAGGCTCTCAACTTGCGATATTTGGTCTCTGGATAAGTAAGCCTTCCACATATAAATACTCCTCTGACCTATCATCTGTGCCTCAATATCGGTTCCAAATAGTAGGTCAAGGGAACTATTCGTCGTTTTGCATTGTCCTTGGTTCCCAGGATCATTCGGTAGAATTATGTATCCTGACCTTTCCAGGTATTCTTGTTGCTGCAATATTGCAGTCTCGTACGTTGCAGCCTCTACCGTATAACACGTTCGAAATCAGGCCGTCGTCGGATGGTTGAAATTTCACCGCTGGTGGCGCTTATCGTCTTTGAAATTGTCTGTTCATCAATTTCTACCCAGGAAGAAAGATCTTCTCTTGCAAGAGCATTTGGGATGAGATCAACGTTCGTGTTTGCATCAGGACTCAGGCGGAGGAATACAGTCTAGAGCAATCCACCACGGTCGGAAGAACTAGAAATAGTTTTATTTGTGTCAGCGGTATTTGATACTGAACACAGTACCAAAATCAACCACGGAAAGAGAAGGACGTGTAGTAACATGGTAAGGAATGGGGTTTGCCAAGTTGTGTTTCTCGTGTTATATCAGGAAAATGATATAATTAAGGGAGCACTTCGGACGTATTATACAAGCGGCTGGCAAATATTGCGGTCTTACCTGGATTCGTCTGCCATGGCCTGCAGTCAGTTCAAGATGATCCGTAACGCCTCGGTAGTTATGGAAGTGATAAGTGAAGCGGATGGAACGGGCCACCAGCTGACCTTGTGCTAAGGAGCTCGTTATTTATGCTCTCTCATGCACAAAGGCTACAAAGTATAATTCGATATCGGGCACTTCTCGGCCAAACAATTCAAGGTCACGCCACCAAAATTGGCTACCAAAGGTTAGGTACCACTCGCCGCGTCACGCATCATGCACTCATGACTGTCCCCGGTATCCAAGAAAGCGGTAGTTCAAACGCTGCATAGGGGCATCCAACAATATACAGTAGCTTGGCCAGATTAAACAAAGGCAATTAGTAAGCTTCTCAATCTATGCTTGGACTACTATTGCTAGGGAGACGGGTCGAGGTTCTAGGCGATAGGAACGAATGGCACAGAATCTCACATAAAGTTTTATAGGGATCATATTGCCGATAGGTGCTATGTCAATGGAGCTTGCCACAAAGAGTCATTCATCATCTCCATGATGTACCATCGTACAAGTCCATACAAGGCCAAATGATACATCGGCAGTTCCAAGCCGGGACTTCGTACCTTCACTTGCAACAGTTACCTGTATTTCTTCTAGCGCAAAATGTCTTGTATTCTCGTGTCGACTTCTAGAAGCCTTTTTATTTTCTTTCCTCTGTCGTCACAACAGTGGCAGGCTCGTGTCGAGAGTCTAGTGCAAAGCACCAATGAAGATATACTTTGTGAGAATGGTTTAAAAAGTTATTCCATGTAATTTGCCGTTGGGCAAGTGAGACACCTTCTTTAAGGACATCGTGACATGGAATGACGTATAACAAGACTGACAAAATTTCTTCAATGTATTTGAAAGTCTACAGAGTGACACTAAGTGGTCACTTGATATCCCATGTGAAACACGAACTGGCATCATTGGTTCCTGCCGACGGATATACCGGCTCCCCTCCGATCGACGGGCTTTGGTAACGAAAAGTGTCCCTGCTGAACGACAGGTCTGTTTTTGCCATGCGTGACTATTACCTATGGTCGCATCAATTCGTCGGATTTGGCCCAGGAACGAGAGCACTCCTCCCTACCGCGGCTGTGCGGACTGAAAACACCCCTTCAACAGCTGTAGCCTGTTTCGCTTCTTCCGAAGACAGCATTGCCGTCCAGTGAGATATCCTGCCATCTACTAGTAATCGAGTGACCACATGGGCCTCAAAGAGGTCCTTGAGAGCATTGTCTGTGGCTTTGCAACGATTTTGATAGTGTATTACTATTGGCCTAATCATCCTTCGCTTCCTCGTTGCAGACGTTTCTGAATCTTGAGAAGATACTGATCTAGAGGAACAATAGATCTGACGCCCTGGATCTTTGCAGCCAGCGGCACCTGATCACTCGTTGAGTTGACGTTCCAAAGGCCGATGCTATGACGTCCAAATTCCTGAGGTTGCAACTGATCTTGGAAAATGTCTTTGAGTGAAGCATGCGTAACACGGCAAGCGTCTTTGTCCCTGAGATTTGTAGCACGAACGACGTAAGGCGCCTTGGGTGAATCTTCCTCTGGTTCTAAGCCGTCTTCTAAACTTGTTGCTTCGATTGGCGTTATCCGTACAATATCGCGGTGACTCCTGATCTTTTCTGCTTGCTTAGGCGTCGCTTCGATGATGTTGGACTTTAAATCTTCAGTGGCATCTTCCCAAGGGGGGAAGCTGTTACACTGGGTAGTGTATCTAATAAACTCTACAGCCGAGACATCTCTAAGGTCCTTTCTAAGGAAGACAAGGAAGAGATGCTTCTCAGAGGTGGGGGAGTCTCTACTTGAACGGTCTTCATTAGCCTCGCTCACAATACAGGCTGTAAAAATGGAGTAGGGTCTGAACAAGAACCCGCTAATGCGATTTCTGCAAATCCAAGTACAGTCCGCCCCCGTGGTGATTTTTTCTTTTGTGGCCAAGATTCTGCAAGATACAGTGCAGCAAATAAAAAGAACGGCGAATACTTACTCAGATTCTTGTTCTGACATGATCGAGGAGGAAGACAACGCTTGAGGTTATTTGGTCCGTGCTGTTGGTTGTCTTTCCGAAGTTCGTTGACCTAGAGGTCCACGATGATGTAAAGAGTAGGAAATTGAAAAAAAGATTTTTCGATGGCTAAGGCCAAGAAACATCTACTCGTCACGGGTAGCGTGTAGCCCCTTAAGTAGGCTTCTGTCTAAGGCTTCCAGAGTACGCGCGTGCCCCTCCGTGAACTTGGACCAAGTCCACAAATCAAGATTGACGCCGTATGTCATGCGTTATGGCTTTAAAAGCCACGAAAAGTGAGTTAGTGATATCAAAATCAATGACCATTAGTTGCGATCTACGGGCAGTGAGAGCAGGACGTATATGTGCCTCCAGGCTTGCGTATGTTACAATGGCTGCCTGTTCTTGAGTAAAAAGACTAGGAAGATGAGATATATGATCATCTGGTGATGCAACTGAGCCTTTCAAAGGAGACATGAAACATGATATCTTGAGAAGGAGGGAAACATGGAGAACATGTTCTCTGCGTGGGGCCACATCCCCGTAGGTATAAGATGGAAATTTATTCAAAGTCCAACATAACTCCAATTCGCTTTCGGAATGAGGATGTGTACTGGGATCGCTCTTGGTCATTTAAGAATTTACTTATTGCCCGTGATTATTATTCCGTTTACAAACTTTGAGACTCGTCATGCGGTCCACGCCACCAAGTAAATTGAGGCTTCAAACTCCAGTGGCTGCGAGTGAGTCATGTGATCGGTGACAATCTGTCTCGTACAACAATAACCCGAGATATAAAAGTATCTTCAATCAATAAACCCATGACGAAAAATTTGAGTGAGAAACATTGGTTCACAACATGGATAGCGTGTATCGGGATGTCGGGCTATCTGAGCCCGACCAAAAACCCGATCATCAAATGAAACTTTTCTAGCCAATAAGAGGCAAGTGAGAAACCGGGCCACGTTATTATCGTGGATGTCCAATTTCATTGAAATACGAGCCGTGCCTAGTGATGATTGGGAAGGTCAGAAGTGCCGTTATTCAAGTCCCTGGTGATATCAAAGCCAAGCCTCCTCCCCACAATCTCGGGAGAATTGACGACGCGGGGTTGCACGCGGGGTTGTATCCTCCCCAATTGAAAAGGAGCGGCTGTGAACAATATCTTGGCGAACAAGGGTTTTCAAGACCGATTCAGTTCCTGTCCGAGCCAGTTCGCCAAGAACACTCAGGTGAACATCTGAGATACATTCGTGTGACAGTAAAATCGGTAAGATCTGCAGTGTTTATATATAGCATGCCTTGAAGTTCCGTTTCCGTCACTGGATTATCCTCACCTCTCAATTTGGACCTTTTCACTCACAATGCATCTGTATAGGATTGCATTCGCATTTACAAGCCTGATGTCGGCTGTTTCAGCCATCACGGGTAAGTCCACCAAACAGTGGACTATTGGCACCGATGTTCAAGGCTCCCAACGACTCAATGGCGTGAGTTATCAAGATGATGCTCTCATTACATATGGAGACTATCAATATGTCACTTTTTACGAAACTGCCCCGGCAGGATACCTCAACCATTTCGTGAAGGTGGGACGCAGAAAGCTTTCGCCCAGTGTCGGCGACTGGGAGTTTCTCAGTCTCGATGACTATATCCAGAAGACGATGGATGGTCATAACATGATCTCTATGGGCATCTCTGGGGATGGAAAGATTCACCTCAGCTTTGATCATCACGTAAGTTGAAACCAACGCTGGGAATTATTTCTGACTCTCAAAGGATGTTCCTATTAATTACTGCATCTCAAAAAACGGTATCGCAAAGGATGTTCCCTCAGAATGGACTTCAAATCTCTTCGGTCCTGTCGTCCATGAACTTGTCGGGTCTCAAGGACCTTACTCGCCACTGACGTATCCGCGATTCCAGCCTCTAAGTAATGGTGACCTTTTACTAGAGTTTCGAATTGGACAGTGAGTACTGTCGTTGTATCTTCGAGCGCGAACTGACAGCTGTAGATCTGGATCAGGCGACAGCTACATCCACCGCTACAGCGCATCCACTGGGAAGTGGCAAGCCTACGGAATGTACATCCAAGGGGACGACAACAATGCGTACATCAACGGACTAGATTACCTGGACGGAAAGCTGTATACTTCGTGGACCGTCAGAGAAACGCCGAATGCTGATACCAATCACGGTGTTTATTTTGCCTACTCGAACGACGATGGTAAAACATGGTTCAACACGAATGGTACGAAGTTGTCAAAACCCATTTCAACATCTGATGACAGCAATTTGATCTGGGATGTTCCCCAGAACAGTCGCATGGTAAACCAGGAGGGACAGCTCATCGACACCAAAGGCCGATTTCATATTCTGATGAGGGACCTGTTGTCTGGTGAGCACCAGTACCAGCACTATCTCCGAAAGACTGACGGTAAGCCTCTCAATATCCCTTCAATCAGCGTCGCTAAAGATTTATAAGGAACATGGACCAAGAATGCGATCAGCCCCGCTGGCCTCAACGGGCCTGACTTGTACGACCCAAGAGGCAAACTTGCAGGCGACGCGAGCGGAGAGTACTTGTTCGGTATTCTCCCTGATCCAGTGAAGCAATCGACTGGTATTTACGTCGCTACTGCTTCAAAAGACTTCAAGGACTGGAAGAGTCTGGCTGAGATCCCGAACACCTCGACCGAGCCGCTTTTTGATAAGACAAGACTTCATGAATCGGGAATTTTGAGCGTGTTTGTGAGACAAGCGGGTGGGTTTCCTGATCGCAAGTTGCAAGTATGGGATTTTGAGCTTGACCTGTAGTCATATATATCAGTCAACTGGCTTCTCTGCCTCTTGTTGTATTCCAGTAGATTGCATCATTATATCTTGTTCCTGCATTCGTCTATGCCTCATCTCTGTGGCAGATTGCGCTACTGACAGCCAGTGACGTATTATCTTTAATGTCCAAAGTTTAAGACGAACTTCTTTTTTCTTCATAGTTTAGTACTATCTACATTTTGCTGAGCTATTGGTTGCTGGCAGAATAAACTCATTGCGGCCTCGGATCTTATGTCAGATGCCGAGATACCCCGCTCCGAGCGGATCCGACACCATTCATGATCAATCCACGTTTTATTTATGAACAGACTTCATTTCATTTCATTTGGTCGGCACTAACGGGAGATTTCAGTCTTTGACTCTCCTATGAGACGATCTCTACTCAAAATGCAGGCAATCATACAGAAGCAGATGGAAAATGCCATCGCGCTGAGGAAACCAGCCTCCTCGCTTTCGTGGCGGCCCGACCAGCCCTGGAAACAGCCTGTGTACAGATGGAGCAGCAACGCGGATGGATGGCAGCCATTTCAAGCATCCGAGCAGTCACCAAACAGAGCAAAAGCCACAAAGCTAGCTATTTACAGTTGGAACATCGATTTCATGCTCCCTCATGGCGACAGCCGAATGAACTCAGCGCTGAGGCATCTTGAAGAGCTGAGTCGCCAGCATCGGTCTGACGACGGGACAGCGGTTGTCATCAACATTCAAGAATGCGTACCATCTGATTTAGATCTCATTGGCGAAATAAATTGGATTAGGGACGGATTTTACCGGACAGATGTTGATACTGCCAACTGGGCTTCGGGTGCTTATGGTACAACGACGCTGGTCGATCGCCGACTTGATGTCCTGTCCTGCTTTCGAGTGCATTATTCAGCGACTCAGATGGAGCGCGATGCCCTCTTTGTCGAAGTAGGAGCATCTGGTCAGAAGCTTCGAGTTTGCAACACCCACCTCGAATCACTTGCTCTGGAACCTCCACGCCGCCCAGCCCAGATGCAGCAAATTGCTTCACACATGCATGCCGACAACATCTCCGGCGCTGTCGTGACTGGAGACTTCAACGCTATCCAACCATTCGACAGGACTCTCCACACAGACAACAAGCTCGAAGACGCATATCTCAAACTCGGGGGCACAGAAGGCGATGGCAGGGATGATAACCAAGGGTATACGTGGGGACAACAGGCCCTACCACAACTGCGGCACCAATTTGGCTGCTCGCGCATGGATAAGGTGTTTTTTTGTGGTGATGCGCTTGAGCTGTTAGAGTTCGAGAGGTTTGGTGCTGACGTTGAGCCGGAGGAGTCGGAGGAGGATGTTCGAAAGGATCTGCTGTCGCTTGGCTTTGAGAAGCCGTGGATCACTGATCATCTTGGTGTCAAGGCAGTTTTTGACATTAAACATTGAACAGACACTGTAGTTATCTCATCCGTGCCAGCACAGTTAGGTACTGACGAACAGGCAAACTGATTTCCCAGCACCTGAATCAAGATGATAAATTGGAACATATCGTGGATAGTGTTTTAAGTTCGCAAGCGCATGATGATGGAGATGCTCAAGATGGTAGGAGAGGAAAGAATCCTCAGGACCTAGTTTCTCGGCAAAAGGTATCCAAGAATTAGCAAAAAGTATCCTAAGTTTATGCTAAGTTACCTAAGCTTTTTGTCACCGAGTTTATTTTAACTCTCTATATCAAGCTCTGATATTTTCTTGCCTCTTGAGGAGAGGGTTGCATCTCTCAGGCACAGTCGTGGTAGTGGTGGCACTCTCCACTAGCGATCTTACAGAACTAGCTTGGCCAGGTTTAGCGGAATACCCTCATCGTCAGCACTTGTCACCGATTAGTTCAAGCACTACACCTGGTTCGCATTTCGTTGATGCGAACCAGCCAGTTAGAATGAGCTTATACCGACACTTTACCCTGTCGTATTCGTACGTTGCTGATCTCCTGGAGCTATAAAGTCTGAAGTCGCTCGGTCGCTCAAGTTCACTTTTTACTAGTAAAACCTCGATATCGACTCTCAATCGCCATGGCATATTCAGTGCTGGAGTTGGTATCGCGGCCAGCCATTGCTGCGCCGCTCGTGCTTTTGACATCATACATCATGTATCAGCTTTTCCTGAAGCCGTCCAACTTGCCTGACCTACCAATCATCGGAGCACGCAAAGGCGACTGGTTTCCCATTTTACAAGCCAAGATTCGCAATTCGCTCAACGTCAAGGCCACGCTCAACTCGGCGTACATCCAGTATAGAAACCAGGCTGCCATTTTCCCCTTGATCGACGGTGGAAACATCATTTATCTTCCACGATCAGATACAAAGTTCGCCAGTGAGCAGCCTACCGATATGCTCAGCTTGCATGAATCAGCACAGCAAGATTTACAGACGGACTACACTACCATGGATCCATCCCTCACGCATGACCCTATCCATCTGGAACTGGTCACTACCACTCTTACTAAAGAGGTTGGAAATCTCATCCCAGATCTTGCTGAAGAGATCGATCACTGTGTCAGCAAGCACTTGGGCAATAGCACAGACTGGTCCGAAATCTGCATAATGGAATCGGCGCAAAAGATGCTCAGTGGGATCACTAACCGAGCGTTCCTTGGTCTTCCACTTTGCCGAAATGAAGAGATGCTGAAGCTGGGCATCGCGTTCGCCCAGGATATTCCACTGTCGTCAATGATGATGAAGCTATTCCCTAGCTTCGTTAAGCCGCTAGTTGCTCCTCTCATAACCCGATCCAACAGGATTCACACGCGCGAGTTCGAGAAAATGCTTGAGCCGGAGATCAAGGCCCGCCTGGAAGAATACGACTCGCAAGACGAACACGTGAAGTCCGATCGGAACGATTACTTGCAGTGGTTGATTGAGCAGGCCAAGGAGATCGGTAACCCGAAGAACTGGCAGGTCAGCGCGCTGGCTCAACGTGTTCTGCTACTGAATTTCGCATCCATTCACACTACGACATTTGCAGTTACCCATGCTCTTCTTGACATTGCTTCATCGTCTCCCGATCTTATTCTTGAACTTCGCGACGAAGTAGAGAGCGTACTGAAACAACACGATGGCAAGTGGAACAAACGCGCTGTCGCTCAGCTTGAAAAGGTCGACTCGGCAATTCGCGAAAGCCAGCGCAAGAACTCCATTGTCTCAATTGGGGTTTCTCGCACCGTCGTAGCAGAAAAAGGCGTGACTTTTCCATCGGGTACGCACGTCTCCAAAGGTCTAAGAATAGCTGTCCCAGGGTATTCGGTGCTGCAGGACAGTGAGATCTACCCTGAACCCAAGGCTTATAAACCACTTCGCTTCTACGATGCGCGACAAAATGAGGCAGATGAATACGTGAAGAGTGCGCGTAACGCGTTGCCGACCGCGACGCAGGATTTCTTGGCGTGGGGACTCGGTCGGAACGCATGTCCAGGGAGGTTCTTTGCGAGTAACGAGATCAAGATGTTGCTCGCTCACATTTTATTGTATTACGACATTGAGCACTTGACTGAGCGACCGCGAAACACTTGGATCGCACAAAATAGAATCCCTCCTATGAAAGCGACGTTGAGAATTAGGAGGAGAACTCGATCTTAAGTTGCCACCAATAATGTAGTTTAGTATTACAGATGAAGAATGCGAAGACCAGAGGAGGAGGATTCGCTTATTGATAAGGAACGATAACATCCACGTGACATCGTGTTGTTTTCCTGACACGTCCGGCTATAAAGTCCTCCCCCCTCCTGTTGACGCGCCTCATGGTGTTTTGATCTTTCACTCCTTTAATTAATACTCCAGGAGGAAAGGAAACTCATATCCTTGACTCTAAGCGATAGCATTATTTAGGTAAATCTAGCCTAAGGTTAGGGAGCTCTTCACTAAGTTTATTCTGACATCCTCTTTTCAAGTCCTAAGTTTTCTTGCTCCCTGAGGTGACTCTCAAGTTCTTCTCCCAACATGAGTTCAAAATCTAGCGATATCTCATACCTCTGGCAAAGATCCCCCAATGGCATCTGGGAGAGACACATCGACGAGTGCGAAAGCTTTTACTGGCTTTACACTAAAAAAGGCCACGGCTGTTACCCCATCACTGCTTGCGCGTCGTTCCAACTCAAGCTTTCTTCCAACGATGGTCACGGCGGCGATATGGAGGCTCTGAAGAATGCTTGGGTATTTCTCCGACATAAACACCCGACTTTGGGGTCCCGTATCGAACGAGACGACGAGACCAGCGCGCCCAAAAGGATCTACAAGCCCTTTGAGAATAATGAGGATGTTGATGCTTGGTTGAGCTCGACCTTCCATATCATAAACACCGATAAAAGCGCACTCGAGTGGTTCAATGATCATGCTCCTATCTTTGCTGTTCCAACCGTCTACATCGTCCGGTCCAAAAGGGATGCGAGTCCCCAGACCCTGCTTCTGCGGTGCCCTCACGATATCACCGACGGCGTTGGGGTTCTGCAGCTTCTGAATCAGCTGTTTACTCAGGCTAGTCGATTTTATACACAGTCAGAAAAGTATTCCTACCCGCTGCCTGACGATGACCTCGATACAAGATTGTCGCCCTGTCTTCGTGTCGCGGCTTCAATTCCCGATCCCTTATCCGAGGCGCAAGTTCAGCGTTTCCATGCAATCTCCTCCAAGAATGGGGAAGTGTACAATCATCCAGGTCTGATGGGCTTGCCTCCAACCTCTTCCCCAGGGGTCAACCCCGAATTCAAGGCCAAGCGCATCGCTGTATCGGTCCCCAAGGCGATATCGGCACAGATACTGGCCAGCTGCAAGAAGTTTGGCTCTGGAGTTAGTTTGACTCATGTCTTCGTCTCGGCTCTGGCAATGGCCCTCGCCGAGTTCCAGCCTCGCAAGCAGAAAACCTATACTGTTCGCTATGTCGATCGTCCAATGCTCAACCTCAGGCCATTCTGCAAAGACCCGTACAGCAGCCCTCATCATGCGGGAGCAACTTACCACGCCGTCTGCGCGCATGCTTTGGGCATTGACTTGGAAGTTCCTGGGCTGGCAGTTGACAAAGATGTTGCGACAAAGACCTTGCCTCAAATTGCTCTAGATGTTCGAGACTTCTATAACAAGCACAAGCCCAACTTATTGGAGGATATCCACGAACAAGTTCTCTTCGCTCTCCTGACATTCAGATCCCAGTTTCCCCCACCTGGGGCAGATCCCTGGTGTGTCTCAAATCCACCATTCTGTCCTGTTTCTCTCTCCTCAATCGGCAACCTGAGCTCTGTCGTGGCTGCATCTAGTGAGACTTTCAAGCTTACCAATGTCTGGGTCGCCAGTCAATCAATTATTACTGGTGTCGCAATCTTCCTTGGCAGCTGGAATGGGGAGATTGAACTTTCTAGTGTTTTCAATTCTCAATTTCATAGTGAGGAGCACATGCAGAAGGTCTTGGAATGTATCTTGAACCATGTTTATGTGTCCTGTACCACAAAAGATCCCCTCGCCGTATACTGATTGATAGACAAGTTAAGATGGTATCAGGATATCTTAGGGTAGTTTATGATGAACTTTGCTCGCCCTTGGTTTCTGAGCTGCTTGCTCGCCCTGACGCAAGCCCCGTAGGCTTCTAATGCCCTATATAAGTTCTGAGGCGTGAAGGATATAGCTCGAACAGACACAGCTCGGGTTGGATAGCAGAGAGGTCATAAAAGTGCTCAACCGGACGTTCTGTGCGGTCTTGGGCTGGCCTGAATTGGCCAAGAGACTCGATGGGGAATGTCCAAAATCCTATTGCAGTTTCAACTGCTCCCTGGAGCTGCCCAGTGGCCTCCTCAAGATGCATCCAGACCGGTTCTTGCCAAGACTCTTCCCATGTTTGAGCACATGTTTTCCGTCTTTTGCTTTCATACTTCAAATGGGCAACAACGTCAGACTCATAGGCGATTGACGGCTTGATTTGAATAGTGGTGTAAGCAATTTTGTAGACACATGGCGCTGTTACTCCCAATTCATCCAACAGTTCCATCCATTTTCTATACTGCCGTCCGAGATCGGAGCTGTGGGGAGTTTTGAAATAGATATTCTTAAATACTTCGCGCCCAATGAGTCGTGGATCCTGCTGGCGTGAGAAATTGCCGGTAGCCCCTGCGAGAGGAAGCGAACAGCGATAATGCAAAAGACATTGGTTTCCAGTGGGACATTGGTGGGATACTTTGTCCACATCAACGTAGTGTATAAATGTGACGCTTCGAAGCCGAGCCACGACTTGACGCATCTCTTCTTCTGAACGAGCGGAATCAGGAAGGGGACGAGACCTGAAGGAGAAAAAGAAGTAACACCGTAAGAAGGCTACGTGGCATAAGTCTACTTTACACGGGTCATAATCCCAAACGTCACTCGCAAAGTTTGCGAGCAGGGGCCATCCATCAATCTCCAAGGTATCTAGCTCAGGATTAAGGAAGAACTTCCCTGGTATGAGGACTTGATCTTCACTGGGAGTTGTGTAAGTGTATGGCGATGCTTGGCTCGAGGCTATTTTATGCGGATTGTGCTCGGCGTTCTGCTCACTTATCTCAAGCGAATCCATGGTCGAGGGAGACTTCGTGACGTAGAGACAAGGAAGAACAACACGATAAAAACCTTGGGCGCTCGCACGAGACTCGATGCTCGTACTGAATAAGGCGCTGAGCTTTGGTGCTTGGTGCAAAATAGGTCGGCATGGCTGTATGAGTCGCCGGATCCTATCAGTCATTCCACCGAGACATATTTTACCCGTGGATCGGTCGATGGTGCATAGCTGAACTTTGATGTATCGCTCACACGTCAGGCTTTGCTCCCAAATGATCTCTCTAAGCTCCGTAGGAAGTTTAGGGAACAAATGAAATATCGCATTAGAATTTGGGAACTTCGGGTTCAGGATGGTCGGGAGTTCGCCAGATGGCTTGACCTTGGGGGGGGGGGGGCTGTTTTGAATCTTCCATGGCGAGGTCGAGTGTCGTCAACTTCAAAATTCGAACTTATTGGGCGCATTGCTACTCTTATACCAGTGAGGGGCCAAAAGTTAGTTTTGAGATTCTCTGTTAAGCTTTTCAGTCAGAGTTTGCGAATCTGGGCCGACAAATAACTACGGCTTGACTGTGGCCTATAAGGGTAACCTTTAGGCTGCAAACACAGGTAACAAATGAGAACACGGTATTCTTTTCCTCAATATAAGCTTTTGCCCAGAAGCTTTCACGATGACCATTAGGGCCGACAAATAACAGAGTGATATTTTGCCATAAGTGGAGCTGAGATATAATAGTTGCAGTTAAAATATATATACGGTATTGCGGCTCACTTGATATTCGCCGGGACTAATTTATGCATGTGTCAGTCTGTTACTCGATGTTAGTTTGGATGCGGATACTCCTGAGAGGACGATGACGTCTGGCACATCTCAAGCGCCATCAGAAAAAAAGGGCCAATCCTGTTATTACTAGAGGCAAATACAGGACCAATGAGCATCTCTACAGTAATGCAGTTTAAAATGTCACATCTCATTCTTGTTCTTGACTAGTCAGCCCAAGCCACGCATAAGCTAATAATCCTCCTGCCATGTTGAGCTGTACCAGGCGCGCTGATCACCTACTGATTGGTCGCTGACACGACTCCACTAACCTCATTCTCAAAGCGATCGCATTCTCTCAACCGAGTATACGATCGCTTTCAGGCGACATGTGATATCAGTTACTCGGCAATATGCTGTTGCCAGATGGGGAAGAAGAGGGGAAGTTGTGGATGTCATGTATAAAAGGCGATGCTTGACTGCATATTGATCAGTCTACAGAGAAGTTACATCCCTGGAAAGGCCATACAACCATGAAGACATATTCAATCTCAGTACTATTTATTCTTGCAATCTTCTTAGCTCTCTCAGAAGCCAGCTTCGATGGTAACATCAACTATGGTAGTCCCTCGCCTCGGCATACGCAGTTCGGCATCGATGTCGATCAAGTCCAGCGACGCTCTTGGAAGCGTGGAAACGTCGCATTCAAACCTGAGGAACTAAACTTCACTCATGGCGTTGCATCAGGCGATCCATGGCCGAATAGCGTTATACTGTGGACTCGAATTGCCCCATCCAACGTCTCTTCCTCTGACACCGCGCCGATTGATGGAACTGAGCCACTTTACAGCCACGAAAGCAAGAAGTTCATAGAGGCTGATCCCAATCCTATCTGCCTGTACTGGAAAGTCTTTCCAGTTGGGAAGAAGGACTCAAAGTCAGTCGTTAGCAGTGGGAAGGCTTATACTACCGCCGATATCGACTACACAGTCAAGGCATGTTCCGACGCAAAGGTCAAGCACTGGAACTAACCGATATCAGGTCGAAGCCAAAGGACTGAAGCCAATGACGACATACAACTACCAGTTCACCGTCTGCAACTCGAAGAATTCCAGCCCTCTCGGAAAAACCAAGACTGCACCTCGGCCTGACGATGACGTTTCGGAGATCAACCTGGCGGTCTTCTCATGCAGCGCATACTGTAAGAACTGAGACACTCGTTTACCAACTAAAACTGACCAGTCGAAGTTTCAGGGTATTTCAATGTCTACGGCAACGCTGCCCGAAAGGACAATCACGACTGGGTTGTTCATCTCGGCGATTATATCTACGAATACGGCACCTATAAACTGTTCAAAGAGCGCGGCTCAATTCCGCAACACCCAACCTACTCGCTATATGATTACCGTGCACGCCACGGACAGGTCTGTTACCAGATACCCGTCAATCTTCAAGGCAGGCTCTAACGCGATATAGCACCGGACTGATCCTGACTTGCAACTGTTGGCCCAAAATTCAGCTTGGATTACAACTTGGGATGACCATGGTAAGATTACCCCACGGCGTAAAAGAACTTTTGTCACTAATGTGGACTAGAACTCGCAGATAATGCTTACAGAGATGGCTATGTCGACTTCTTCGACCAGCCCAACACCTTCAAGGGAGAAGGTCCGAAGGTAGCCACGGATGCTCGCAAAGCTAATGCTGTTCGCGCGTACTTCGAGTGGATGCCAATTAGGCAGACAGATATGGACGATGGTCTCCGTGTATGGAGGTCCTTTCAGTTGGGTAAGCTGATGGATCTTGTGATGCTGGACACAAGATTGTATGACCGAAGCAAAGGAGTAGACTGTAAGTACTTTCTCAGCTGTCAAAAGCTCTCTCTTCTAACTGCCAACAGATGTCAACGAGAAGTATATCGAGAAGATCAGCGACGATCCGAGTAGGACTCTGATGGGAGGCCGACAGGAGAATTGGTTCTACCGCTCCTTGTCCGAATCCAAGAATAGGAACGCAACCTGGCGAGTGATTGGGAATCAGATCGTGTTCTCTCACATCAAAGGGGATGCGGCTGGGGGAGGAGATACCTGGGATGTACGATTGACATATTCTCCTCTACAAACCAAGAGTCTGGCTGCTAACTTCCGATAGGGCTATATCGCGAACCGAAACAGAACACTAAATCATCTATATAAGAACAAGATTGACAACAACATCTTCCTGTCAGGTGATAGTCATATGAATTGGGTATATAATCGCTCCAGCCATATCCTCTTAACACAATTGACGCTTTTTAGGTATCTGACTTGGCGTGGCTGGGCACCAAGAAGTACAACCCTAAGACAGGAAAGGGTGCCATTGGGGCTGAGTTCGCAGGTACTGCTGTCAGCTCGTGGGGTACATCAGGTCTCAAGTCTATTGAACCTGATGCAGGAAAACTGGCTCGCAAAGCAATCGCCGAGAACAAGGAGCTGTTCTGGCAGGAGGGTTACTACCGTGGCTATTTTCACTTGTCAGTCTCTCCAAAGAATGTCTCAGCTCAATTCTTTGGTAAGTCAAGCAACCTTCATGGATCTGGATATAAAAATAATACGAAAGCAGGCTCACCATCCATTGCGACACATAATGCTTGGGAGATCCCATTAGCTAATTTTACAGTTCTTGCTGGGGACAATCACATCCATCGGCCGAAGGATGGCGTACAAGCTGAGTCTGGAGCCCTCAAGACTGGTGAAATAAAGCACACGAACTTGACGTTCAATACTGAGACTGGGGTCTGGAAAGTTAAAGGCTTTGACCAGATGTACCTCAACCCAGAGCCTAGTTTCCTCGGTTCATCCTAAGCAACGTCTCAATAGGCCCGAGAGAGTGGAAGGTAGCCTTGAGGTCTAGTAAAAGATATATTGCAGATAATCTAAAGGCTAACACTATATAATATGTTTGTCCTCTGTCGAAATTGTGTAGACAGCTGGCTTACCGCCCAAACTAGGCTTGTAAGAGCGTTACTTTGAGTTGATAGACCTCAGACCTGATGCTCACGTCACACGCCTTACTTGTCCCTTGTTGAAAGGTAGATCACGCATCGTAGGACGAACTCCATATGTACATAGGACTAATGAAGAATCACCTTAACCCTTGTATTCTGTCACTTCTATCTCATCCTGCCGCACCTGGTTAGCAAACTTATAATAGCATTTAAAATTTATTACTTACCTCAAACTCTCCAGGGATGATCAGACCGATGATCGCTCGTGTCTCCATGGATTTATGTTCCTTGACATATTGTTTGTACTCGGGTGCACCAGGACGAAGGACATTGTCTGCCACAATATGACTCCCTTTCTTGAGCAATCCGAGTGATTCGGCGACCTGGAGGTCTGCGACATACAGGTCTTCAACGTGATCCAGAAAGAGCATATCCACACTGCCTAGCTTTCCCTCTTCCTTCAGTCGAGTAAGGGATTCAGCAGCCTTCCCTGTGATCACTTTTACGATATCGGATAAGCCAGCTAGATCCACAAGGTTCATTGTAATACCTGCAAAAACCGGATCGGCTTCGAGGCTCCAGTAGACGGCGTTGTTCTTAGCGTCTTGGTTGTCCTTGTGCGTGTTTCTCAATGCATTTCCCAAGTATAGTGCTGAGTAACCAACGTAAGCACCCAGCTCAACAAAGACCCTTGGCTTTGTCTCGGCAATAAGGGTAGCGAGCTTTTCTGCTTTGTCTGGGCCAATGTTAATCAGGAAGTCTCGCTGAGCGGCAAATTCATCCATGGCTTCGCAAATGGCCAGCGGATTGTTACGCATATTCGGGAAGTTTGGATGGTCATAAAGCCAGCGCAGAAGGACAGCTTCGCGACCATCATTCCACTTCAGAAGCCAGTAAGTCAGTGATTGAGCGACGATTTGAGATGGTGGAAATACTTCAACGTATGCGTCTCCAAGCTCTTCCAGCTTTCGCATTGATGGATACTTTCCATATAGCTTCCTGAGTTCTTCCATGCTAATTCGATTGTAGTCAGTACAAGATAATGAAGAGACAGAAACCGGAAGGACAGTTAAGCAAAGAAGATGCCCCTTTTATTGTTTATACATGCTTACACGGCTCGGACGGCAAGGGCAAGATGTGTGACATGCCCTTGTTGATAGATAAGCAAGGCCAAAGGCGGGGTTTGTCAAAACAACATGTGGCACACCAAGTGTACCGAGCATTTACTACCAAAATAGAAACTATAGTAAAATGATGCCATTATTGATATTAAGTT